GCTTTCGAACTCATAACACTTAACGAAACAGTAATCAGAGAAGACCTTTATTTTTTCAAAAGTCATTTCCCCACATAGAACAATACAAGCATAGTTCAAACAATTTATTTTGCGGCTGCACCTAGGTTAAACCCCAGGCTACCTACGTACTCCTTTGTGAGGGATCAAGCCACACGTAGTTCTTAAATCAACACTCAAATAATGTACGATTATTTAAGTAAAGCCAACGATGAAATTTAGATACAAATATCAACATCAAGTTCGACAAGGCATCCACTGAACACTTTATAAGTTATTTTCCTTTTATTAGTTCATTCCAGCAACCATACCCTATCCAAGGCGTATGTTGCTAAACAACACTTTCCAAACTATAAATCAAACGTTCATACCTGTGCATAGTACTCACAAAGGACCCGTTCAAGAATCACGACCCGAAAACGTATCCACACACACACACACACACACACACACACACACACACACACATATATATATACACATCAATACACACACCTCACACCATCATCATGTACTAGGGAAAGAACAATCCAATCCGAGGATCGTTTGACTAGGCCACATGGAGGAATTCTTAACAACCATGTGGCCAGGGACGAGCAGTTCATCCGGGGGACCGGGCTAACCAGCATGCACAGCAGAATCCCCAATACTCGTGCACCTGTGATAAGTCCTACGCGCGCAGACTAACCAACTATCCACTTTAATGTATCCAAGTATTCATGTCCACTATTTCCAAGTATTATTATTCAAGGGGAGATACATATGATAGTACACATCATGTACCAGGGAAAAACAATCCAACGCGAGAATTGTTTGGCTGAACCACACGTAGGAATCCTCAACAACCATGTGACCAGGGATGAGCCATCCAACCGAGGGACTAGGCTTATAGCACGCATAACAGAATTCTCAATACTCGTGTGCCTATGACAAGTCCTACGCGTGCAGACTAACTCGTTAAGGGTCTACGGTAACACCCTGTCAAGGGTGCCCGGATTTCGACATACCCAAACCATATCCACAGTTTTTCAAGTATCCATCCATTCCAGATTCAGTAACCAAGGAAGCCCACACGCCGGAAAATCCAATGCCACGTGTGGGTATCGTGACTAGGGAAGATACATATGATGGTGAGGTTTATAACCCTTATATAAATATTATAATAATAATATTCCATTCCTTAATTCAATTTTCCCTAAATATTTATTCATAGTATAGAAAATAAACTCTCAAACATATATTCCATAAAGACCCAAAATAATTCAAATAGTAATAAAAACTTATTTACACTTAATTTTCATAAAATATTGTATTCCACCATTAAAACAATAGATTTTCATAGATAACCCAATATCACCCAATCCATATACTTTAATAAAATAATAATAATATTAATTAAGGATAAATAATAACCTTTAGAGATCCCATATCCTCATTAACCCATATTGAATCAATTTTCAATCAAAACTCATTATGCAAGAAATTCCATATTAAAAAAATGAAGTACACTTAAAAACAAACGTTCACTTATTTACTAATAATTAGAGCCAAGACTCAAGACTCACTTTCACAACCCATCGATCAAGTATCCCATGCTCATCCATTTCACAACTTTAATTATCAAACTAATATCCAAGAATTCCATATGATACTATAAAACAATCTCATAATCCCAACACAATCAACACAACTCAAATAACAGTCAAGAATCGTTAATAAGATCTTTCTAGTACTCCTTGAAGGGTGAAACTACCTCGGAAGACTCACGGTCAACCTAGGGGTCAAACTGCCCAAACTTGGTCAAACGAGCCCTCGGGGCGCACGACCTCCGATTTTAGATCCAAAAGTTCCTACAGGTTCAACAGGGTTTATTATACATGTCTTGCAAGTATGGTCCGAATCGAACGGTCGGATTGCTCGCGATCGCATGATCGCACGATTGTCGTTTAACCTAATCTTTGAATTATTGAACCGAAGCATCCAGGACTCCGATTCATGATCCGTGAATTCCTACACGATCCTAGATGTTCTTAAATCAACATATATGAAAATAGAGTCAATCCAACAGTCCGAGCTTATCGAACCCGAATAACGCCTAATATGCATAATTTGATCGACAGTCAAGCAATAACCAAATTGAAATCCGAGCATACTGTAGTGCCCGGGATGACATGAGGATCATTTTAGTACCCAATGGCCTAGAGTAAACTCCTGCGATCGGAAAATCTCCAAACCACCGGTTAAGACCTATACCTACATGATCAGGACAATGAGTGGAACAACTTTTGTTCTTGGACCATGGCCAAAAAGTGACAAGAACTTGCCGGAAACACGAGTTGAAAACCAGCCAAACTTTAAGCGATGAATCGAATTCCAAAACCCAAAAATCAATCCTAATCAACTTAACCATCAGCTAGAACACATTGAGAGGATGAAAAAACATACATAGATCGAAGAAATTGGTAGTCAGAATTGCCGGAACGGGTGATGGAAATTTACGTAAAAACCGGCATTTTTTTTGCAATTTTCGACAACTGGAAGTGGCGGTTCTGTCGGAGGTGGGGTGGGGTAGGAAGAGGAAGTGGTGGTGGTCGTTTTGGTACTAGCCTCGCTGAATTTGGTGGCCGAATACGATGGTGGTCGGCCAAAGAATAGCCAGCTAAAGCTACGGTCGTGAGAGGGGGGCTCGGGAGAGAGAGAGAGAGAGAGAGAGAGAGAGAGAGAGAGAGAGAGAGAGAGAGAGAGAGAGAGAGAGAGAGAAAAGAAATAAAAATCTGATTTTAAAACTGAATTTTGAAATATTTACAATAATACCACTAGGCTTCCGTTGATCGTAATTTCTTCATTACAACTCCGATTTAAGTCCAGCACATGTCTACGAACTCGTATCGACGTGATCTATGCAATAGCACCATTAATTTTCCAAAATACTTACGGATTAAAAAGTGACCAAAATAACCCTATTCTCGAGGGCAAAATTGTAATTTCATAATTAAATAAATTAATAAATTTTAAATGGACAATTAAAATAGGGTCGGGGTGTCACAATAGGATTCGTCGTAGATTCCGAGGAATTCAAGGTGGGTCCTGTCATTATAAATTAGAAGAAAGAAAATATCTAGAATGATTTTTTGAAATAAAAACTAAAAGTTTTTTAATTATACCGGATGAAGACCCCATGAGTTTCTTACTTTAAACTTGATACACTTTTGGAAAGGGCAGCAAACTCCTTTGAACCGAACAACTTTTATTTTATTTTATATACAAGTGATATAAGGGAAAGATGAACCAAACAATCTATTTGTTCATGAAAATGAAAGCTGGTGTAAAAATTGATAGCAAATTTGCCTACTTTCTTTTTAATTTTCTCTAGTTTTTTTTATAAAAATTAAATGGGCTGACTTGCTTTTGCAAACCTGTTGACTTTTACTCTTTATTAATGTTTTTACCTATTTTTAAGATTATAATAACTCATTTATTTAGCACGTCGGGGGAAATGAAATTTAAGTAAAAATGTCAAATTGCTAATCCAATACAATTTTGATGTTTTTATATCAGGAGACGCTAGTTGGATATTGCCAATATTGATTTAAATAGAAAAGAATGATGTTTGTTAATCCAACGACTCAAACACCAATACAATACAAGATTATGCTACTTGTTTTTTCTCTTCTATTATTAATAAAATGAGAATAATATGATAAATTCACACATTTTTATATTAAAAAAATTAAAATTAAAAGAAAAATCAGATAATGGAACTTATTTTTATAAAACAAAATAACCCATCATTTTTTTTAATCCTAAAATAAATTTAAATTAAATTATATAATTTTAAAAAAATAAAAAAAAAATCTCGCAAGCGCGGAAGCACATATATAGAGGCTAGTATTTTAAGGGAAAAAAAAACAGAAACCTCCTGAACCGGGTTGGACCTGTTTTAATTATCTCCAAACTGACAAAAACCGGACCAACTCTAGTATTTTAATTATATTATTTTTAAAAATATTAATACACGTGTCAGCAGATAATTCGTCAGTTTTATGCCATTTCTAGTCCTTGCCACACTTGATCCGATGAAACCCTATACATTTGAGGGGCTTCCATTTTTTTTGTCATTCCGCCTCTGCCTCTCTCGCTCAGTCTCTCTCTCTCAACCTCCTCTCCCCAAATCCGCCGCCAACTTCTTCCAGATTTCTCTATTGCTCTCTCTCAGCCGCTCTCTAGCTCTCCCATATTTGCAAAACCTGGTTGTATAACATTCTGTTTAAGTATGCTCTTCATCAATTCATGGGTCTTTCTTGATTTTTAGATTTCTGCATATTTGTCTTTTGGTTTTGATGTGTTATGCTCTTTCCCAACCTGTTTCTTTTGCTCTGAGCTCTCTCTCTCTCTCCCTCTATCTCTCGTTGTTCTAGCTCTGAAATACAGCCCTAGGTAAGAAGTAAAAACCATCTCAGCAACCCTTGTTCTTTTATTCCTATTTTTGTTGTATTCTTTAGAACTAATAAGCTTATATAATCCCTTTTGTTCCTGGTATTCTCTATGGAGAACCAACAAGTCTCAAAGCTAGATTGTGTTCCAATTCTGTGCTCACCACACATTGGTTTATCTTTTGGGTTTTTTTTCCCCACTTTTTGTTCTGTTTAATTCAAGCCACTCAAGCTCATCTTGTATTCTTCTCGAGTGTTAGGCTAACTTGCTGTAGTTGTGGGACTGTAGGAGCATAATCGTAAAGCATTCTCTATTTTTTAATATTATTGTGTTGCTTCTAGTAGAATCCTTACCAATTTTTTTGTCATAATCTTTGAATTTAATTAATTGCAAGCAGGACCATTGTGCGCTGTGAATTGTTATAATCACAACTTGTTTTCTTTCTGTTTGTAATTTCTTTTTGGGTAACAATTTCAATGACCGAGTGTAATTCCTTTCTGTTTCTAATTTGTTTCGTAGAAAATAGTGCTGTATAATCGAAAGGCCCTATGAGGTTGGAGAAATGCTGGTTCTGTTCCTCCACCGTGTATCCTGGACATGGGATTCAGTTCGTTCGTAATGATGCAAAGGTAGGAACTACTCTGTCCATGTAATTTCCATGCACTTGTGATTTGTCATCTAAATGTTATTCTAAGTAACATATATTACCTGCAGATGTATGGTCCTGTTTATCAAATTTAAATGTTAATTTGACAACATAGTTTTCAGAGTCTGAAAATGTTAGTATTCATCGCATTCCTGAATCTATAGTCAACTGCTATCTAATGTGCTGTTCGGGGGTTGGGTTGGTATAGGGAAGTATTAGGGAGCTTAGAGTGGTTTGCATGGTTACATAGGGATGCAATTTTATATGAAGCTCCACAAATGAGATTGACACTGAGGATGAATCAATTTCTTTGGCAGTCAGGTTGTGTGGTCGTTTCTTTACTCCTTGTGATTTGAATGTGTGCTGAATGATGGCTTTTAATTATGTTTATATGTATGGGATTTTCTAGTTCACCAATGTCAAAAGAAATTATCTAACACTTCATTTCGATACTGATTGTGAAATTGCATTGCCATGTCAGAAGTAGAAGTGCCATTTAGGACTAAGCCTGCCTTTGCATTATGTCTGTTTAAGGACATCGTGTGCAGCTCAATTCCCTGACAACCATTTTTTTCTAGATTTTTCGATTTTGTAGATCCAAATGCCACAAGAACTTTAAAATGAAGAGGAATCCTCGCAAGGTAAAATGGACTAAGGCCTATAGGCGGTTGCGTGGGAAGGATATGACACAGGTGAACAAACTTACTTTTTCTTAATCTAATCGTGCTCATATTACTATTTAATGTTGGATCTTTGGAAGGCTTAGGGTATATTCTGTTAGCCTTATTTTGTGTTCTTTTTGTAGGACTCGACCTTTGAGTTTGAGAGAAAGCGAAATAGGCCTGAGAGATATGACAGGAATCTTACAGCAAACACTCTGAAGGCCATTAAGAAGATCGATAAAGTTAGAGTCGATAGGGAGGCCAGACACCATGAGAAGAGGTACTTTCCTCTGCTTCATTGTTATCTACAGGAGAAAACAGTAATAGGTGTTTTTGGTTTTCATATATTAAGATATTTGTTGAAAAACTTGAGCAGGATGAAGGGCAAGAAGGCCAAGGAGCACAGGGAGGCAGCAAAAGAGTTGGAACAGAGCATCAGCTTGGTCAAAGCTCCAAGTGTGCTACAACAAGATCCATCGTTCAACTTACCGATCAAGGTCAAGGTTTCTCAACAGCAGCCCGACAAAAGCCTCGCCATGATGGAGGAGTAATTTTATTGTTGGATGTTCGTTTCCTATGTTTCATTATTTTAGTGTGCTTCAGATTGTTGTATTCGAGCTTTTTCCCCTAAGTTTCATTAACTGTAATTTTGACTTATATTGGAGACATCATGAACTTTATAGATTTATGTTTAACAAGTGATTGTGGAAATATAAAATTTATCATGGCAAGTATGATTCACATACATATCTTAATCATCTTCATTTTAAATTTTAAATTTGTGCGCTGGATAATTATCTTGCCATAAAAAATACATTGACAAAATAAAAATCCATGTAGGGGTTAGTTTAAATAATGAAAGGAAAATACGAGGCTTATCACATTTTTATGTCACATTGTGTATCACATCTCTAAATAGAGGTGGAGCCCTAGTTGCAGCGGTATATAAAATATCATTCTAGATGTTACAAGTAACCATAGTGTATATAATTTCCCAAAAGCTATTTGTTCTTTCTATTGTTATCCTTTTCTTCTTCTCAATGGAATTTGTAAAAGGTGTTTCGTTTCCATCATGAGACATTGTTGCGTTACTCATTTGCATCCATTGGACAGGTACTGGTACAGTGGTACTGGTCCTTGGGCGTGAAAAGGAAGGTGTACCGGTGGATATCATACATGTTCTGGATGCTTGCCTTGAGATTCCACAGTTGGGAGTTGTTAGATCTCTTAACGTTCATGTCAGCGGCGCCAGTGCTCTGTGGAAGTATACTCGACAGCAGAGATCCCAATAGGTTTTTGTTTCTAAAAGCCATACATGTTCTGTTTGGTTATACACAAGGAAAACCTGTTCAACCCAAGACTTGAGCAGCTTTTAACATTCAATTTTGCAACGCAGTATTCAGAGGCAGTTGTCTCATTGTCAACTAGAAATGTTGTTCACGGGAAGAAAAAAGGAATTCAAAGACGGGATGTAAAGGGGAGACAAATTAGCATGGAAAATGGTCAAGACCTGCTTATATTTTGAGTGGTTAAAGAATGGGAGGAATGTGGTGTGTTAAAACACATGAATCTGCAGGTCTTTGGCTGCTCACTCATTGTACCAAATTTTTCTGCCATGGAAGATTCCATGAGGTTCTTTACACCCTTAAGTAAACCCTGAAAAATCATTACTTAGTTTATTGTGAATTCTTATCTCCTCTAAATTGTTGTACGATATTCGGAACTTGGGATTCCGTCACAGCTTCTCGTTGTAATTTTACTTTGTCATAATGAAAAAAAAACGATAATATTCTCGTTAAGGAAAGAGCGATGAGCCAAAAAGCCGATTCACTGGCTTGTTTACAAGAAAAAATGGTCTTTGTAAAAATAAAAATAATAAAAAAATTTACATGGGTTGTTAACTTAAAGTTTCACTTTCTCTTTGTAGATGAGAACATCTTGGGAAAAACTCCTCGTTGCTTTTGCACCTGAAAGGATTTGAGTTTAGATTGAATTTTCAAACTAATTAGCAAATGTGACTCTTAATAACAACATAAATAATGATCTAAAAACCAAATAAATATAATTAAAGTTTTCAATTACCTTCAAGCTTTTGATAACAGCTTTTATTTTGTTGCTGGTAGTAGAGCCAGTACGCTTCTTTCTTGTCTCCCTGTCTTTCTTAGCTTGTGAACATGTAAAAATCCAAACATGTCTGGGATTTTCCACTTGCCAAAGCAGATTGGAGCTTTTGAAATCTTTTTTGGCTTTCTTCTGACACCAACAATCTAACTACAACAACTTTATCAATCTGTAAGACTATAACATAAAGTAACCTTTTCTTAGTAAATTTTTTAATAGTCATTGCTGATCATAGCCCCTCTCTAATTCACATCTAAGCCCAAGTTCTTTTGATAAACTAAGTGCATGTTTGGTAACCCTATTTTTGCTTTTGTTTTATCTTTTACAATGTTTTTTATAAAAAAAACAAAAATTAAAGGAGGTTGGAAGGGAAAGCGAGATAGATGATAAAGAATGAGTCCCGCATCGGAAACTTGATTAAATAAAATAAAGTATATAATGAATGGTTCCACAACTAATATCATCAAGGCCTTTTGTTATAAAACCCCACACCTACTGGATTTTGTAGGTGATTAAGTTAGGGACAATATCGGTGTTGCTAGTAGTGGGCTGCTAACCCATCTATCTGAATTTAACATGGTATCAGAGTGAGTTAATTGAATAGGCCTGAATTGGGCTTTTACCCTTACCCAATATAAACACATGTTGGGCTTGAATGTTTACCCTTACCCAATACGTGGTGCTCACATGTTGGACTTGAATGTTTGACTCCTATGTGTACTTGACTCTACGTGTAGCCTGTTATGTGGTGGTCCCAAGTGAGGGAGCGTGTTGAAGAATGAGTCTCACATCGGAAACTTGATTAAATAAAATACAATATATAATGAATGATTTCACTATTAATATCACTGAGGTCTTTTGTGATAAAATCTCACACCTACTGGACTTTGTAGGTGGTTAAGTTAGAGACAATATCGATATTGCTAGTAGTAGGCCGCTGGCCCATCTCTCTGAATTTAAAAAAAACAAAGTAAATTTAGGTTTTAGCCAAAAAAAAATTTTCACTTTTGGAAAAAGCCAAAGCTTTTTCAAAAAAGACAGAAAAACCTCTCAACTTTCAAATCAAAGACATGCAAATATAAAGGATTCCTTAGGAAATCCAAAAATAAATAAGGGCAATTTTGTCCATTTTGGCTTCTTTTACAAATTTTCTCTCTCCTTTGTGTTTTTCCAAAGTCTCCTTAAGAGAGCTATACATTAGAAGAAAGAAAATATCTAGAATGATTTTTGGAAATAAAAACTAAAAGTTTTTTAATTATGCCAGTCGAAGACCCCAAATGATGAGTTTCTTACTTTAAACTTGGTACACTTTTGGAAAGGGCCGCAAACTCCTTTCAACCGAACAACATTTATTTATTTATTTTATATATACAAATGATATTGAGGAAAGAGGAACCGAACAACCTATTTATCAGTGAAAATGAAAGCTGCTGGAAAAATTGATAGCAAATTTGCCTACTTTCTTTTTAATTTTCTCTAGTTTTTATTTATTTATTAAATGGGCTGACTTGCTTTTGCAAACCTGTTGACCTTTACTCTTTATTAATGTTTTTACCTATTTTGAAGATTATAATAACTCATTTATTTAGCACATCGGGGGAAATGAAATTTAAGCAAAAATGTCAAATTGCTAACCAAATACAATTTTGATGTTTTTCAGTTGACATCTCAGGACACGCTAGTTGGATATTTCCAATATTTAAATAGAAAGGAATAATAATGTTTGTTAATCCAACAACTTAAATACCAATACAAGATTATGCTACTTTTTTTTTCTTCTCTCCTCACTATGTTTTCCCTTCTTATATTTTAAGAAGGAAAAAAAAAACAGAAACCAAAAACGAAAGATGTTATCAGACGAATCCTAAACTTCTGATTAATCATTCAACTATAGATGAGATTATGAAGTCAATTTTCTCTGTTTCTAAACACTAAATTACATCCAAGAAACTTGTCTACAGTAAAAAAGTACTAGTTGACACACACACACACACACACAGACCCAAAGAAAAAGATAAAGAAAAGGTACCTGGGCATGAGATTGTTGCCTATTGGTATTGTTAGGCCTTGGATTTAAGGCTGTGGAAGCAGCTGGTGCTGATCTAGCAGATCGCCGAAGGTGTTGAGAGTACTGAAGGAGCTCAGCTCTCCTACTAATGTACCCTCTTCCATCAGCGCCACGCCTGTAATGAACAACCTCTCTCTTGATGGTGTGATGAATATGATGATGGTTATTGTGATGGTGGTGATGGTGATGGTGACGGTAATTTGAGAACGTCCTCCTCTTCGGTTTCTCCACGTACACGCTCACCAACACCCCTTTCTCCTTGCTGTATGTTCCCTGAAATTCAAGTGATCAATATTAGGTCAAGTGGTATTTCTTTTTTTCTTCGAAGAATAAAATCTCTCATACTGTTGAGTTTACTTCAGGAAAAAAAAAAGTGCAAAGCGTATAAACTATTACCATTTTGGTTGGCATGGAAGAGAGAGAGAGAGAGAGAGAGAGAGAGAGAGAGAGAGAGAGAGGTTTGTTGCTTGATGGTTAAGAGGGATTTATAGCATTGTTGTGCGTGTGTAAGATGTGGTATTGGTTCTGTTGGCATGGAACATGAGAGGCCAAATAGAGAGGGCCAAAATGATTTCTTATATTCCTTTGGTTGAAACGAAACCTGTTTCATTGTATTTATTATCCAAAGGTCCAATACAAACCCGGCCATGATGAATTTTATAGAAATTAATTAAACCAAACCAATGTCGACAATAACAGTGAAATGCATATTTCGATAAATTATTGTGTGTAATGGAAAAGTCTCTTTTACATGCCATTGCCGTCCAAATTTACATGTACATATTGTTTGTACCTTAAACCAAGAGAGAGAGAGAGAGAGAGAGAGAGAGGAGAGAGAGAGAGAGAGAGAGAGAGAGAGAGAGAGAGAGAGAGAGTTTTAGAGCATTACCTTGTTGGGCTTGGTTACTCTGCAAATTTTACATGTGATTAACAATCAGGCCCTAGGCTAGGGCTTGTGAGATACAATCGAATGGAAGTGACAAGACAGAGAACTCTAGGACCCCATTGCCAGGTTCACTTCGGGTCTTAAAATCTCAGAACCGGCCCTAATTATTAGTTGTACCTTCTATAATGGAGCGAACCCAGCTGCCTTCTTAAGGATTGGCAAGAGTTTCGTAAATGTTTGAGTAGCATTTGTACGTAGTATCATTATCATAGTGGCAGTTTATTAAATGCTGTTCGAAGCACTACAAAGAGCTTATTACAAGTAGAAAACCGGATCATTGTGAAAATATAAGGCACAAATGTACACAAAACCAGGCTATGGATTATCTACTTGTACTAACAATTTTTTTTAAAAATGTTTACTTCGAGCAATATACAAATCCAAGAGCATTTGAGTTCTAGTAGTGGTAAAAAAATAAACCATACATATGGATGGTACTTCCGTTTTAATGTACGGCTCAAAATCAAAAGTCAAGTAATGTTAAAATAAGCAAATCCCTAAAACCCTTCCCGCAATGTTGGTTTTTAAAAAAAAAATAAAAAAATATACCAGCGATATTGGGGAGGGGAGAATCGAACCTAGAGCATCCGTTATATGAGTAAATACTCTTAACCACTTGAGCTATAAGCCCCTTGCTCCGACTATATGTTGGTATGAATAAAACAGTTAGGTCATTGTTTGGAGGGTTTTGCTACCATTGACATAAATATAATAGGTAACTTGTTATCGGAACAAAACACTAGTGAACAAAACAAAAGTATAACCCAGTTTGTAATTCTAAAGTAACTAAGAGAAATTAGTTTGTGGTTTTAAAGTTAGATTTTGCTGGGCCTTTTTTGCTTATAAATGGGTGAATTATGTTTCAAATAGCTTATTATTATAAAACTCAGCCAAATATGAATGGAATATTGTGTTGTGTAATTTGTTAATATCTTTTACCTTGTAGACATAGAACCTTTCTATTTAAACCAATTTCTCCCCATACTCCATCTCTCGTATGATTTGTTCGTATTTGTTACCTTGTAAAGTAGAGAAACCTATGTATTTAATCCCATAATTTTGTATAAATGGAAAGCATCTACGGATTCAAAACCTTACACCAGAGAAAATGAAATAAAAAGATGTCAAAGCTTTCAATAATACAATAGGCTTATAAACCCTCGAATCTATCAAAACAAACAATTCTTTTTGCACACATGCCAAACAATTAGTCTAGTGATTATTTTATTTCTAAAATTAGCAAACTTCTCAAGTTTGAAGCACTTATTCATGATTGAAAAATAAATAAATAAATAATTATCATGTGACTTTTTCAACTTGGTTCAATGAAGTCAATGCGACAATTTAGACACCCATGTTCACTAGGCAGCCAACGATAGGACCTTGGTTTGGGCCAAGATCTAATACGAATAGGGTTGAGTATCCTCGAATGGACCTTCTTCGTTTACCTAGATGGTCTGCACAACTCGAAGAACAAGTTATCAAAAAGATACTAGTGTGGTACCAGCCAAACCCTTTTTGACGCCAAATTAGAAGTAGAATGAACTAGTGTTTGAGAGAGCAAATGAATAGGATTTCTAGGGAAGTAAGAAGTTAATACCTTTATCTGAATTTAGGTGAAGAGTGTTTATAGGAGATGAAGGGGGAGTATATCCCCTTGAATCTAGCTTAAGGTAGATCTTCAGCCACCCTCCTTACTAAGGTGAGAGAGAGAGAGAGAGGGTGGCTGTAGGCATAGTCTAAAATATTGATAATATCAACAAAATATTGAGGATATTATCCTTTTTTTGTGTCACGGATATTTTGAAACGTATCTATATATATTGTGTAAATATCGATAATTTCGCTCACACTTCATCAATATTTTGTCAAAATATCGTTATAATATCACTAAAATATCGAAAATATCGATGTAATGCACAAAAAAAAGTAAAAAAAAAACACAAAGCACACATACAAAGCGGATTCAAACCCCTGCCATTTCACTCCTCCAATGCCTTATAACCACCATGTTGCTTATGTTTTTTGTGATAATATGCTAAAATATGTATATTTATATTGTTTTGTTTTGAACTGTTTTTGCAAGAATAGATTTTCACATGAGAATGTGAGTCTTTAACCTTTCCTTTTGGGATGGAATTGAGTGGCTCATGGAAGAATTCGAGACCCAATCTTCAAATGATTTTGGTTATAGACAATGTCAACCAATCTGGGATCCATATGGGTGGCATGTTAACAATTACATGCAAAACTATTTTGGGGATTTATCATTTGATGACTACTCTTCACAATACACTTACTCTACATAGAGATGATGAAGTTAGTGAAAAATTTGAACCTTATAGGAACTCTAAGTGGTACTAAGTCACTCATGTATCTTACCATGCAATATATAAAGTGTAATATATTGTAATAAATCATTATATATAAATTATTATGGTGTGTTTATTCTTCTTTTATTAATTACTACATATTTTATACACTCACATTATTTGTCAACTCGCTATATAATCAACTTTGTAGGCACTAAAACTAAACAGATAGTGATAAGACCAACTTACAGGTGATGTGGACGGTAGAGGGACTGGATGTGCCTTCAGTAAGCACGTTCCTCTTCAGTTGGCGATGCAGGATCTGGCCCAAGGAGAGAAAACAGCAGATGAGACTTAAGGCACCAGTTGAAGGTTCTTCGATGCTAAAGTTAGCTTAAGGGGATGAGAGCAAGCTATCGACAATGCAAGGGCTTAAGTGTCAAGTAGCAAGTCTTACCCTATATCTGGGGTGAGGAGCTATATTTATAGGGAGTTCTGGAATTTTTTTGGTATTTAGTTTCGATGTGGGACTCATGGGAGTGCCTTTTGAGGCTGACACGCGTCCCAGCAAATATCCTAGCGATGAACCCGAGAACATCCTACAAGATGCCTTCTAAGGTTTAGAATTGGCAAGGCGTGCCGAACACACTTACAAGGTCGTGGGTGCTGAAGAGACGTACTGATTCGTACTATTGGGCTTGCTAGCGCGGGCCATGGAGCCTTCCTTAGTGTCATACCCATTCCATGTGTCATGGCATGAGATGCGGGTCAAGTATGGTACAAACAAACTTAAATTAATTAAACCCATCATGCAATGCATTTCCTTTCAATTTTTTGTGATAAACTAATAGATAATTGACTAAATAAACATCCTCCAAAGTTTCAATAAAAATCACAAGTTTTTCTTACAATTTCCGTAGTTTTTATTCAATTTTTATCGATATTAATAATATCCCGATATTTCCATTGAAATTTCCGTGTTTTTGAATTATCGATATTTTTGATACCATCGATATTTTATACATTGGCTGTAGGCACTGGTTATCACACTAATTATCAGGGGACCAGTTGTTGGATGACACCTGGGCCAGATTAGAAGTGCATTAAATGTTTCCTTTAGTAATTCTTGGAAACCTGTGCGAGCTAGATTGCTTATAGAGGCGATCTGTGGTGGATTTTCCAGTTGTCTTTGATTTGCTTATGCTTGATTCCAATCGAAGAAGTGTGAAGGAGTTATTGTCTAAGAGCATTGGCAGCAAGGGGCCCAAGGGGGGGGGTGGGGGGGGAAAACCCAAAATGTGGTTTCCAGCAACAAGAAGCTGCCAGGGCAAGCAGTGGGGCCCACAACCCTAGGCTAGCCCGAGGGGGAGGCTGGCCCGAGCTCCAGCTCGCGGGCTATGATGACGTCAGCGCTGCTATTTAAATTTTTTTAAAGCGGGCGTGTGCATTGCACGCGCCCGGTTTAAAAAAAATTTGACGCGCGCTACAGTAGCTGCCCAACAGCATGATTCCACGTGTCTGCTGCTGGGCCATCCGATCTTCTTTTTAAACATATCCAACGGCAGCCATTTTTTCGCGAATAAAAAAATCGAAAAAGCAACCCCCAACGGCTCTATGCCACGTGGAAGCTCCTGGGCTCTCCGATTAGTTTTTTCCAGCAATCCAACGGCAGGCAATTTTTTGCCCAATAAAAAAAATGAAAAAAAATCAGAAAAAATTTAAAAAAATACTAAATTTTTTTTTTCTATAAATACCAACCAATACTGACTTTTAACCCAAAAATCTTATCCGAAAATATTATCCAAATTAATTGTTTAAGTAAACAAAGTTGTGAAAAAAACAAAAAAATGAATAGTATTTGCCATGGCAAGCCTTGCATTGCTGGAAACACAATTTTTTTTTTGTGCTAGGGCAGCCACTATTCACGTGAATAGTACCCACCCTAGGGCTCCCCTTGCCATGGCAAGGGACTAACTGATGGAAGTGCTCTAAGTATGTAGCTCGGGTGGCTTCGATCGTGAGTGGATACCATTGAGCCGACCAGATGTGATACCCATGGTCTAGAGATTTGATCGGATCAGCTGGTCTGCTTATTAGACTATGACGGGTCAGGTCAGTCCATAGAGGTATCCAACTGCTTAGTCACGTGGCACCATACTATTGGCTCGGTGATATGAAATGTCAACAATACCCTCACACCAAAACAAAATAGAAGAAGTTTTTTTTTTTGAGCTAATAATATTCTGGATAAACCATATTCTTGAAGTTTCCTCTAAAAAAGAAAGAAAAAGACAAGTAAAATTCTTATCGACGCTATCAAGTTGACCGATTCGTCCATGTCTAATTTTGTTCGCACAGAAAAATGAGGCACACCTATTTTCAATCGACTACCTAATTAGTTAACAAATTATGAAATAAATAAATAACAAACCACACAATCATGTTTTGATTCTAAGATGCTGACAAGTATGTATGTTTTTGGGAAAATATATATTAGGGAGATGATATTATTGTACCACATTATGAATCACTTCTCTAATAGATATGAGACCTATTTGTATTGGCGGGTCATACCTTTATTAGAGAGGTAGTATATATCAGATTGAGGGAATCAACTCTGAGTTTCATATACACTTTGCAACAATTAAATACACATAAGAACACTTGTTTGAAATCCTAAAAGATAAAGCAGTTTGAAACTGTCTCCTAACTCTAAGGAACAACTATTTGAATGAATGCAAACTAAAGAAACTAACGGGCTAAGATTATCTGTACAATGAATTCAAAATAAGAAACTAACGGACTGGTACAAGTTGTTACAATCCTGTGATATGCCCCCTCAAGATGGGGCTTGAGATAGAAGCCCAATCTTGGATTTGAGATCCAGAAAACGAACACGGTGCAGTGGCTTGGTAAGTGCATCAGCGAGTTGATCTGCTGAGGATACATGAGCAACTCGAAGAACACCATTCTGTACCTGGTCCCTGATGAAGTGAAAGTCGACGACAACATGTTTCATTCTGGAGTGAAACACGGGATTGGAACAGAGTTGGGTAGCCCCAACATTGTCGCAGTATATAACAGGACAGCAAGGCAGTTGAACACCAAGATCAGTGAGGAGATAGCAAAGCCAGTTGAGCTCAGCAGCTGCATTAGCTACTGACCTGTACTCAGCTTCAATGGAAGACCTTGCAACAGATTTTTGCTTTTTTAGAACTCCAGGAGACATGATTACACCCAAGATAGATGACATAAGCACTGGTGGATGAAAAATCATTCTTGTCACCTGCCCAGTCTGCGTCTGAATAGGCGTGGAGATTCAATGGGGACTGACGATGAATTTGGAGGCCTTCATTAATAGTGCCACAGAGATAACGTAAGAAACGTTTAACAAAGCTTCAATGGTCGGTGGTTGGAGTGTGCATGTACTGAGAGAGCTTGTTAACCGCAAATGCAAGGTCTGGTCTTGTAATTAAGAGATATTGAAGGCTGCCAACAACTGTTCTGTACTCGGTGGGATCAAGCAAAGCAGAGCCTAACTTTAGCAACGGTGGGCTAGTTGGAATGGGAGTAAGCACAGGATTGGCATCAGTCATATGAGTTCTAGCGAGAATGTCCAAAATGCAACGCCGTTGAGATAATAAAATACCTTGCTGATTGGGGACTACCTCCACACCCAAAAAATAAGACAGTTGTCCAAGATCCTTAATTGAAAACCGATTAGCAAGAACATCAACAGAGGAGTCGATCATCTTAGTATTGTCTCCAGTGATTATTAAGTCATCCACATAGACAAGTATATACATACTATGGCCAGCAACAGTGAGAACAAATAGAGAAGTATCTGCATGGGAATTTTTGAAGCCAGAGTAAAGAAGGAAAGCACGAAGTTCATGATACCATGCTCTCGGTGCTTGTTTGAGGCCATAGATGGCTTTTCGAAGTTTGCAGACATAAGATGGATGATCTTGATCAACAAAACCTAGTGGTTGTTGCATGTAGACATGCTCGGAGAGGTGGCCTTGGAGAAAGGCATTGTTGACATCAAGTTGACGTAAAGACCAACCCCGAGATACAGACTGAGGACAACACGAACTGTTGTTGGTTTGACAACAGGGCTGAAAGTGTCTAGATAATCGACGCCTGGTCTTTGATGAAAGCCTTTTGCGACCAAACGTGCTTTGAACCTGTCAATAGAACCATCAGAGTTACGTTTAATTCTAAAAATCCATTTACATCCAACTACATTCTGTGTAGAATCAGGTGGAACAAGTTCCCATGTGCCGTTTCTAACTAAAGCATCACACTCATTAGACATGGCTTTAGGCCACTTTGGATCTTTAAGGGCTGTAGACACGGTGGTTGGTTCAAGGTCGTTGGATTTGGAGAGTTGAGTATGAAGGTTCATTTTAGTGATGGGTTTATGGATGTGGTTCTTGGCTCGGGTGGTCATTGAGTGAGTTGGAAGGGGATGAGGGTCAGGTGGGTTAGGAGGGGACGTTGGGATTTGTGGTGAGGGGGTTGAATTGGTTGAGGATGTCAAGGAGGGTTGGTGTGAGCGGGGGAGCTGGTTTGTGTTGGGGGATGGAACCTGTACTGGAGTGGGTGTTGGAGCTGCACTTAGAGGTTGCTGAGGAACGATGACTTCAGATGGCATAGTGAGTGGCGGCTGGGAAGGGGGTGAGAGAATTGTAATTGGTGCAGGAATCCAAGTGGCAATGGGGTTGGGATGATGACTAGAGGACGGACCAGACAGTGAAGAGTAAGGAAACTGCGATTCAACAAATTTGACATGTCTTGAGACATAAATTTTTGAGGTTGAAGGATCAAGGCAGTAGTATGCACTTTGAGTGAGAGAGTACCCAAGGAAAACATATGGCTTGGACCGTGATTCAAGTTTGTGTGAGGTGTAAGGTTTGAGCCAAGGGTAGCACAAGCAACCAAAAACCTTTAATTTCGAGTAGTTTGGGGTTGTCTGAAAAATTTTGTGGTAGGGGGATGTTGGAATAAAAAAAATCACAAAAAAAATTGAAACGTGGTTTGGATAAGCCCCATGATTTTGATATTTGTTATTAGCCACATCTAACAAGCAGAAAGTTGAGGGTAGAGAAGTGGGGGTCTAAACCAATGAAAACTCTTAAGAGAGGTTCGTGGCTCCTATTTTTGGGGGGTTGATTATTCAGTTTTCATACACCAAGAAGGCCCTTGGTTTATAAAAGGGACAGCAGTAAAGAAAGAGAAAGGGGAGAAAGGAGAAAAGAAACGACAGAAGAAGAAAACTGCTGCAGGAGAAAAATTGCAAGAGCACAAGCACAAGAGAATACTTTTCACAGGTATATTGATTCTTTCAATTAATGCTTGTTGGGTGGCAACCCTTAAATCATTGTGTTGGATGATAAATCCATAATGGGTGGCAACCCTCAAATCAAACTCTTGGATGATGAATCCATGATGGGTGGCAACCCTTAAATCATTTTCTTGGATGATGAATCCATATTGGGTGGCAACCCTCAAATCATTTTCTTGGATGATAAATCCATAATGGGTGGCAACCCTTAAATCATACATATGAACGGAAAAGCCATGAGAGGATTCCTGTCCAACAAAGCTCTGCCGAGCAAAAGGAAATCCTCCGAAACAAAAATGGTGTTCTAAGGGTTAATTCCAGAATGCACAAAAAAAAAAGGTGTGAACTACCTCTTGGACTCTCTGGCCACTCTTCTCCATCTCTGTATGAGAAACTTTTCTCTGAGTAAACTACATAAAAAAAAAGATGAAAAGGAAGTTAGTCATGAAGAAAAGAACAGACAGGAAAAAAATGGAGATCTGCAAGAAAAGTGGCTATACACCACTTTGTGTTTCTAAAAAAAAATAGATGAAGCAGCCTTGTTTTTCTTTTACTGGAGTAGAGATAGCCATCGAAAGGAAAAAGGTTGAAGACAGCACATTTATTTTTTTATTTTGTATGGGCTGGGTAGAGAAGAAGAAAAGTCAAAACAAAAAGAAAAAGAAAAAGGAAGAAGGTGGCTGACGCCACTTTGTTGGAGATTGGAAGAAAAGATTAAAAAAAAGGACATAAGAAACTTGTTGTTGCAGAGAAAAAAAGTGGAAAAAGACAAAAAAAATCTGAAACCTCTTGATATGTTGCGGCAGTTTTTCTTATGGTTTTCTCTTTTTGTTTGTAAAGGCTCTGTACTGATTGTGACTTCGTGTACTCTTTTAAAGACTAAACAGTAACAATGTTTGCTCTTAATTCGGACTGGTCACAAGTATTCCAGATAAATATAGGACTGCAAGGTCTGATTTTACTTGGAAACAAACTCTACAAAGAGTTAGATATCTATCAGGTTGTTTCAATCGCTTGCTGGACCAAAGCTCTTCTGGGCTCCTTGTTCGTGGGCCAACTATCAACAAATATCAAAGGCCCGAGATAAAAAAAAATGGGCTGTCAAAAATAAATGCCCATTAACTCTCAAAAGTCCATAGTATTTAATGGGTGATTCAAATAATTACCCATCAAATGTACATAGGCCTAAATTTCCTATCATATGGTTAATGGATTAATTCAACAATCCTCATTGCCATATTTGGGCCCAGGTCCAAATAATGTTAATTTTAGAAAATTAGTGGGTTAATTAAAATTGCTCATTATTTTTCTTAGACATTAACAAAAAGGAAAAATGGTACAAAACCATCCAATTGTTCCCATGGGTCACTTACCCATGAAAATTCCAAAGAGATTAAATTCAAATATCTCAAACACAAATCCTCAATTAATGGGCTACACTTACCCATTAATTTTCAATTTTTCCCATAGGTCACCTACCTATGAAAATCCCCAAATTATCTCAAAGACACCAATTCTAAATTATTGGGCCACACTTACCCATTAATTTCTAAATTTTGGAACTACGCCGGTTTGATCCCATCAAGGGTACGTAGGCAGTCTAGCATCCCAATAGACGCAACCGCAACCAAATCCCCACAAATTAAATATCTACCTTTACACAAATCAAGTCCGAACTACGTTGGTTTGATCCCTTTGAAAGGGTACATAGGCAATCTAGAGATCCAATCTAGATGCAACCATCCCAAACACAACTTCATATCGAATCCCTGGCTTATTCAGCTAAATTCACTCAAACACCCCTCAATCAAATTCATTCAAATTCCCCCTTTTTGCAATGAGTCATCTATTCATTGCGAATCTTTGAACTACGAGTGGCTTGATTCCTGCAAAGGATACGTAGGCACCCTGAGGTTGAACTTGGGAGCAGCCGCAAAACCAAACACATACATTCTGTTTCTTTATGATGGAATCAAAGGGTTTTCCCTTGTAGCGAGGGATTGTAATTAAGAGACTTGCGTCTTGAATGGGTCGAACCTAAAATAATAAAACCCCATTAATTGATTAGTGGTGGTGAAATTATGTTAGGAGGTTCATATTTTCCTTCAACATAATTTTTTCCCATTAATTGATTAGTGGTGATGAAATTATGTTTGGAGGTTTACATTTTTCTTCAACAGGGGAGGAGAGATTTAAAGTGGGAGTGGGCATTCTGTTGATGAGGTAGACAGCTGTGGCAAAGGCATAAGTCCAGTAGGAGATTGGTAAAGAAGAATGAGTGAGAAGGGCAAGACCGGTTTCGATGATGTGAAGGTGCCTTCTTTCGGAGTAACCATTGTGTTCAGGTGTATGAGGGGGAGTGGTGAGATGAGAGATACCATTGGTAGAAAGAAAATTAGATAGGGAAATGTACTCACCACCATTGTCAGAATAGAGTGTTTTGATGGTTGAATGGAAGTGTTTTTCTACAATGGCTTTGAATCTTATGAAGACTTCTTTGACATCAGATTTGTTTTTGAGTGGGTAAAACCAGATATATTTAGTGAAATGATCAATGAAGATTACATAATATTTAAAGCCATTATGGGAGTAAATTGGAGATGTCCAGACATCGGAAAATATAATTTCAAGAGGTTGAGTAGAGACAATTGTAGAGTTGGAGAAAGGCAATTTGTGGCTTTTATTGCAAAGGCAAGCATTACATGAAAAATCAGATGACAAAGAGGAAGATAAGCCTAAGCAATTGCTAGAAACAATATGTTTGAGAATTGGAAAAGCAGGGTGTCCTAAGCGATGGTGCCAGTCTAAGGACGTGGTCTTTGTTACGGAGAAGGCAATCAAAGGGGAGGAGGTTGGCCACTCATATACACCATCTTTAGTTTGTCCCTTGAGCACTGTTGCCCCGGTCTGAAGTTCCTTCACAAGAAAAGTGGATGGTAAGAACTCTATGGAAACATTGTTAGAAGTGCAAAACTGTGAAATAGTAATTAGGTTCTTTTTCATAGATGGAACACAGAGAACATTGTTTAATGTAAAGTTATGGTGGGGAGTTTTGAGAGAGGTGGAACCAGTGTGGGTGATGGCAAGATTAGAGCCATCTCCGATCATGATGTCATCAGTGCCCATATAGGGAGCATGCAGGGAGAGGTTGTTGAGATCAGACGTGACATGGTGTGATGCACCACTATCCAGAAGCCAGGATGATGGGGTGGAAAGATGAGCTTGTGGTTGCCATGGTGTGCCTTGTTGGGAAGAGCTGGAGGAGGGGGGAGTATGAACTGGAATGAGCCGAAATGAAGGACACCGTTTGGCAGTGTGACCCTAAGTCCTGCAAATTTGACAGTAGCCAAGGTATGGCCTGGGAGGATGACGAGTGCCCTGTGATGGATTTGGAGTTGCAGCAGGTGGGCGGTTGGTGAAGTTGAAGGGTGGGCGCCAGTTGGTGGTGGTATTGCCTTGTGGTGGAGAAGGACGCCAGTTTTTGGTGTTCGTTTTGGATGTGGGATTTGCAGTAGCTGGAAAATGGTGTGGCTCAGGTGGGATGCTTTGAAGGGAGGCTTCAAAATTGAGGAGTTTTTCGTGAAGTTCTTCAAAGGTGATAGAGGTGTCTCTTGCTTGGACGGCGCAGACTAACTCTTTGTACTCATCACCGAGGCCATCGAGGATTTTGTCTGTGATTTCTTCTTCATCAAGGGGGGCGCCAAGAAGAGCAAGATCATCGGCTCGAGTTTTGATGGGTTGCATAAACTCAGTGATGCTAAGGGAGCCTTTGGTGGTGTTTTTGAGTTGGTGTTTGATTTGTTTGATGCGGCCACGAGAGGGTTTAGCATAAGTATTGGCTAGAATTGTCCAGGCTTGTTTAGAGGTTTGGGCTTGAGCTATGAAGGAGATAATGGTGGGTGAAAGGGAGCCAATAATGGCGTTGAGAATCAGTTGGTCCTGTCAGATCCATAAACTGTAACTGGGATTGGGTGTGGTGGTATTTTCTTGGGTCAAGGTAGCTGGCGGGCATGGTTTGGACCCATCAATATAGCCAAGAAGATCATAGCCAATGAAGAGGGATTGGAATTGTAATTTCCAGGAAAGGTAATTGGTAGAGGAGAGTTTGAGAGGAGCCTGAGCAGCAACGTTGATGCTGATGAGAGTTTGATGTGGTGCATTGGTGTTTAGGATGGTTGCAGGGTTAGACCCGGTAGCCATGAGTGCTGAAGAACAGGGGAAACGATGAGAAAGTGAGAAATGGATCGGCTTAGACTACTGATACCATATCAGATTGAGGGAATCAACTCTGAGTTTCATATACACTTTGCAGCAATTAAATACACATAAGAACACTTGTTTGAAATCCTAAAAGATAAAGCAGTTTGAAACTATCTCCTAACTCTAAGGAACAACTATTTGAATGAATGCAAACTAGAGAAACTAACGGGCTAAGATTATCTGTACAATGAATTCAAAATAAGAAACTAACGGATTGGTACAAGTTGTTACAATCCTGTGATAGTATATAATGCGATACAATAATGTAGTTTCTTAACATTACTTTATCTTTAATCAACATGTAGAACTGTTTCGAACTTGGAATTGCTTTCAACATTGGGCTATGTGGGCAGGAATTCTAGGCTTGGCTTACAATTCTCTCATTCTCCAACCTCTTGGATTTGCTTGCTTGGATTACCTCATTGCTGGCTCATTTGGCTTCAGTTGAGCCACATTTAGTGCCAAATCACATCTCATCTTTGTCATGCCTTTGGCCTTCGGATCCACTATGACCTATTTTGCTCTTCTTTCAACAGTAGTCATGTTTGATCCAACCTTGGCTAAGGTTTGATTCGGCTTAGCTAAATTTGCATTCACCATGTTGGTATGGGAAAGAGTCCTTGTTGATTGGACTCTTGTCATGCCCCAATTCAAAAATAAAGAATATTCCTGAATCAAGGTACGTGAATTGAACAAAATAAAATAAAAAGACTAAAAAATTAGTTAAAATACATTTCTCTTATATAAAAATAATAATAGACTTACAAGTGTACAAGATATAAATCTTTTTTATTTATTATCTAACATTGTTGCATGCCATTGACAGTCTGCCTATAGATGAGGAAGATAAAGTTGTGCTTGACTGATGATTGATGGAAACTTTTGCAAGTAAATCCTCTCTAGCATTGCTCGTGCCAGAAGTGCAATTGAGGAGCTGTATGGGTTTGGTGTTGTGTGATAGAGTGTATTAAGGTGTATCAAGGGTATTTTTGATAGTTAAATAGGATGTACTTAGTTAATTTTACATTTCAATTTAAATATTATGGTGTACTTAGATCATAGGGTTTAGAATTCGTTTAACAACACTCTATTATCATTAACAGTTTTCTATCAAAGCAAACCCTTAAGGCAGGGGCGGATCTTAAGCCAGGGCAGGGTAGGCTACCGCCTACCCAAAAATATTTCACTAAAAAAAAACCTATATATAAGCTATGTAATTGATATCCATTCCATGTGTTGGTATACACTCTTGCCTACCCAATCCATATAAAACCCACAGCACAAGCCCACTCAAACTTTAAAAAACTGAAAAAAAAATTATAACTAGCCAGCCCATGTTATGAATGGCCCAGTCAAACTTTAATAAAAGAAAGAATATAACTTAAGCAACCAAATAGTGGCTGTGCAGTGCAATTCAAGACAGAGTCGGGAGAGCTTCTTCTCAACGCAAGTCTTGGCTGTGCTGTGCAATCGTGGACACTGGACAACCTCTTCTCTTCTCTTCTCACATACAAGGAAACAAGTATTCTTCTTAATCTCTTCTCTTTAATTATCTTCTTCTATTGGGTTATTCCTAAAATAAATGTATGCATCTTAGTTTTAATTTTAATTTGAAATTGAGTTTTCTAGGGTTTAATTAGGAATGAAATATAATTTCGGGATTTTGTTGAAATTAATTAGGTCTTTGATTTTAAGAATTTTGTTGAGATGTTTGATTTGATGTTGGCATTGTTGAGATGTTTGATTTGTTGTTGGTATGTTAATGTTTGACTAAATTCATTGCTTTACATATTGATTCAGTTGGTGTTGACTCTTCCTATTTCTACAGCAACAATGGAACGAGCTTTTTCATGTATGAGAATTATTAAGAATAGACTTCGAAGCACCATAGCTGATGAATTCCTTGCTGATTGCATGATTCTCCACATTGAAAGAGAGTTTGCTAATAGTATCGATAATGAAGAGATAATTGAAGAATTTAAGATTTCTAAGCCTCGTATGGTACAATTTTAGATTAAAATAGTTTAGTTTTTGTGTTGTATTGCATTTACTTCTTGTTTTTTGTTAAGCTTTTATTTATGTATAGATATGCATATTTGAGGGTAAGGCTCATTACGTCCCCCCTGACTAAGTGTATCTTTTTATTTTATCAATAAAATTCACTCGTATCGTCGAATTTTTAAGGTAAATTTCGCCTACCTGACTTTTGAATCCTGGATCCGCCACTGCCTTAAGGTCCTTAACTATTGGCTTGCAGCCATATATAATTACTGTGGTGACCTTCTGGAATCATCAATTTTTATTCATTTAAGTTGTTGATCAACTGTTGCAGGCAAGTTATGATCCTGAATTCGAGTCCCATCAAGAGCGGGTCAATGAGGTGAGTAATTGTCTCAATTCCACATGTAAACAAACAAAGGCTCACAAAACTCTCCAAAATATACGCATTTTTTTGCTTCTTTTCCCTTTATAAGAAGAAGAAAGCCATGTCTAATTCATCATCAGCAATACATAGAATAGAACCAACACAAGCAAACTCGAAATCAACAATGTCGACAAAGTCTAGCACTACCATCCTTGCCTTTGCCTTTTGTTTCTTGTCCCTCCTCAGTTTCGTTTACTCCAACAACACCGACGACAAAATCTACCTCTCCGGCCTGGTCTACTGTGACAACTGCCAATTGAAGTCTATGACCCAGATCAGTAAGATGATTCCAGGTACGTAACGTTAATAAGTAGGTAACAAACTACCTAATTGTCGATTATAGGATTTGAATATGAGATTTATGCATGCATGCATGTGCATTGCCCAATGATCAGGTGCAAAGGTGCGATTGGACTGTAGGGAGGGGGGGAACATAAAATTCAGCCGAGAGGGCGAAACCAACCCGCTTGGACTGTACTGGTTTGAGTTGGAAAAATCTAAGGAGCCTTTGGATGATTGTCAAGTGACATTGCTACACAGCCCTGACCCTGAATGCAAGATTTCCCACGAAGTCGACCCTAACAACAAATCGAAAACTGCGCCGGTGGCCACCCGGAAGATCAACCTATTGGAAGGAGACAGCGTCGTTTCCATCGGACCAAGCCAACGCGTTTCCTACCCTCTTGGTTTGGTCGTTGAGAAAGCTCGTCCTGAGTGCGAGCAGTTCGCCAAAGCACGCAAGCATTTTCAGAACTAATTTAAAGAATTGAAGAAGAAATGAAGACGAAAACCGTCTGATATTGAATCAATTTCCAATTTCAGTGAATTTTTCTTTTTGATTGCAAAGATAGATAAATTGTGGTTTAAGAAATCAACAGTTACGATTATGATATATGCACGGTTATGATTCGTGAATTCACAACTAGTATAAACAAGGAAGTGTAATTAGAAGTGCACTCAAGTATTATATCCGTGAAGATATTGCCATTAATCTTTTTTTTTTTTTTTTTAACTTTATTAATTCTTAATTAAGATTCAATTTAGGACCTATTTAAAGAGAAGAAAAATACGATTTAAAATCTATCTTATAACCTAATAATCTCCTAATCAAAATACTAAACTTTTAACATGTCACCTATCAATTTAGCCCTTAATTATACCAAGCTTAAATTCCATGGTCCATACTAGTTTGATTTTATTTGGTACTTAGTTTCGATGTGGGACTCGTGGGAGTGCCTTTTGAGGCTGACACGCATCCCAACAAATATCCTAGCGATGAACCCGAGAACATCCTGCAAGATGCCTTCTAAGGTGTAGAATTGGCAAGGCATGCCGAACACACTTACGAGGTCGTGGGTGCTGAAGAGACCTACCGATTCGTACTACTGGGCTTGCTAGCGCGGGCCACGGAGCCTTCCTTAGTGTCATACCCCTTCCATGTGTCATGGCATGAGATGCTAGTCAAGTATGGTACAAACAAACTTAAATTAATTAAACCCATCATGCAATGCATTTCCTTTCAATTTTTTGTGATAAACTAATAGATAATTGACTAAATAAACATCCTCCAAAGTTTCAATAAAAATCACAAGTTTTTCTTACAATTTCCGTAGTTTTTATTCAATTTTTATCGATATTGATAATATCCCAATATTTCTATTGAAATTTCCGTGTTTTTGAATTATCGATATTTTCAATACCATCGGTATTTTATACCTTAGCTGTAGGCACTGGTTATCACACTAATTATCAGGGGACCAGTTGTTGGATGACACCTGGACCAAATTATAAGTGCATTAAATGTTTCCTTTAGTAATTCTTGGAAACCTGTGCGAGCTAGATAGCTTATAGAGGCGATCTGTGGTGGATTTTCCAGTTGTCTTTGATTTGCTCATGCTTGATTCAATCGAGAAGTGTGAAGGAGTTATTGTCTAAGAGCTTCTCCACCGCAGCACCAAAACCGGGCAAAAGGCCCCCCGAGTTGGCCCAAACGACCTCCAGCGCGTGACATCAAGCCCGGGCAAGCCCTGGGTCCCACCAGCCCGGGCAAGCCCAAGGGTAGGTTTCGCTTGGGCTTCAGCCCGAGTTCTGTGACGTCAAGCTGATGTCGTGCTGATGTCAACACACGATGAATCCAATTTTTTTTACCGTTGGCGCGTGAATTTCACGCGCCAACAGTAAAAAAAAATTTGATTTTCCCTCGCTGACGTCAGCGTGACGTCACTGCTGACAGGCCCCAACGGGAATACGCCACGTGGCGCTTCCTGGACGCTCCGATGCAATTTTTTCAAAAATCTGACAGCCTTGATTTTTTTGGCTTAAAAAATTGCAAAAAAAATTCTGGATTTTTTCCCTATAAAAACCTAACAATTTTATTCACTTTCCACACCAAATCTTCATACAAACTCATCTCCTTCCAATATTTTTCACTTTCCACACCAAATTTTCTACTACAAAATTTCATTTGTGCAAAAATACAAATGCCATCTTCCATCGAAGCCGGAGGGTCGTGGACAAATGTTCGAAGAGGTCAAAATCTTGGCAACGAGGTAAAAAAAAAAGAATCCATTTTATTCCATTTAATGTCTTTTTTTTATTATATATATTTCTTGCATTTCCAATTTTTTTTTAATAGATTAGTCAAGACGAAACAAAAAAGAGGAAAACCATTACACATGGCTCCTCAATTGAACAATGTCCGCAGTCAGTTCCAGTGGTGCGTTCCGTGTCAGAAATAATGGCATTATTACGTCCTCCGAAGGAAAATACTCCCCCACGTCGTGATACAGTAGAACCACCTCCGCCAATGATGGAGTTGTCCTTGTATTCTATTGTGTCGGACTATAAGGACCAAGAATATTTCAATTGTATGATGAGTGAGTAGGTATTTCAATTGTATGATAAGTGGGATGTGAATTTTATAATAAATATGGACACTTGGCAACCGAAAATTTTATCCGAAAATTTTATTTGAAAATTTTATCCAAAAAATGTTATCTTAAATTTTAAGTGAAAATTTTATAATAAATAGTGACACATGACAACCGAAAATATAATCTAAAAAGCTTATCAAAATTAATGGTTTAAAGTATAAAAAAAATAGGAAATAAAGTACAATGAATAGTAATTGCCTTAGAGTTGCCCTAGACTTTGCCCTCATGAGTGGAACCACAAATGCAAAGGCTGACACTATTCACGTGAATAGTGGCAGCCCTTGCTTGCCCTTGCCTTAGATTTAGCCCTTGTGGGTGGAGATGCTCTAAGTATGCAGCTCGGGTGGCTTTGATCGTGAGTGGATACCACCGAGCCGACCAGATGTGATACCCATGGTCTAGAGATTTGATCGGATCAGTTGGTCTGCTTATTAGACTATGACGGGTCAGGTCAATCCATAGAGGTATCCAACTGCTTAGTCACGTGGCACCATACTATTGGCTCGGTGATATGAAGTGTCAACAACACCCTCACACCAAAAAAAAATAGAAGTTTTTTTTTGAGCTAATAATATTCGGGATAAACCATATTCTTGAAGTTTCCTCTAAAAAAGAAAGAAAAAGACAAGTAAAATTCTTATTGACGCTATCAAGTTGACCGATTCGTCCATGTATAATTTTGTTCGCACAGAAAAATAAGGCACACCTATTTTGAATCGACTACCTAATTAGTTAACAAATTATGAAATAAATAAATAACAAACCACACAATCATGTTTTGATTCTAAGATGCTGACAAGTATGTATGTTTTTGGGAAAATATATATTAGGGAGATGATATTATTGTACCAAATTATGAATTACTTCTCTAATAGATATGAGACCTATTTGTATTGGCGGGTCATACCTTTATTAGAGAGGTAGTACATAATGCGATACAATAATGTAGTTTATTAACATTACTTTTATCTTTAATCAACATGTAGAACTGTTTCGAAGTTGGAATTGCTTTCAACATTGGGCTATATGGGCAGGAATTCTAGGCTTGGCTTACAATTCTCTCATTCTCCAACCTCTTGGATTTGCTTGCTTGGATTACCTCATTGCTGGCTCATTTGGCTTCAGTTGAGCCACATTTAGTGCCAAATCACATCGCATCTTTGTCATGCCTTGGCCTTCGGATCCACTATGACCTATTTTGCTCTTCTTTCAACAGTAGTCATGTTTGATCCAACCTTGGCTAAGGTTTGATTCGGCTTAGCTAAATTTGCATTCACCATGTTGGTATGGGAAAGGATCCTTGTTGATTGGACTCTTGTCACGCCCCAATTCAAAAAATAAAGAATATTCCTGAATTAGGGTACGTGAATTGAACAAAATAAAATAAAAAGACTAAAAAATTGGTTAAAATACATTTCTCTTATATAAAAATAATAATAGACTTACAAGTGTACAAGATATAAATCTTTTTTATTTATTATCTAACATTGTTGCATGCCATTGACAGTGTGCCTATAGATGAGGAAGATAAAGTTGTGCTTGATTGATGATTGACGGAAACTTTCGCAAGTAAATCCTCTCTAGCATTGCTCGTGCCAGAAGTGCAATTGAGGAGCTGTATGGGTTTGGTGTTGTGTGATAGAGTGTATTAAGGTGTATCAAAGGTATTTTTGATAGTTAAATAGGATGTACTTAGTTAATTTTACATTTCAATTTAAATATTATGGTGTACTTAGATCATAGGGTTTAGAATTCGTTTAACAACACTCTATTATTATTAACAGTTTTCTATCAAAGCAAACCCTTAAGGTCCTTAACTATTGGCTTGCAGCCATATATAATTACTGTGGTGACCTTCTCGAATCATCAATTTTTATTCATTTAAGTTGTTGATCAACTGTTGCAGGCAAGTTATGATCCTGAATTCGAGTCCCATCAAGAGCGGGTCAATGAGGTGAGTAATTGTCTCAATTCCACATGTAAACAAACAAAGGCTCACAAAACTCTCCAAAATATACGCATTTTTTTGCTTCTTTTCCCTTTATAAGAAGAAGAAAGCCATGTCTAATTCATCATCAGCAATACATAGAATAGAACCAACACAAGCAAACTCGAAATCAACAATGTCGACAAAGTCTAGCACTACCATCCTTGCCTTTGCCTTTTGTTTCTTGTCCCTCCTCAGTTTCGTTTACTCCAACAACACCGACGACAAAATCTACCTCTCCGGCCTGGTCTACTGTGACAACTGCCAATTGAAGTCTATGACCCAGATCAGTAAGATGATTCCAGGTACGTAACGTTAATAAGTAGGTAACAAACTACCTAATTGTCGATTATAGGATTTGAATATGAGATTTATGCATGCATGCATGTGCATTGCCCAATGATCAGGTGCAAAGGTGCGATTGGACTGTAGGGAGGGGGGGAACATAAAATTCAGCCGAGAGGGCGAAACCAACCCGCTTGGACTGTACTGGTTTGAGTTGGAAAAATCTAAGGAGCCTTTGGATGATTGTCAAGTGACATTGCTACACAGCCCTGACCCTGAATGCAAGATTTCCCACGAAGTCGACCCTAACAACAAATCGAAAACTGCGCCGGTGGCCACCCGGAAGATCAACCTATTGGAAGGAGACAGCGTCGTTTCCATCGGACCAAGCCAACGCGTTTCCTACCCTCTTGGTTTGGTCGTTGAGAAAGCTCGTCCTGAGTGCGAGCAGTTCGCCAAAGCACGCAAGCATTTTCAGAACTAATTTAAAGAATTGAAGACGAAATGAAGACGAAAACCGTCTGATATTGAATCAATTTCCAATTTCAGTGAATTTTTCTTTTTGATTGCAAAGATAGATAAATTGTGGTTTAAGAAATCAACAGTTACGAGTATGATATATGCACGGTTATGATTCGTGAATTCACAACTAGTATAAACAAGGAAGTGTAATTAGAAGTGCACTCAAGTATTATATCCGTGAAGATATTGCCATTAATCTAGTCTTTTTTTTTTTTATAACTTTATTAATTCTTAATTAAGATTCAATTTAGGACCTATTTAAAGAGAAGAAAAATACGATTTAAAATCTAACTTAGAACCTAATAATCTCCTAATCAAAATACTAAACTTTTAACATGTCACCTATCAATTTAGCCCTTAATTATACCAAGCTTAAATTCCATGGTCCATACTAGTTTGATTTTTATTTTTTATTTTAATGTGAAAATTTGGTCTTTTCTTTAAAATAATGTGCCCCAAAAATTGAATCATTCTGTGCCTGGTTAATACGTTAAGTAGTTTATGAAGTGATTAAGATCGAAGAGGATCCATGACTTGTAATGGATCACTTGTTCATTTCCTTTAATATATATATATATATATATATATATAAACTTGCAATACCGACTCCATTCGTAATTCCATCAATTACTTGTCTATCAAAAAAATGAGTTAGTTCAGTTAATCTTCTTATACTGTTAGTAAAGGATAATGTGAAATTAGCAAATAAATAATGATTAACGGCCCAAAACATTGAATTATTGTGTGCCTAAGTCAAAAAATCTTCGAAGGCACGTAGAATGACAGGTCCCCCATCTAGTATACTATGAGGAAAAGGACGGCTCACAACAAGTTTATGTCTATAAAATCCCAGATGCTCATTGAATGTCTTGTGCCCATCCAAGATTAAATATATTTCCATAAAATACGTACCAATTGTGCTTATTTACTTTTGACCATGGCTCTCACAAATGAAGGGCAATACCTCTGCTTAGCTTTTCTTTTCATTTTGGCCATTTGCTCCTCTCAAGCATCGTCTCGCCAAATTTATGATGAGAAAACCATGTTGGCTAGACATGAAGATTGGATGTCACTGATCCTAAGTACAAAGTAAAACTGTGAAACGACGTCATTGCACTTGTTCGTGGGTGGCACGGGTTGGAAACACGTAATTAACCATATATATAACATCAATTTACAACTTAATTATACTTATTCTTAAAGCCATTTCTGATCGGACATTTTTGGAGAAATTAATTTCTCAGGCAAGTAAATGGCAGCAGAAGAAGACCGGACAATTTAGGTGCCAGTAGAAGAGAAAAACTCTCTCGCACGTACCTGGTTTATGGAAGCTATAGCTGTAACAGAAGAGCTAGACAAAACTTAATTTGAAAAAGTCTAGGATACGTAACTAGAGGTTACAAGGTGGTGTTGTTGATTGGCAACAACTTCAAATACAAACCGTTGGGCTAGCTTGCTGTGCGCAGTATATAAAGATTATTTAGGACTAGCTAGGCTCATAATTAACACACACACACACATATATATATATTTATATATATTTTTAAAGAGGGGGAAGTACGATATTATGATGAAGAGATGAGTCTTTTTGCCAATTAAAATGCACCATTTATATATCCTGCATCCAGATTACCTTTTGCATGATCCTGCAATGAACATCCAAAAATGCATCAATCTAGTTAAAATTCAAAACAAATTTAAAGATTTTCACATCTTAGTTAAAGGAAATTCATTGTTCCTATAACTTGTGCTTCCTATACACACAAATTCCATGAATCAATTGACAATGTGATATTAATATTACCATATAACATTTTCAACATTCTCATCTCATCCTAGCATTCAAGTAAAGAAAAGAATACATGTATACAGAAATTGTTGATGTCTAAATTTGACTCAACGGATTAAGATCATAAAAACGACACATTCACATCACGACACACACTCAAGTCAGGCTACGTCCATAATATACAATTAGTGAACTGAATTACATGAATCTACAAGTACGGGATATAAAAGCTACAAGCCCTACATGCTACAGTATCTGTCCTATTTTTGGGTCAATCGTTCCTTATTCTCTTTGATAGTACAATCGAGTTTACATGTTAGGATCCTATCGGGGATATTAAACGCTGAAAAGGAAATAATCAATTCCCAATAAGCCCTTAAGATCGCCTAACCAAGATACAAGCCTCATATATATCTTAACAAATCTTCTAGTTCTTAAAGATTATAGCATCCATCTCTCTCTCTCTCTCTCTCTCTCTCTCTCTCTCTCTCTCTCTCTCTCTCTATATATATATATCCTCTCATATCAGTCCAAATTGTCATGATATTTACCCATCGCATTATGATATTTGTCTTTAAAGAATTAATTAACATGCATATCACAGCGTAGAAAATTGATTCATGTCTTCAATATGTCTAGAGCATTATTAAACTAACCCTAAAATAAATCTATATTTTATTCTTAGTGCAATGTGGAAATATCTTTAAAGAATATAATATTTGAACAGTATAGCAAAGCGGCTATACTCAACAAATAGAAAATTTCAATAGTCTAGCCGAGCGGCTATACTCTAGAATTTTTTTAGAAGTACATCCGCACGGCTGTACTCTGTAAATAAAAATTTCAACATTATAGCCGCCCGGCTATACTAGATAAATAGAATTTTTCCAACAGTATAACCACGCAGATATACAAGATTGCTTTTCTCATTCAACAAAGTAGTTTTTTTTTTCTTTTTTCTGTAATGTTCCCCGACCCCAATGCAGGCTGGTATGGGGAATCCTCAATTTGAATATTACGAGTATGAAGGCTAGAATCGGAGAAAAATGCTTAATGATGATAGGAATAGGAATGGCATACGCAACCCTGATTCTACCCATTACCTTCCCTAGTTCATCGGTTCAAATGCCCACCAACTCATGCATTAGGCCATAATGCAGCTAATATTCTCCATGGCGGATTGAAGACCGACATATTCTGAATATGGGCACCAATATACTGGTCGACTAGTTCTCCTAGCCAGTGGCAGTGGTTGCGGTTGATTTCCCCCATGATCACCTATTGGACAATCTTTGCCTTTTCCTTTTTTGGGTGTTTCACCATTTTGGCCAACCATAGTCTCGAGTACCTCGGCCATACTTAATTCCGGTCACCTTAAATGTAACCGAAAATACTTGGTCGAACTCATTCATTTTGGCCCGGCCTAGTTGACTCCCATTTATTTGTTTGCTATTCTAGATCTAGTCATTATCAATCACCATAATAAAGCTCCACTTCTGTTAGTTTCATAGCACATAAGACAAATAGCAGAAGCGGCCCTCATGTGAAGAAGGATATGGTCATTGGTCATATCCCAGTAAACCGACCTTGCTGTCACTTTCTACTTTGAACATGCACTTGAAAAGCTGTAGTGTCAGAGTCCTATAAGTCAAAAACAACCATTTTCCAACAATGGAAATACATTTATTTTATTTATTCTTCAAGGAATATAAGTTTATAACGATCCCAGCTTTTAACCATACTTTTCAGCTACATATCCCATCAATTTTTTTTTTTTTTTTTTTTTTTTTTATATAAATACCATTTGCTTGACCCCATCTCATCTTGGTGTTCTTCTGGCTTGCTTTCAGCTTCTGGGTTTTCACCATTTCATTTATTTCAGGCACCCATGAATGCTCTTGCAGCCACCAACCGCAACTTTCGTCATGCAGCTCGCATTCTTGGGCTGGATTCTAAGCTTGAGAAAAGCCTCTTGATTCCCTTTAGAGAAATCAAAGTAATTGTCTTTTGCCTGCTCATTCCATAAATTCTTCCTTCATCTTTGGTTTTCTTCTTTGGGTTTTTATGATGTTGATTTTGCAGGTTGAGTGTACAATTCCAAAAGATGATGGCACTCTGGTTTCTTATGTTGGGTTTAGAATCCAACATGACAATGCTCGTGGGCCGATGAAGGGAGGAATCCGTTACCACCCTGAGGTTTATATTTCCTTCTTCTTTCTCTCTCTTCGTCTTGTTGGTATTATATGTCAATGTTGATATCTCCCGTGAATGTCCAACTTGATTTTGGTTTCTGGTCTCTGACCCAATTGAATTCATAGTCTGTAAAAGTTGAGCACTTTGATGGTTGAAGGTCATAAGAATGTTTGTTTTATTAAGTAGATTGATACTGGTTGCAGTAAGTGAGCTCATAGTGTTTGTGTTTATGCCAGGCAGACTTATCTATGTTTATATTAGGATTCACATTTGTGGTTTTGATTGTAGATTCATCCAATTTTGGACCTTTGGTAATATTTACGATTATATCAACGGTTAAACCTTGATTCCCACATGCCCTCAATAATTGGGAGAATTTCAATTGGAACCTTGGTTCCATTCTCATTGTCGGCCTCATATTCACAGTTTGTTATGTCGTTAACGGTTTGATGAGCATATGCATATCCATGTGCCTCAAGATATTTGATGTAAACAAAAAAGGTTTCTTAGCAATGAGGTTGGATTCTTCCTAGAAAACGTATGATGGGAAGATAAACAACAATTGTACAATGTAAAATTGTTTTTATATAGGTGACCAATGATTGATTGGCTATAAACGCCTTATGTAACAACATTACCTGTATTTATATTGTAAAGCCCAAACATCTTTGATATTTTGCACATGCTGTTGAGATCAATGTAGTACATCTTTAGTTGTCGTCTAATGTGGTTTTATTATGCTTAATAAGTTTCTCCTTTCTGTACTTTCCTTTTCAGTTAGTTATCGTTGTATCAACATGAAAACATAGACTACCCTGTTTCCCTTTTAAGTTGGCCGACACCATAAATCTATTAAACCTTTTAGGAGTATGCAACATTGGGAAGGGGAAATCTGAATGACAGTGACTGCCGGATATATTACCTAGACTGTGCTGATGGTGAGTTCCACTTATAATAGCAACACATGTTGTTTGTAGTAGTAGTAGTAACAGCTACATTCAATTTTATTAGGAAATTGGCAAATAAATTTAGACGTAAAAAGATGTCCTTAACAAGTGTTACTGCCATCAGTGTTAATACAATTCTGCTTGTGTACCAAACAAAGAAGGTGTTGCTTCAAGCAGTAACTGCCATAAGAACTTGAAACATGATCTTTATGTTTAGTGGTTTTCCACATATGACCTTAAACTCACATATATAGAACACCAAAATAATTTTATTGTCAGTGAAAATGTTCAACTAGCTATAACTGTCCTACACATTGTGTTAAATTATTTAGTATTGATGTTTCTGCAGTTAATTCTTCATGCATACAGATTACCAATCAATGAACCACATTTGTCCTGCAGCAGTTCTATGCCCATCTACATTTTCCTTTATTCCTGTGTTTTTAAATAAGAGGAAAGACTTCTGGATATGTAAACTCTATATTTTGATGAGGATTGGCTTTGTTGTGCACCCAAATTTGACCCACTGTGGCAATTTAGTGAAACTAAGAGCTGACATGTCTTCATAAATCTTAAATTGGTATTACCTGTGAATCCTCTCGTGGATTGGCACAATTAATATCCACATGCATTTAAGCTTTCTTAATATATACATCATGTGCTGAAATATAATATATACATCATGTGCTGAAATATGAAATATTCAATGGTGCAAGGTTGACCCAGATGAAGTGAATGCTCTAGCTCAACTAATGACATGGAAGACAGCTGTAGCAAACATTCCTTATGGTGGAGCTAAGGGTGGGATTGGGTGCAACCCAAGGGACTTGAGTATCAGTGAATTAGAACGGTTAACTCGTGTGTTTACTCAGAGGATCCATGATCTCATTGGAATTCACAGGGATGTTCCTGCCCCTGACATGGGAACTAAGGCCCAGGTATCCTCTTTCCAGTCAAACTAAATTGATAATATGGCCTTTGCAGGAAATGATGAATATTTTGTTATGTTTGGTGGAAAGTTACACTTTTCTTAATTCTCAAATATCACAGACAATGGCTTGGATTCTTGATGAGTACTCAAAGTTTCATGGGCATTCACCTGCAGTTGTGACTGGAAAACCTATTGTAAGTATCACCCACCCCAAAGTGCTTGTAATTGTTTCCACTCAATAGAATTAAATGATCCATGTAATTTTTTTTCTTCTATTCATAATGTTGCCAATTTAGGATCTTGGGGGTTCACTTGGAAGGGAGTCTGCGACTGGACTTGGGGTGGTTTTCGCAACAGAGTCTGTACTTGCTGAATATGGGAAGTCAATTTCTGGTATGAAGTTTGTTATCCAGGTATTTTTCCTAAATCATGATCAAAACTTCTTTGTCCTTGGCGTCTATTCGTGATGACATGAATATGTGTTCTGCTTCTAACCATTTCGTACATTGTTTCGCAATTATGTTGATACATTTTAGGGTTTTGGAAATGTTGGATCATGGGCAGCCAAGTTGATCCATGATAGAGGGGGTAAGATCGTTGCTGTTAGTGACATCACTGGTGCAATTAAAAATCCAGTTGGAATTGATATTCCAGCTCTGCTGAGATACAAAGAGAGCAACGCAAGTTTGAAAGAATTCCAAGGGGCAGATGCTATGGACCCGAATGACTTGCTTGTTCATGAATGTGATGTTCTCATTCCATGTGCCCTAGGAGGGGTCATTAACAAGTATGTATTCTGCTTCATGAGAACATCATAAAAGGATATGTCCAAATACTTATCAGAAATTTTGTGTCAAAAGCCCCACTTGTGGTGGAGTCAAAAAATTGTATACCGGTTTTCCTGTTTTTGATAATAGTTTATTCAAATTTTATATTTAAGGGAAAATGCAGCTGATGTGAAGGCAAAATTCATAATAGAAGCTGCAAATCATCCCACTGACCCTGAAGCAGATGAGGTAATATGACAAATTCACTTTTACAAACTTAAATTAGATACCGGTCGCTGAACTCGCATACTTTCCTCTTCTACAGATTTTGGCCAACAAGGGAGTTGTTATTCTCCCCGACATATATGCAAATGCCGGTGGTGTGACGGTGAGCTACTTTGAATGGGTTCAGGTAAATAAATAGCATAAGATGTCCTTTTTGTCAAATTTAATTTATAAACATTTCACAAATATAGGGAATACTTCTTTTCTATCATTTAGCCTTTAATGATAACAGAACCCCCATTGTAGCCCTGTATGACCTCTATTGTGATATATGCTTAAATTAAAATCCTCCCTTCTCTGGTCTGCAGAATATTCAAGGATTTATGTGGGAAGAAGAAAAAGTTAACTGTGAGCTTAAAAGGTACATGCACAAGGCTTTCCTTGACATCAAAGCAATGTGTCAAATTCATAACTGCAACTTGAGAATGGGAGCTTTTACTCTTGGGGTGAACCGGGTTGCGCGTGCTACGATCTTGAGGGGCTGGGAAGCATGAATTTACTTTTTGTTTGCTATGTTTTTTTGTCTATCAGATGGTTCTCTTAGTCGTTACAAAAAAAAGTAAAAGAAGAGAAACTTATCTTTTTTGTTTCAGTCGTGCATGTAATGAGAAATGAATGAAGGTGGACTAACTTGAGCTTTAAAGAAATAATAGTACTCAGTTTATTAACATTCAGAATGTACTTAGTTTATTCACATTCAGAATTTTATTTGGCAATCAATTTTATCCTGTTCAACAATTCAAACATTCTTCAAGTACTTTTTTGGCTTTCTTGACCATCTCTTTGATATTGCTAATGAGAAGTGAGTTAGCTCCTCATGGGAAGTGTTTCCATAAGTTAAGTAAGCTTTCGGCTTCGGCTACTGTGACTAGCTTTCAAGTACATAGAACGACATCGGGATCATTATTGCCAGCAGGAACGGTCATAACCCCCAAGAGGCTTCGGCTTCAGTTTCAGATACTGACTTGCTGAAATCATATCATTGGGCGTTTGCCTTGAATGCAAGCTGCCAAAATCCCTTCCGTGACGAACCTAAAATAAAAGTAAACTAACAAAATGGAAGCAGACAATTAAAAGATGAATTATAATGGACTGGCATGCATGTGTTATGTGCAAAACGTAAAGCCAAATTTCATGCTAGAAATCCGTAGCTTGGGGAAATTTTCACGGTGTAAAAAATAACAGATGTAACAATTAACCAACTCCTATTGTGATGCTCCACAGCATGCTGCCAGGATTCATACTTCACTTTACAAAAAGAAAAAAATGGAAGCTGTTATTGGCGCTCCACAAAAGTCATCATGATCCTCCATTTGTAATTTTCATAGTGCCAATAACAGATCATTTTAGCTTTTTGGCAAAACAGGGCACCAGGCTCATTGAAAAATGTCAGCGTTCAACCTCCATGTCAAAACTTGAAGGCTCATTTGTTGATGAATGGTTCTGATTGGTTTAGCTGCCTTTTCTGTCCTGGAAGCAGTTTTAGGTCCTTCTAGCTAACATTTAAGATGAAGTTTCTTTCGTTTCCTTCACTCATACCACCATCTGGTATATGCTTGCTGACCCTTCTCCCCTTCCTAAATTGAGAATTTGACGGAGCCATCAAAGCCAGCACAATTACCCTATTCGACGGAAGTTGTGAACTTTCTTGTGGACTTTTCTCAACGCACTTTTCTCTTGTATCTTTCCAAACCACCTTCGGCTTATAACTTGGTTTACATTTATCTTGTCTCTCCATTTCTTGTACAGCATGCCCCTTGCATTTAGGTTGAACCTTGTCTCTAATAACTTCAGAAACATTCCCTCCCAATTCATTCTTATGAAACTCTTCTTGAAAATCCTCTCTTATTTGTTTTACACTAGTCTTTGCTGTGTTCGATTGTGATGGTTCATCACCCATACACGAATTCACTTGACCAAACTTACAAAAATTTCTATCTGAAAGATCAGCAACCATCTCTTCCTTTGGAGCAGCCACGCCAAGTTGACATGGGTTCTTCAACCCATCAGATACTTCATTCTGTAAGGCCGTTAAAGATTCAACCGTCTCCACAGTACTAGAAGCCGTACCAGTCATCGAGACAGTCTCATCCACCTGACCAGTTGACACCATCAGCTTATCAATCTCCTGTCCATCACCATTCTTAACCCTTCTCAGCAAATACTCAGCAGTACCAACAGAAGCTACCTTGTCAACAGGTCTCAAATTGTTTGACAACTGATGCATACTCTTCAGCAAATCAGATGCTTCATGCTCCAAATCTGTCACAGGTACAATCATCTCCACAGTACCAGAAGCCTTACCATTCATCAAGTCAGTCTCATGCACATGGTCAGTTAAGTTTTCAACCCTTTTTCCATCAACATTAGTATCCCTGCTGATCAAACTCTCCGCAGAACCAACAGAAGCTGCCTTTTCAACAGGTCTCAAATTGTTTAACTGAAGTAGAGTCTTCAGAGAATCAGAGTTTTCATGCTCCAAGGCGCTTACTGATTCAACTGTCTCCACAGAATCCACATCATTACCATTCATCAAGTCAGTCTTGTCTCCCTGACCATTTGAGAGCATCAGCTTTTCAACCCCACGATGTCCATCAACATTTTTGCCCCCACTAACCAAACTTTCTGTTGGTACACTGTCGGAAGTACCCACAGAAGTGGCATCCTTAGCATGTCTCAAAGAGTTCAAACGAGCAAATCGTCCACAACCCAGGGGGAAATCACGAACAGCAGATACTATCTGCCTCTTGAACTTAGGTGACTTGGTATGGAAAAAGAACTCACCATCTTCCATGGTAAATTGTCCCAGTCTTTCCTCAGAATGACTTACATCCAGCGGAGCAATTATTCTCGATGATTCCAAATGCTTCGTCGTCTCTACGACCCCCATTCCAACTCTTAACCCAATGGAATGAAATGAAATGCTCAAAAACCTAAAAGCACAGTAATTATTAAAAACACACTTATTTGCAATGGTCTAACAACAAAAACAATTAAAAGCTACAAACCTCACAACCCACAAGATTACAAGACAATGTTCAAAGCACTCAGGAATCCGAACCCCAATTACATCCAGAGTGCTCATGAAAGGATGTAAGAAAGGGGAGATAGACAACACCTTACCAACTCAAAGAATCCAACTTTGGTCATAAAAACTAACCCCAGAAAACATGGAAAGCAGACTAAAGATACAAACAACCTAATGTTCCTAAATACGGCAATGTGGTTTATTCTTGAGTACTTTCTCGGCACCGAAAACAGAAACCAAAATTCAAAGAACTTGATTTACATCCCAACATTGAAAATAGCAAATGAAAAAAATAACCATAATGCAGAACAAGAAAAAAGATTACCAGAAAATCTTCGACTATGAGCAGTTTCAAAGCGTCCAATTGAAATGGAAAATCGTATAAACGCGACAATGAACAAACGAGCGGTGCGTTGATGATTCTTTTTGAAACCGATGGTATGGTTCGTAAATTGATTGTAACTTCGAGGTTGAAATGGCGATTTTGGAATATACACTGGAAGGATGTTTGGGTCACAGACAGAAAGAGAGATCATGGAAAGTGCGTATGGTTTTTCATGGAATCAAAGACTCGAAGTCAATGCATGAACATTCAACAACATCAACATGGGTTTTAATTTAAGCAAAACGCCGAAACGACGCCATTTAAGCTCAGTAGTTTTTTTTTTCTTCTTCATTTTTTTTTTTTTTTTTTTTTTTTTTTTTTTTTTTTTTTTTGTGTGTGTGTGTGGGGCTATTTTTCATGGGAATTTACCTTTTCCTTTCATTTATTGCAAACGTAGTCTTTCATTTATTGCAAGCATTTTTTTTCATTTATTGCAACTTTGCAAGGGTCTGTTTAATATGACAAGTTCATAATTTGTTAATGTTATGAACTTATTAAAGTTATTTGATGAAATAAGAGTATAGTTGTTATTTTCTATATGATGGTTGGGAGACAAGTCATTACTTTAATGACTTCTACATTGAATGTAAAAGGTGACAATTTTCGATGTTACACCAATTCCCAGTGTTGACCTGCCTCAAATGGGGACTACCCGTCCCCATTCTCACTCCCATCCCCAACTTGACATAGGGCGGGGATGGAGACAAGGAGGGCAAACATGAACCCAGCCCTACCCTGTTGTCATCCCCATAATTGAACTGGGTTGGACGGTGCACAAGGTAAATCCTTGAATGCATATGCAGGACAGGGGATGTGTCTGTGGCTTTGGCTTTTAGCCTTGCTAGACTAGCATGAATGCAGTTGGTGGCTGCTTTAAGTGGGAGGTCAATTTTAGCCACTTCTTGTGCCTATATAAGGGGAGGTGGAAGAAAGGCGTTTGTTTATTTACTCAAAGTGTTTTCAATGGAGAAGCACAGGGAGTTCAGAGAGCAAATGGTGCAGAGTCACGGATTCAAAAGGAAAACAGATCCACAGTAAATTTCGAAGGTGACTTGTCACTGTAAACGCACAAGTACTAACAATGTGGGCCAAATTACTGAGGTTGAATATGAAGCTTCATTCTCCACTAGCACATAAAAATTACAGTAACTCAAATGAAGGAGAAGAAAATAACCTACATTCAAACTGCCAAACATCAACAATTCAACTACTTATTCTTGGGACTGCTAGCTGGGGTCTCCTCCTGCCAGGTTGCTTGCCATTGCTTGTCATAAAATGTTGTCTCGTCCAGTAGCTTCTTTAGGTTTTCAACATCCTCATTTTTGCGGATCAGAAGCACTCCCGACACAGCCACGAACAATAATGTTTTGCAGAAGAAATTGCCCATTTGGTCAACTAGACCTACTCCAGTCAAGCTATCAACCAGATAAGCCATAAAAAATCCTACCATAGCAGCACGACCTGCATAAAACCCAAAAGAGCAGAACATATATTAGTCTGAGGTGCATTGCCATTTCCCTCATTACATTTCTTTTAAATTCAGTGGATCTGAACATACCATTGAGTAGTTCAGCTTCAGGTAAATGGTATCTCTTTATCCATGCCCACCAAGGTACAATGGAGGTATCAAAGAATACAGGGTTCTCATTACTGGAAGATTCCGGGTTGTCCTGGAGCCATTTTCTCCTCCTAGCCTCTGAAAATGGTTATGCAAACTGGTGCATCAGAAATCAAGTAATTTCTGAATTATCAGAATGATGCAAGCTACTCATGAAGGAAACAATTATAACTGGATTCTAAATTCACCTCATCCGTTTCTCTTCTTTGCGAAAGAAAACTTTTAAATTCATAAAATTGTCAGCTAAATACAGGGTGGACCAACATCTAACAGATGCTCCTTTAATCCTACTCTATTTCAGGCAGCAATTGATGCTATACTAAGAATCAACAAAAGACTTGGATAGATGATCTTACTATAAAACAATTATAAAAGAACTACAGAAATTCACACTGCTGTGGAACTATAGTAGGTATGGTTCATATCTGAAAATGCGTAAGTAAACTAGACTCACAACTTGCTCATTTTGTCAATGGGAATTTATTTCTTTCAGTGTGTAATCTCAAGTCTGTAAAAAAAAAAAAAAAAAAAAAAAAAAGGGAAAATGAAAAGAAAATGAAAGTCTAAATCTTTGGGAAATATCTCTCAACTTCTTATGTGAACAATTTTTTTTACTTACTGTTTCCAATTTCCAAATTTAGCCCGAATACATTTCTTAATTGAGGAACAAGGACACCTACATATTGCACAATTAGAACACAACTAGCAATGAAGACCAAAACCAACATAAGAAAATAAAGCAGCATGAAGTGTGAGGATCAAAGTAGATTAGTCTGAGAAAAATCAAATTTGGGTTCCTGACAACTTACATAGAAATCTCTTCATCTAAGTTTCAAAACTTTTGGGGATAAATCATCAATTTATCTGCTCTCAAATTGACATGCAAGTTCAGAAATCAAATTAAACCACTTGGGTCTTGCACTTTCAGCAGGTATTCCCATTCTACACATAAAATTCTCAACTGGGCCTAATCATGCTTCTCCCTCATCCAATACTTGTTTCAAGGATCCGTATGGAGCAGGGGAAAAAACTAGAAAATAGTAAGTTCAAATTTAACATTGGCGTTATTTTCAATAGAGTAAAACAATAATTAAAAAGAAATTAAATCTCCTTCCAAATCAAACAGTTGCATCAGAACTAAACAAAAAGAAAAGCATTAAGAATTAAAGACCAAAAGAACAGATACCCAGAACCCATACCAGCATCAATAACAGCATCCCAGTCAGTTTTGCCACTTTTCTGAAACTGCTTCAAATCCCAAGTCCCATTGACCCATCTGCTGTCCTCAAACAAGCCGACCACCTTCACCTCCTCAGCCGGTGCAAAAGCTGACCCATTAGCCCCAGCAGAGCTCTCAGTCTTCACCGGAACGGGCTCGACGGGTTCGGGGACCTTGGGCTCTGCTTCTGGCTTCACAGCAGTAGCAGCTGAGGCGAGAGCTTCTGCTCCATTTTCAGCTGAAGCTTTGGTGGTGAAGAGAGGGTTCTTGGGTCTGAGAGAGAGATAAGGCTTGTGGGTCAAGTGGGGTTTGGAGTAAGATGAAGAGGGGGAGAGGGTTGGGATGTGGGTTGTGGGAGAAAACAAGGCCATGGAAATGGACATTGTTTGTTTGATTGATTGCAGGAAAAAGGGGATGTGAATCAGAGCATGGTGGCTTTGCTTGGGCTATCCTCCTCAGTCCTCAACCTTAGAATTAGCCAAAATCCAAATGAGACGTTTTGTATTTTGCAGCTTTGTTATTAAAATAGTGGTGGCAAGTATTTTATTATGTAAAAATAAGGTATTTTATGGTGCGGATGGTAAGTAAGACAATACCATGCACATGCGCCTTCAACTACTTTTTTGTTTCCACCTAAAATCTTTTTCTAAAGGGATTTACAAATTTTTACCTCATCGTAGAGTTAATTTCACCACTAGTTTTTTTTTTTTTTTTTTTTTTTTTTTGTTTGGTTACCCAAGGGTGTCCACCGCCGACAGCAGTGACTAATCCCTTTCGCTGCGGGAGCTCTCCCAAAGGAGGTAAACAGCTGGCCACGAAATGTGCTCCATTCCCATGGGCGGGCACTAGGCCCCGTTTGATTATGAAGGATTTGATGAGAAATTGTTTCTCATGTTTTTTTCCTAAGGAATAATAAATGAAAGATTTATTTATTATGTTTGATAATGTTGGGAAAGTAAGAAAATACCACTTTATTTCATTTCTCATGTTTAATTTGAGTAGGAATGTAAAACAAATTTTTTTTAGTGTTCCAATTATACCCCTATTAGAAATATAAAATAAGAAAGAATACCAACGGACTTTGTTGTTGAGTAAAATTAAAATTATTAATTATTAATGAGGACAAATTGATCATGAAAAAGTGCATACATCAATAAAAATAATTTACTAATTGTTTGTATTTCTTCTTTCTATTGGAATATTCAAAATCTAATCTAATTTTTTTTATAATATTATGTATCATACAATAAACAAATCCAATAAATAAAATTTGAGGAGGGACTCAGCACCACCCTGATCCCTTAGTGGCTCTGCATCTATGTTAATTAACGGTGGTTGAGCAATGTTTCATGTCAAAATATCAAGCCTGACCCATAGGGTGTGAAGATTAGGCAACCACACAAGGCCTAATTTTTGGTTCGATCATCCTCTTTGTTTGCCTCAAGCAGTGGCGGTTTCAAGATTCAAGAGCCGGTTGGGCAAAACTTACATACTAAACTCGATGATACGAGTGAATTTCATTAATAAACATAAAAATATACGCCTAGTCAAGGCGGCATAATGAACCATACCATCAAATGCATCTCTATCCATAAGTAAAAGTTCAACAAATACAAAAGTTAAAAGTAAAATCAAAAGTAAATACAATGCAATACAAAACAACATTATTTAAATCTAAAATTTAACCCTGCGAGGCTTGGAACTCTTAAAAGATAGCCTATGAATAATATGTAGAAAGAATTTTTATCAAACATGCCAATAAAAAATTCATAATAGCATCTCAACAATACCAAACCAAAATTTATAATTCATCCATAATTAAACCCTAAAATACTCAATTTTAACAAAATCCCAAATCAAAGTCATATAATAATTCATCCCTAATCAAAGCCCTAATTAATTTCAACAAAATTCCAAAATTATAATTCATCCTTAATTACTAAAATACTCAATTTTAAATTAAAACTATAATTAAAGATATATAGCAAATGAGAGAATGAGAATAATACTTGTTGTTGACAAAAGGAGAGGAGAATATGTTGTTGCCAAGTTGCCCACCGAAGATAATTGAAGATGTAGCCAATGGAGGGAGAATTTAACCCCCCCAAATTAAAAAAAAAAGGGAGAAACTTGTTGTCGAGTAGCAAAGAGAGAGAGAAAGAGAAACAAGAAGTCTAATAGCCAAAAGAGAAAGAGAGAGAAGATATGGGACCACCTAAATGGGCAACATATGTGTAGAGTTTGCTTTTAATTTTTTTTAATTTTTTTTAATTTTGGGATGGGCTTATAACACATGTAGGTAATTTTTTTTTAAAACATTTTGGGCTGGGTGTGGCAGTCACCCAGCCTACCCTGTGCATAGCACCGCCCATGGCCGCAAGCAATTAATATTAAATTGTTTAAGAATGGTTTAAGTCTAATTATTTCTTTTCATGGATAACTTTTCTTCATTTAATCTTTTTAAATAACTTCATAATTTAATTTTTTGAACCATTTGACCTGAAAAATTGAAATTTCATGAATATAATTTTATTTGAGAAATAGGTGGGTATTTATAGAGTTTGGAGTGAGTTTTGGGGTTGGATATGATTTAGATTAATTTAAAATATTATTTTAACCGTTTGATTTAAATTTCAGCCATTGGATTTTTTTTTACAAATTTATAAATAAACCCAATCCTAGACATGTATTTATAAAAAAACCCAAGTACTATTTAAACATAGAAACACACCCAAAATCAACCCCAAAATCAACAATTGTATATTTTTTGGGTGTGTTTATAAATGGGTTTTGAGTGTGTGTAATGATGAGTTTTGGGTGTGTTTATAAAGTGTTTTGGGTGTTGGGTTTTTTTTATAATTTCAGCCCCCATTTTGGGTGTTTTAATGAAACTCCCTTTTTTTTTTTACCATTAAAATAGCTTGGATTTAATATGGATCGTTGATTTGGGTTACTATTGGAAAAAAAAATAGGGAAAAAAATGGTGTGACACCAACGCTACACCTTCTGCAGCACCAGAAGCGTGGGCCCCATTGTTTCCTCTTTGCACATGGGCTGCATCATGGTTGTATGGGCTCAACACACAAAAATTATTGTCCAGACTATAGCTGGACTGGTATTTGGTCTTAAGTTTGGATTTTCCCAAATTTTAACCCTTACTTTTCTTGGTTGGGAGAGGAATTGGGTTAAAATATTGAATTTTTTTGGGTTTGGCCTCATGAGTTGGAAGTGACCATAGTGACTAGAGTGGATGTTTGTAATGCAAAAAAACTTACTTGTAATTGCCATTTTGGGAGCATCAACTAGGAAACATTTGTTTTAGTTTTTATTTTTTTAGCGAGTGGTCCTTACTAGATTTTCTTCCTTTTATGATTGAATATTTTTGGTCGACAAAAATACTTTAGTGGGGGGAATAAGATGGAATAACTGCGATGAAAAATATGGGCAAGTAAAATTTGATTGAATTTGGTACATGAAAATAAAAAAAAGACGGAATAATAAGATGGAAATGGTGTGTGTGTAAACAAAGGCGTACCCACGATAGTAACTAAAAGAGTCACATGTAAACAATGGCAACAATCCAAATTCGAAAGTTAACAAATTGCATGAAGGAGTTATGTTATGGTAAATTTTATTTCTCATCTACTACATGCATGCAATTCGCGCCTTCCATTTTCCCCAATAGCTCAAGCTTAAAAGCATCATTTTTTTATACGTAAAAGCAACTCCTTATTATCCCCATCCATTTTCAACCCTTAAGCTTTGCCTCTCTTGAGTATTTCTTCTTCTGCATCAATCCACCCCCGCGTGCATCTAACTGTTTTACCAACCTCTTCAAATTTGGGAAACACAACCAACCAAGATCCCTTAACAAATTAAGGGACTTGATACCAGAGAAGTTAGCCTATTTCCTTATAATAATAAAAGGTTGAGATGTTGGAGAAAACCAATAGTCTTGTGATCCAAGAACTCAAAAATGTTTGTGATAAAGTGTAATTGGAGTTTGTCGGTGGAGAAAGAGTGTTATTTATGATCATTTGTTTTCTCTGTTGCTCCAACACTCTTGGAATACTTAGATATTTGAAGTGTGCAATCGAAATAGGACTTATATTCTTAAAATATGGTCATTTGAATATTGATGGTTATACAGATGCGGATTCGGCAGGTATTGTACCAGATAGAAGATCCACATATGGTTACTTCACATTCGTGGGGGTAATTTGGTGACATGCAAAGCAAGAAACAAAAGATAATAGCCCTATATAGTGCAGAAGCTGAGTTCAAGGGTATTACTAAGGAATTCGTGAGCTCCTTTGCTTAAGGAAGTTGATGTGACTTGTGACTTTCCTTGCACACCAAGGATTCTCATATTAATTAGAATTGATTTCCCTTTTATTTGTAATTTCCTATTGTAAATAGAATTAGGAAGTATTACTTTTCTTCGCCAAGGTTTTATTGTGCTATAAATATGACCTCCTATAAGGAGAAGAATACACAAAAAATTCCCACAAACAATATACTCTCATAGTTTCTTATATTTTAGCTGTTATCGTCATGACTTTGCTTCAATTCTACTTATTATGTTATTGAATTTTACATTGTCTAAATTTTTTATGATATTACGTTTATCACCACCACAGTACGAAAAATCGATAATTTTGTCGATATTTCGGCGAAATTATCCTTTTTTTTGGGCAGCGATATTTTAGCACATTTCCAGCTATATATCGTCAATTTATCGATAATTTCGCCGATATTTCAGTTACGATATTTTCGTTCAATTTGCAGCTTTAAATGGTCAAAATATCGCGATATTATCAATAATATCACGATATGAACTTTCAAAAATTAAACAATTTAAACTCAGCGCACATAGTGAGGTTCAAATCCCTCTCCACTCCGAAATTTTGCAGCCACTTAACCATCACGCCAGTCATCACTTTGTGATAAGAAGCTATGGAATATGTATTTATAATACATGCTTTCTCAAAATAGAAATTAACATAATTACTTATTGTTTTATATTGTTGATCAGTTACTTAATTACTTAATATAATTTATTTCTTTTCTATTTAATCCATTTAATGTTATTGATTATTTTATTATTCATTATAAGTACTTACATTACTAAATTCCCTTTCAAATTGTTACTTAATTACTTAAATCTCTATAATTATTTTCTTTGTTTACTACTTAATTCTTCCTTTGATAAATTTATTTATGTTCTTAGTTAATTTTTGTTGAGGCCCAAAAAATCCACGGCTTGGCCCAAATGAATTCTCGGCCCTACACAATACCTTATTGAGAAAAAACCTGACTTGGAGCACACAAAAGTCCACCATGCACGAGTCACACCCCACGCACCATGCCAAATAAATAATCCGTCATGCTAGGAATCGAGATTAAGATTATAAAATGCATTATCTTTGCAAATCCATGCTAATTATCCCATCAAGCATAATAATTAAAAGCATGCCAAGCGATATACCATTTCAAGCGACATGTCATGCCAAGCAGGAAATCATTATTACACACCCAACCACGCTACAAGCCTAAGTGGGCCCAAACCACTCGAATGTCTGGGGCTTGCTTGAGTGAGTTGTGGTATGGACGGTAATGAATCAACATGAGGCCCATTGATGGGCCGAGAAATGAAAAGTCTCGGATTGCTTGGGAGCCTCGGGACTCAAGCCCATTTCTTAGGCCCAAACATGTGGGTGAGCACAAGAGGGAAAAGAAATAGCCCAAATAGCCTATTGACTCAATCAAAAAGCCCAATGTTTAACATAAATAACCCACTTGCTTAAGGAACCACCTTGGCCCATACAAAACTCCAAAATAAGCCACAAAAACCTCAGCCCTTTGCTGGAAAAATAGAAGCCACATAGAGAAGGTCTGCAGGTTCATTGAACAGAGCTGCTAGGAGGTTCCAGCCCATGGGGGAGCAAGTTTCAAAGCCAAAACATTCAAGGAACCAAGGGGTATTAGCATGTAAGATGCCAAAGAGAGGAACACCCTTCGAACCAGCATATATATATCCCAACTCCTTTCCCCATCAGACTTGGCCATGGAAAAAAGAGAAGAAAGCAATAAAATAGATGGCTGGGAATGGAAGTCTCCCATTGAGACAACTACAGGAAAAAGGGGCCTTGAGCTTCAAAAAAACTCTAATCTGGTGCAAATAGGGAGAAGGGATTTCATCAAAATGGGAAAAGTCAAGGAAGGAGATGAGAAATGAGGTGAAAAGCTTGGCCAAAATGGGTAGAAGCCATTAGGGTTTCTTAGGAAGTGATGGTTTCCAACGGCTATAAAATGAAGCCTCTCCTACCTAACAAAGCCAACCCATATTCAGAGAGCAAGCTTTCTCTCTAACTTGCAAAAACCCAGTAATCTCGTGCACTATTCACCCTCTTCTCCCTTCTTCTCTTCTGGCAGATAGAACATCTGTCAAGCTGCCGGAAGAACATTATTCTGTATTTCTCCCTTTCTTAGCCAAATCTCTTACAAACCTCTCCTTCCTCACCTTAACACTTCCCTTTTCTTTCAAGAAAGCCTAAAATTCCTCTTAGTGACAAACTCATGTTGATTTTGCTTCCACGCCACATGCCTCTCATGCTAAGCTCAAAAGTTTATCTGTAAGCATGCAAAAATTATCTATAAGTTGCTATTGTTTTGGCTGGTGAAGGGAACCAAAATACTTTCTAAGGCTCTGCTGCCCTTTTGAAGCATTTTTGGGGCTTAATTTTCGAACTCATACAAAGGGGACAATTTCATCAGTATGCCCTTTACGGCAGTCCAGCCCATTTACAGCTGCTGGAAGAAAAAGTCCCCTACAATTTTCAATCTTCACTATTATTTTTTAAGTGTGGTAAAGTGCCTAATTTTCATGAAAAGTCAAGTTGGTTTAATTATTTTTCAATTTTTGATAAATAATAAATATAATAACGTGTACCATGTCCAATGAATAATGTGAAATAAGGTTACACATGTATCTTACCATGCAATTTATAAAACTGTAAAATATTGTACTAAAAAATGATAAATAAATTACTATGGGGTGTTTAATTCTCTTCATTAATTACTCCATATTTTCTAAGTTACAGAATTTGTCAGCTCGCAATATAATCAACTTAAATCACTCAAACCCACTATGCAATGCATTTCCTTCCAATTTTTTGTGTCAAAATAATAGATGATTGACTAAATAAACTTCTTCTAAAGTTTTATTAAAAATTTCCATGTATTTATCATAATTTCCGTGGTTTTTATCCAATTTTTATCGATATCGATATCGATATTTTCTCGATATTTCCATCGATATTTCCGTGTTTTTGAACCACCAATATTTCCGAAACTATTGATATTTAAGACCTTGATCACCACTTATGGCATGTGCACGAAGTATTACCAATTACATTTGTTTAATTATACCTTTTTTGAATTTCATAATCCAATGTAATTGACTAGGATATCCACTATACCAAATTCCATAATCATTGTACCTTTAAGGTACTTTAATATTCTTTTCATTTGTTTATTTACACTCATCCAAGTTCCCCCACTATTTTTAAAAAAAACCTTAAAATCTAATTATACCTTTCATAATAAATTAAAAAAATTATTTCAACACAAACCTACCCCCAAATTCGATCAACCACTTCCCATGGCTTCTTTCTCTTTTCTTCCTACCCACTCATCCATCCATCCATCCAATCTCCTTAATCATGACCGACCAATTGAAAGAGAAAAAGAAATCAAGATAATGAACGTAATAATATGATTTTGCCCATTAAAATGAAAGTAAAAATATTGTTTGCCCCTAAATTTGACAAAAAAAAAGTAATGCATGACCAACCCTGTTAACAGAAGTGGAGTTGAAGGATTAGAGCAATCATTTTGCAAATTTGAGGACCAAAATGCAAATTGGGTCTAAATTCAAGGACTATGACAATTAAAAAAAAATTATTTATTACAAGGGATAGTCTAAACTATAAAGGAGGAGGGGGGTTTCTTAGTGCACACACACTATTAAGGTGTCATGGGGGTTCGAACTTGAAATCACTGATTTGCAAGTTAAGACCCTTTTTCACTTGGGCAGATCATTTTATTTTTTATTTTTTATTTAATTTAAATTAGAAGCTGTGAATCCCTATAATTTATTGTGAAGATAAAAGCAAAAATTATATAAGCGATTAATGTAAGAAAAGCGTTAAAAATATTCCCTTCTGAATGCAAATTAATCTCGGAGGATTTGGATCACTCAGAAATATCTCTCGCTCAAATTATCACTTACAGCTTCAGAGATTGGGACCTTCGCTTTGTTCTTCATTGGTAGTTGATGTGGGACCAATGGTACAAGAGAAAATGAAGTTGAGGGACAATCAGAGCCAATATTCAAGTTTGGAGCATAAAACTGCAAATCGAGTGCAATTACTCTTTAAAAAAAGCCAGAAGTGAGAACTACACCTAAAATGACCATTTTACCTTTATATTTTATTTAAAAAAAATGTAACAAGTTATGAGGGTAGGATCAACCACGGAACATAAGTTCAGAGACTACTTGAATCATTTTTCAAGTTCGAATAACAAAATGCATATTGAACATAAATTTAAGGATATTACTTGTGGGAACCTAATTTTAAGCAAACCTTAGGTCAAATATTTCCTTCCATTTGGGGAATATTTGATTTGGGGATTTTTTCCTTGATTAGGGATTTGATTCGCATTAAATCCTTAATTGATTTAAATCTCCTAAAATCAGAAAAACAATTCCTTTCCCAACAAGGATTATTTTTCTCCAAACCCTAACCCTCTCTCTCTCTCTCTCTCTCTCTCTCTCTCTCTCTCTCTTACATATGGCTCCGGCAGCTGGTTTACACTATAAACACATCTCCGTACCCTATTAGCTATTTTTTTCTATACGATTCAATTGAACTAATTTAGGCATCGGATAGCCTTTGGCCAACACCCCCGGGTGTGGTCCTCTTATCTGTTCTATTTTGCAGGGAGAAAGAGGCGGTGAAGAAGAAAGGGGAATTGCTCTCACATTAATATTAAAAAATCCTTGTCAAAACAAGTATATATTATATGGACTGATTAAGTGCAAGTGGTGTATATATTATATGTATGTGAGGGCGCAAATTGTTGCGTTGAAAAGAAACAGCAAACAAATAACTTTTGCTTCCCCGAGAGCTAGGTACGTAGCAATGGTGGGTACTTGCCCGGCCTATGAACTCCTCTCTTCATCCTCGTCGTCAAAGCGTTGGAGTTACGTCGTGTTCTTGAGTTTCAAAGGCGAAGACACACGCAAAAACTTCACGGGTCACCTCCACATGGCACTAAAAGACGTGGCAACCAATGTCTTTATTGACGATGACGAGCTTAGAAGAGGGGAAGATATATCAGCGAAGCTGGTGCGGGCAATCGAAATGTCCAGGATCTCTGTCATCGTATTCTCGAGGAGCTATGCCACTTCCAGTTGGTGTCTTGAGGAGCTTGTGAAGATCATGGAGTGTAAAAGAACACTAAGGCAAATGGTTTTTCCAATATTCTATGATGTTGATCCTTCAGATGTGAGGAAACAGACTAGTAGTTTTGGAGAAGCATTTGTGAAACACGCTGACCGCTTCCTGTTTGATATGGATAGGGTACTGAGATGGAGATCTGCTCTTACTGAAGCTGCAACTTTATGTAAATATATATTTTATGCTCCCTGGACAATTATTTAACTTCTTTTACTTTCTATTACTTAACAGAAGTTATAACGGAAAGAGATTTTGATTATTCAATTTCTGAGTATATGTTGAACTTTAGTTCGTAACCGAAAAGAAAAAAAAGTTGAATTTTACTTTCTTGTACAGAGGAAAAGAATAAGTACATAGTTACTGATTCAGTTTAATTTTGTAGATGCTTACTGTTTCTGAATACAATTTACCTACCAGGCTTGAGGCAAAGTTTATCAAGGAAATTATTGACGAGATTACTAGGCACCTGAACGTCACATACTTATTTGAAGCTGTCTACCCAGTTAGAATTGATTTTCGCGTAGAAAACATGAGCAGTCATCTATATATGCAGGATCAGATGATGTTTGCATAGTCGGAATTTGGGGGATGGGTGGAGCGGGTAAAACAACCATTGCCAAAGCCATCGATAACCGATTTCATCATAGCTTTGAAGCTAAAAGTTTCCTTTCAAACGTTAGGGAAGCTGCAAAGCAATATAATGGTTTGGTTTGCTTGCAAGAACAACTTCTGTCTGATGTCTTGAAACCAACCAAGATAAAGGTAGATAGTGTTGACAGCGGGATCAATGTGATCAAAGAAAGACTTCGAGGTAAAAGGGCACTTGTCATAATTGATGATACAGATCGAGTGGACCAACTAAATTCATTAGCTGCAATGTGATTGGTTTGGCCCAGGAAGTCGAATCATTATAACCACAAGAGATGAACATTTACTGAAGCAACTTGAAGTTGATGCAATATATTTGGCTCCAGAAATGAATGAAACAGAAGCTCTTGAGCTTCTCAGTTGGCATTCCTTTAAAAATAGTTATCCTAAAGAAGGATATTATGAACTCTCGAAAAGTGTAGTTCTTACTGTGGAGGTTTACCTCTAGCACTACAAGTTTTAGGTTCTTTTCTTGTTGGAAGAAGCATACCAGAGTGGAAAAGTGCATTGGAGAAGTTGAAAAGAATTCCTCATCACGAAATTCATGAAAAGCTTAGAATAAGCTTTGATGGGCTAAATGATGATAATGAGAGGGATATATTCCTTGATATATCTTGCTTCTTTATTGGTATGGACAAGAACAATGTCAACCAAATATTGGATGGTTGTGACTTTTCTGCAGAAATAGGAATGAGTGTCCTCCTTCAAAGATGCCTTGTAACTGTTAGAGAAACAAACAAGCTGATGATGCATGATTTGATTTGAGATATGGGAAGAGAAATTGTCCGTGAAAATTTCCCCAAGGAGCATGGAAAACGTACAAGATTGTGGCATTATAAGGATGCAGCTGATGTATTGACAAAACACTCTGTAAGAACTTTTCCAATCCATGCTTTTTATGTTCCACATACTCTATATTCTATGCCATGTGTTGTCATGAGGGGATATATCTTGCCAAGATTATGCAAAGTCAACAACTACAAAATTTGTAATGGCATTAAGTAGAACCACGCAGTAACCAGACTGTTCGTCGTGCATCTCTCTGTGATCAATTTAGAGCAATCTTCTTCACACAAAAACTCCTTTCCTAATTATTATTTATTTTTAACAGGGAACTGAAGAAGTAGAAGGGCTCGTGCTAAAGTTGCCAAGATGTAACAAGGTTAGTTTCAGTGCAAAAGCATTTACAAAGATGCAGAGACTGAGATTGCTCCAACTCTACTACGTACAGCTCACTGGAGTCCATCAATGTTTTCCCGAAGAGTTAAGATGGCTCTGTTGGCATGGGTTCCCTCTAAGGTTCATACCGAAAGACTTTAGAATACAAAACCTAGTTGCTCTTGACCTGACGTATAGCAACCTCTGCCAGGTTTGGAAGGATCCTCCGGTAAATACAGCTCAACCAAATTATTATTGATTTGATTTTGGTGTTGTGCATACTAACATGGTGCTTTCTGTTCTCTTTTATTTGGACTTTGATTTCCGCTTTCTTTTGGGTTTATGCAACAGTTGCTTGAGAAGTTGAAGTTTCTTGATCTAAGTAACTCCCATTACCTAACACTGTCACCAGACTTTTCAAAACCCCGGAATCTCCAACAATTGATGCTCAAAGGCTGTGTGAGTTTGCCAGAGGTTCACGAATCCATTGGACATCTTGGCAGACTTTCTGTTATAGATTTTGGAAGACTGCAAACTGCTCAAGGATCTCCAAGGAGTTTATACAAGTCAAAATCTATTGAAGTTCTTGTTCTTTCTGGCTGTTCAAGATTTGAAAACTTCGCTGAAGACTTGTGGGAGATGGTATCCTTGACAACTCTTCTTGCAGACAGAACAGCCATACGGAAAGTACCATTTACTATAGTAAGACTGAAGAACCTTAGAAACTCATCTCTATGTGACCGGAAATGGTCTCCGTCCATGAGATTCGGTCTCTGTTTTGGTCATGGGTATTTCCACGATTTATTGCTTCCTTCATTGCAAGGCCTGAACTGTTTAGAAAAATTAAGTCTTGCAAACTGCAATTTAACTGATGGTGCAATTCCTAACGGCATTTGGAGGATCATTGCACAAGCCTTCGCGCCATCACAGATTTACCAAAGAATTTGTGCAAACTGTTGGCAAATTACTGCACTGCACTGGAAAGACTGCCAGATTTTTCAGAAATATCAAGTAACTAAATCATGTGTGTTACATCTGACGCAGTAGCTACTCACATTTTAGGCATGGGTAATCTTAATTAGGAACTAGTGTGGATTTACATGGAAGGGTGCAAATCAGTCACTGTTTATCTTAAGATGTTTTTGCTAGAGGTGCTCTCTCTCTCTCTCTCTCTCTCTCTCTCTCTCTCTCTCTCTCTCTCTCTTATAGCAGGATGATGTATTAATTTTACACATTGCTTCAACAAATCTTGCTCCTCTAGGGATGGAGACCGGTTCTTGGATTTGGTCATACTGCCAATGCAAAGGATATTCCAAACTGGTTCCCCTACATCGGGGGTTACTCTCTCACTTTTGAGGTGCCTCAAGCTATTCGTACTTCCTATGAGTTCGTTGTTTGTGTCGCTCAACGTACTCATCTTGAGCCGGAATCTATAAACACATTCAATTGTACTGCTTAATTTAAATAAGGGCACTACTCACAGCTGGGTATTTTCAATGCAAAACCGCACATTGGGAGATCACCTTTGGATTGCAGTTACAGAATGGGAGCCAGTTGAGATGGGTTTCGAGGCCAGCGACAAAGTTTTGGTTGTTGTATATGCTACACCAGAGATCTATGTGAAGGAAATCGCACTCAGTCTATTATGGTACAAATTTATTAATGGCCAAAAGATTCGATATCTCTCAGTCTCAACGGATAATGGTGTACAGTTCGAATCATCCGAGGGCATTGAAGAATTTTCAATTGGAGATCAACTCCCCTGCTATGAGGCAGGGCCAAGCGATTAGTGTTTCTTGAGCAGCAAGCCATTGCTAGTCTAATCATGATGGGGTCTTTATTTAGAAGATTATCACGCAGACTCAATTTTGTTATGCTTACTTTATTTAGAAGATTATCACGCAGACTTAATTTTTGTTTTATCTACTTCTTTTGTGGTTACGCTCTCTTGAATTTTCTTTTGTATTTTTTTATTTTATTTTGTGTATGGAAAAGAAAAATATAATTTAGAGATCACAGCAGAAGACAAGAGAGGCCGAGAAACCCAAAAAAAAACCCAGAGAAGTCAATATTTTCTCGAGGAAATCATGAGCCTGACATGAATCCTGAAGTCTGGAAAATAATGGCTCTGCTTACCAATAGTAGATAGTGTATATTCTAGTTGCTTAGGATCTATAACCATGTTTTCATATGCCTTAATCCTCAGCTATTCTTTATATGTTAACCATGTTGACCGGGAGACCTCGTCAGTTAACTTAGACCTTTGACAGGATCAAAGTCGGAGCTTCAAGCTGTCGGTTTGAAGAGATCAAACCAAGGTATGAACACAGTAATGATCTGCACAATCGAAGAGCCAGTCAACGAAGTATCATGCACACTAGCTTCCATTCTTGCTGTGATTTCTATAAGGCTAATGCTCTTGGCGTAACGAGGGGAAATCACACCTGGTGAGGTTAAATATGGACTGCAAACAATCATTCCGTGTTTGTTGTAAATTATCCATGTTGGTTTTCTTGTTTGTACTGGACTGAGTATTGGGAGGGGAAAACGAAAAGCCAGAACAACTTATGCTTCCAAAGATATTCGTTAATATTCTAACATGTTTAAATAAAACTGTTGACTTTTAATTAGATAACTAAACAATGGGATCGTCATTTGCATGTTAGAACTTGTGTAATGTTAGTATTTAAAATGTTTATTAAGAAAAGAGGAAGAAACGAAAAAGTAATCGATAAGACATGTTCTTTCATTACTGAAGTTCTGATCAGAACCACCGCTGGACATAACAATGGGTACTAGGACACCCCTTGCAGCTTTCTCTTCATCCCCATCCTCCTCGAAGCATTGGATGTATGATGTGTTCTTGAGCTTCAGAGGTGAAGACACACGCTACAACTTCACGGGCCACCTCTACATGGCATTAAAAGAGGCTGGAATCAACGTCTTTATCGATGATGATGAACTTGAAAATGGGGAAGATATAGCAGCTGAACTGGTCCAGGCAAACCTAGGGTCTAGTATCTCTGTCATCGTCTTCTCACGGAGATATGCAGCTTCCAGTTGGTGTCTTGAGGAGCTTGTGAAGATCATGGAGTGTAAAAGAACACTTAGGCAAATGGTTTTTCCAATATTCTATGATGTTGATCCTTCAGATGTAAGGAAACAGACTGGTTGGTTTGGAGAAGCATTCGTGAAACACGAGGACCGCTTCCTGTTAGATACGGATAAGGTACAGAGGTGGAGATCTGCTCTTACTGAAGCTGCAACTTTGTCTGGCTGGGATCTTAGAAGCACTGCTGATGGGTCAATATTGCTAATCTCTTTGGACAATGATTAATTTCTGCTATTAACCTTGTTAGCATGCCTCTTATATACGTATAATCTACACCTATAATCCTTTTACTCTGGCTCTCTGACTCTATATCCATTGCTTTCTCTTTTTATTGTTCTTTTTTTTTTTGATAGATTTTATCAAAAATTTAATGGTATTTGAAGAATATGACTATTCATTGTTCAATTTCTGAGTAAGCTGAAATACAAGTGCTTTACAGAGAGGAATAGTAGCCAAATCTTGTTCACACTAACCATGTATTGGGGTAATAAGTAGGTTACTAGTTCAATTTAGTGTTGTATACTTAATGAGTCTTCTGTTTCTGAGTATAAACATGATACTTTACATAAATGCAATTCTAGCATCTTCTGTAAATATCTTCTCTAATATACGTAAAGAAAAATATACACTTCCTCTAATAGTATAGTCTATACTTCAAGTTACATGTTTATTCCAACACTCAACCAACCATGCATAATTTCATCGCATTACTAAGCTTATCTCAGTTCATTAACTGCACTGAATTGCTGATCCACATTCTACGAAGTATAACAAAAAGTGCTGCTATTTCCACCAACTTGTCATATTTTCCTACCCACCTTATAATCAAAATTTTAAAGATAAATTTATCCCTTTATAAAATCACTTCTAAGGACTTAAATAAAATAAAATAAAAACTCCTAACTCTCTTTAAAGTAAAATTAAATAATAAAATAAGATTTTCTTTATTAAAAATAAATTCTCTCGCCCCTTGTCTGCCCTTCCCAACCCATCCTTGGAATCTCTACAGCCACCCCCTAAGCAAATCTTGAAGGAAATCTTAAGATGATTGTTGAAGAAAAATGTGAAGCTCCCAACATAATTTCAACACCACTAATTAAATAATACAATTTTATTATTTTAGCATCGAGACACGGTGTCTCTTAATTATAATTCCTTGCTTCAAAGGAACACCCTTTGATTCCATCATAAAGAAACAAAACGTGTGTGTTTGGTTTTGCGGCTGCCCCTAAGTCGAACCTCAAGATGCTTACGTATCCCTTACGAGAATCAAGCCACTCGTAGTTCAAGGAATTGCAATGAATATATGACTCATTGCAAGGAAATTTTGATTTGAATTGTATTGATAAGTGCTTGAGTGAATTTAGCTGAATAAACTAGGAATTCAATTTTGATGTGTGTTTTGGGGTGATTAAGAATAAATCAGGGATCTGTTTGGATTTGAGATTTGTGGGAATTTGGTTGATGTAACCAGTTATTCAAATTTGGTTGCGGTTGCGTCTATTGGGATGTTAAGTCACCTACGTACCCTTGATGGAATCAAACCAACGTAGTTCGGAAATTTGAAAATTAATGGGTGTGGCCCAATAATTTAGAATTTGTCTTTGAGACAATCTGGATATTTCATAGGTAGATGACCTATGGGAAAAATTGAAAATTAATGGGTAAGTGTGGCTCACTAATTGAGAATTTGTGTTTGAGAGATTTGAATTTAATCTTACTGAAATTTGCATAGGTAGATAACCCATGTGAAAAATTGGATGGTTTTGTACCACTTTTCTTATGTCAATGTCCAAGAAAAATAATGAGCAATTTTGATTAACCCACTAATTTTCTAAAATTGACATTTGTAGTTGGAAAAGTTTTTTGGCGAATTTGGTTAGGATAAACCAAGGATTCGAATTTGGTTGTGGTTGCGTCTATTGGGATACTAAACTACCTACATACCATTGACGAGATCAAATCGACATAGTTTCAAAATTTGGAATTATTGGGTAAGTGTGGCCCAATAATTTAGAATTTGTGTCTTTGAGACAATTTAAAGATTTTCATAGGGTAGATGACCCATGAAAAAAATAATTGAAATTTGCAAGGGTAGATGACCCATGAGAAAATTTGGAATGATTTTATACCATATCGTCAATATCAAAAAAACTAATGGGCAATTTTGATGATCCAACTAATTTAATTTGATCATTGGCACATGCATTTGTATCCATGCATGATTTGAAGGATTTGAGATTAATGGGCTTTTGTGATTGATAAACTCGTTAATCCATATTGATGCTCCTTTGGTATCTTTTGAAATTGAGCTTCGAAGCATGACCAATCATTTATTTGGATTGGAGTCACCGTCACAGCATGTTTGAGTCGTTTGACACTCCTTTCCAAATAGCTTCTTTGCCACAGTGATTGATTCCCATATTTCTTGTTGGGATTTTGCGGGCATGTTTGGTAGCCATCTTGCATTTGAGAATTGACGCAGATAGACCCGAATGCCATAAGCATTTTATTGAGCCTCCTTGACCGTCAATTGATTTAATTCTCTTGAACCTTCGCTGACACTCTTGTGCACTTTCTTTGTTTTTTGTTGCAAGTAGTGAACTCACGTGTTCGTCCCTTGGAATACAATGGGGGCACAAGTGTCTGAACATTTTATTTTCTTTTGTTTCTTGCACCAAGAATGATGTGAGGGGCTTGAAACACTTCATTAGTCTTGATCCAAGTAGGACTTGCACAATGACAATTAACGATGAATCTTGGAGCACACCATTAGTCCTTTTTAAGTGGACTTGGGAGCAAAGCTAAGGCACCTTTGTTTTGCCTTGGGCTTTTGTGCTTTTGGCATCACTGCTTGATTTCTTGTTTCCTCGATTACTATCTTTGCTTTTGATACTGTTGAGCCTTTCAGGTTTTGATAACAAGTGCCAATATTTTCCTTGGGGTGAACAAAAATGGTGCTTGGACATTCCTCGTTTGATCTAGTTTTCAGACCATTTGAGAGCCCATGCTTCCACTTTCTGGATTTTATATCCAAAGAGAGTGTTCCCTCCTTTTGTCCACTAGCAGTCAACACTAAGGCAGAGAAGGCAGAGAGCATAAAAATGGCCATAGGCATCCACGATTTTGGACTATGATCAATTTTCTGCTGTTGTTGGTGGGTTAAATACCCAATATTTGATTCATGGGTTTTTGCACCAAAAATGGATTTATCATCCAATGGAAATTTATGAGGTTTTCACCCATGATGGATTTATCATCCAAATAAATTTCAGGGTTACTCACCCAATAATGGATTTCATATCCGATGATTTTTCGAGTTACCCATGGATTTGCATCCAAATGGTTTCGAGGTTACTCACCCATGGATTTGTATTCAAGAAATTTGATTCAAAGGTTGCCACCCCACATGGATTTCCATCCATTTGATTGATTAAAAGGTTGCCACCCAACATGGAGGACTTCAAGAGAGGAGCTTTGTTGTAGATGCATCCTTGATTGCTTCTGTCTTTTTTCCTCTCCAGCCTTTCGACTGTTCTTCGCTACCCTAATAGCCTTGCGAGCTTTTTTTTTCTTTGAAGCCTCCCCTTTCCTTTTATAGAGTGATTGCGAGAAAGAGTTTTGAGATGGAACAATCCTTGTTCAAATTGGATTCCTTCTCCCACTATCCTTTTCCTTTATTTATCCCTTCCTTTTCTCTAGGGAAAAGATCAGGCACAATTTGATATATATATATAATATATATATAAGAATTGAAGCTCACGAAGACAATGGAGGCTCTGGGTTGCAAGGAGAATAGTAATCTTATGCGTGTAAAGAGAGGGAATTATGGAGGGAGACTATATGAGGTGGGGGAGGGAATGGTAGCTGGGTTGCCACAACTTGCAAGAGAATGGTGGCTAGGGTTGAGGTCTTCATGGGTTGGGGTGGGGAGAAGAGAGAGAATTTTTTATTTTTATGTTATTATTAATTTGTTTAACTTTATTTTGGTTGAATTAATAATTAAATGTTATTTTGAAAATAATAGTGGGTGGAAAAATAGGATTGGGTTTTTTCAAATTTACACGATGAATAGGGAAATAGATGGAAACAATAGCACTTATAACAAATTAACCAAGTACATTAATTCAACTACTAACTAAAACAAAATGGGAACATCCTAAAGCACAACTTCAGGATTACAAAATAAAATCAACCAATCCAAAACAAACGAGAGATTCAGCTCGTCACACCAAGAACTTCAAAATGCGTATTCATATTCCAAGTAAGCAAACTGTTACAAATTACCAAAGTAACAAAATTAATTGGCATAGACAGTGCCTCCCAGCCCCAAAGTTGGCTAAAATTGTAATTACGGCAAGTTTGTAAACCCAAATTACAAGCAAAACCCAAATTTGGGTATTAACGAAACGAATCCAGGTCTGAAATCCATAAATTTGTGAAATCTAACGTAGAACCTATTAACTTTGTAGTGCTTGAGATTATATTTGGATTATCCAATATTAAGGCCAGCTTTAGAGATGGAAGAAGAATTTATGATATGTATTACAAAGGAGTATGAAAATATTAGTTAACGCGATCTTATAGTTGCTTGCAAGATTTTGAAGTTTACCTTGACTCCAGATTATTCCATCGAGGAATTTAGTTATGATGGTAAATCTCTACTTAGAGAACATGGTTCACATAGGGATGTCAATGTGATTTCTATAGGCATATCAGAGGAGTATACAGAGTACATGTTTAATTTGACACGTCGTGTGAAAGGTGGAGACATTTTATGCCCTTTTTCTTTTTGTTTTTTCAAACAAGACTTCAACAAGAATGATGTGCCTCTCTATAGCAGAGAGGCTTTGTTGAAGAAAGGGTTTTGGGGTCTATGTTACGAGAAATATGATATGTCATTGTCAGATTGGTGTGGAAAGTAATAAAATCAAAAGCAACAAATATAAGAACGTGATTGCAAGAGATGAAAATGGATGCTAATTCGATGTCTAGCGTCGAAAAATTCAATGAGTAGTAATTTTTTTTTTTATGCGAGTGTATTTTCATTGTTAAGTGTAATACTTTTTGTTTTATGACTAATTTTTTTATTTGACAGTATAATGTTGGGAACAATTTCTAGGATTCATTTTGCAAAGTCATATCAGGGTGAATTGGGTGAGAGAAGTTCTTATGTATTTCTTGATGGACAATTGTTGTTAATCAAGGTTGAGAAGACGTTGGAAGCTGTTAATTCGTCTAGCCAGAGTTCCATATTGAAGGATAATTACAAGAATTTTAGAAACTTATTGAAGGATTTGCTTGGACCCGATAAGTTTTGGGATGAACGTGATAAGTTAATCCATTGTTTTGATGATCTGAACCACTAAGAGTGAGTATTTGTTTCGCTGAATTGTATTGATCGTGAATTGTGTTGTTAGTAACTTGATATATTTGTTTTATGTGCAATTATTCTTCCTATTTGGATGCACTTCTTAATCATCCGTTTTTAATGACTGTCAAGGAAAGGATGGATGAATTTAGCAAGCTGCTCAAAGACTTGTATTCTGGTGGTCTTATTAACACCATGTTGGGACATTCTGATTTTAGTCGGTTCTTGAGTTGGAACAAAGCTACAGGGGAGCAAGTTTTGTTGAATGTGTATGAGTATCGTGATTATGAAACCAGCCAGTCTGATTTGAATCGATCGATTGTCTTTTCTTGGACAATATGAATTTTTTTGGTTAGAAGAATTTTGTTAGGTTTAGTAACTTGTTTCTTTTTTTTCAATAAAGATAAATATAATGGGGTGCTAGTTTCATTTCTTGTTAGAGCAAGAAAAAAAGTTCATGGTTCATATTCACAACTTCTTGCTTGTAGAGAAGTATGAGGTTTGCTTCTACAAGTCTGTTTTTTTCTTTCTTTAAATATATCGGTTGCGGGCCTTGTGTTATCTAATTTCATGGTGTGAATGCAGGAAACTCGGATGACAAAGGACATGGCTAGAAAGGTGTCTGCAACAACACAAGATGTGTGTTCTTTTTTGGTCAAATTAGAATATTGTTCCTTCCACTACAAGGAAGTGTGTAGGTTTTTTTTTCATCATGTACATGTAAAACGAAACTCAATTTTCAAGTGTCAATAAATTGTTCGTAATTATCTGCTCAATGTTTCTAGACTGTTGTGAAGAGGTCGAGTTTTTCCTATCATTCTCAATGGGTTAGTTTCATGAGAACCCGAAGAAGAATATTAGACTTGGCACAAACTGGAAAAAAAATAATAATTGGAGGTATTACAGGTTGCTGCAACCTGCTCACTAAAATCGGAAGCAAGTTAAGTTTCACAATGTGTATATTATAAGATTGCTAACTTCCTTTCACGCTCACACCTCCTTCGTGCAGAAACAAGCAAAGCACAACGGCCTAAATGAATATTCAATTCAATAGAGAAAAAACATATAGAACGGAAAGCAGTACCCATAACTTTTTATCAATGAGAAATTCTGCAATGTGAATGGTATGATCATTTTGGAGAACATTAATGAAAAATAAAACTGAATGGTATAAACCGTCATATATCAAATGGAACAGGCTTTGATAAAAAGAGGTTGGCCTTGTATTCAAATAGCCTTTTCACACAGAATTGCTTGAGAGCAGGTGGTCCTTAAATTGATTATTAACTTCAATAAATTGCACAAGTTGGCCCCAAGAACTATCATCTAAACATAAAAGTTTATATCCAATCCAAAAAGTACTACAAACATGATTGAGAAGTTCCATGACAGCAAAACAAACACCATCAAAGATGTTAAATCCAAAGTACAGCAGATGGTCCAACTTCAAGACTGACATAAACGAACAAGATTACTCCATAAAAAACCTGCAATGCAAGAAAAAAAAACAAAACAGAAAAAATGGGACTACAATTCTAGTATGATTTCACTACAACCACAAGAACAATTGAGAAACCAAATGAATAGCTCATTTGCTGGATATTTCTTTTTCTACCAATAACAGCAATTGCTTTTCTTTTTTGTTGTTGATGTATGTGTTCAAAGTCCCTGCTCCTAATTGATTTCAAGGAAGAAAAAAAAACCAGAATTTGATTCGTAGATGCTCCTAAGAACATTATAATTATAGGAATATTTCATCTGTTTCTATTGACTAAATGAGTGTATAGTATCTCTATATGTGCACAGCTTGTTAGAGAATTTGAATAAACAAACTCTGTGGAGTGCAGAAAAGTGTAGGATCAGATTTTGATCAAATCAAGAATTGCCCATTAGAACTTGTATCAAGAATTCATCATTAGAATCCAAATCACGAATTTACAACTAGAACACAAATTAAAAATTGCCCATTAGAACTTATATCAAGAATTCATCAATGGAACCCAAATCAAGAACTACCCATTAGAACACAAATCAAGAATTTACCACTAGAACATAAAATAAAAATTGCTCACCATTGTTTTTCAGGTCAAAGTCGTTTAAAATGTAAATCTTGCTACTGATATTTGTCACCGTGTCGAGATACCTTGGGCCTTCAAAATTAGGTTATCAATATCCTCCTTTCAAGCAAACTATATTCCCACCAGAACTTTATCTGCATATGGATCACAGAATGCTCTATTAGAATGCATGGTAACAACTAAAGTAATTAAAGAAATAATTATGCCCAGTGAGTTCAAGAAAATGTTCATATACCATATCTCAACCATCTCTAACAATACAATAAAAGCTGCTTTATTATATAACAGATTTATAACTTTTACAATCAATCTATGTTTTGTTTCTTCACTGTCAGCAACAAATATTTCACCAAATTTCCTTGGTTTCTATCTATTCTATTTCAATTTATATTTTTCACTCAGATGATCAGAGATGATGATGAATAATAATAATAATAGTAATCAGAAGAATTTTGAAAACCAAAGAACCAAAGGAATAATAAGAAAAAATATACGATACAAATGACTCTATAGAAAATAAGAAAAAGAAAAACTAAACTATTACTCCAGGCAGGACCCACGTGCTTCACAAATGCGCACACACAAACACAGAATTACATTTACAGGCATGTGTGAGTAGCTGCATACAAAATAGAAGGCAGGAATCTATCTAGAATCTAAAAACATAGGAGCAAGAAACCACCTCTTGTAAGTAACTCACAATTGTCCTCTTAAGTCTGACTCAATACAGCCTGCCGGTACACTCTGCAGAACCACAATAGCAACTCTTCTTCTTTATATTGCCATCGGAATCACGAACCTGATCTATCATATAATTGTAATGATAAGTCAACTCTTGCAAGGGAGGAATGTTCTCGGCGGCAAAGAACATAATGTGAGGAATTCTAGTATCATCATGATCATAGAGGACATTTTGGGCATAGAGATTAGGGGAACAACTATGGTTGACAAATCTTCCCACATTGCCATATTGTGCTGCATCAATGGTAAATCCACCATCCCCCACAACTTCATAAGAACTTGACTGTGCATCGGGCATGAGGGTTGAAAGTCCATCCCAAAGAGAACCGTCATTGTAGTTATTCCCGATATCAAACAGATACTCATCATTACCAGTTCTTTCTTCAGCTTCCTTGTCTTCAAGGAGCTCTCCTATATACTCACATATAAAACTTCCTGAAGGAATGGAATTTAGGGATCTCACTCCCCAACCCCTTGATTCAGTTTTAAATATTTCAAGCGGAAATTTGATACCACGCTGGCTAACTCTATTATAACAAGAAGGAGGGCACTTACAAGAAGGCCCACACTCATACACAAGTGGCTTTACTTCAACAATAGCGCCATTAAAGTTATATGGGATCTCGCCTCCGTTGTTAACTGCACAAGAACATTTCTCAGAATCTGAGCATGCAACAGTACAGCTACAACCCTTGGGAGGGATTGGGCGGCACCAATCAGGATATATCATGTTGGTTATGTATACAAATGGTGGAGGTTTCTCATCATCTATGGTATTCACAGCACAAATAGGAATTGACTCTTTCCCCAGTGAAATATCATCACTGCAGCGACCTATCCGTACTCGAGATTTTTTGGACTTCTTGACTTCTTTCAAGGGAAGCTCTGGTTGATCTCGAATTCTGTCCAGTTCAAACTTGAAAACAAGCTTACCATGAGACCCCACATCCTGCCAACATTTAGCTACTAAATATAATCCATCATAGACGTATGTCTTACTTTTTCCATCAGAAGATTCAGAGCCACGGATCACTCTAACAGGATTCTTTTCATGCAGACTGTTCTTCAAAGCAAGGTTTCCCCGTTCAAGCTTCTGATCTTCAGGTTCCTTATCAGTATTCATCACATTTCCTCCTTGGCCCGTATAAATCAAGGAATCTGAATTATCCAAATCATCAGCATAACCACCAGATGCAACTATACTAGTTGCAAGGACCTTGCCACCATGCTTCACATAGTCTATACCACCTTGACTCTGGCGATGAAGGCCAACTATAGTAAGTTCCACTCTGTAATGAAACTCATCACCAACTTCAACACCCGGGACAGGCCCCAAGATTTGTTTCCCTATATTTACATATTTTCCTTTATCCTTCAGAATCTTTGCCGCTGCATAATCAATCCTCCTGCGAGAACTTCCTCCTTCCTTTGACTTACCTTCTTCCTCCTGCAAGAACTTCCTACAAAGAGCTTGGAACAGACGCAATGTCTCCCTCACCTTGTTTCGGGTGACAGTTTGGTCATTATCATGAACTTTGCTAGTTGAACTACTAAGACCAAAAGGAGGAGGGCATACATCAGAACAACATGATCTTGGAGTCTTATGAAGGTCTTCCTTCTGGTCATTCTCAAGAGAATTCTCTATATCCCATATAACAAGCTGATTTGAGCCTTGGTAAGCATTCTTTCGTGCTACAGGATGAACCTTCTTTTTAGACTTTCCTCCAACGTCCGAGTCAACTTTTTTCCTGGACGCAGTTTTAGATCTTTCTAGCTGACATTTAAAATCAGGTTTCTTTCGTTTGCTTCTACTCATACCACCTTCTGTTTTATACTTGCAGACCTCTTTTCCCTTCCTCCACGGACAATTTGAGGCAGCCATCAAACCCATCACCATCACCCTATCCGATGTAAGTTCTGAACTTTCAAAATCTTCTTCATGCAATTGGTTATGAAAATTAGATATATCTAAACATTTTTCACCTGGACTTTCCTTCGCATGGTATACCACAATTTCCTTCCCCACTAGCTCCTCTGAATGTCCAACATCCCCCAGGCCTTGACATCCATTGTTTTCTTGAGAAGGTTCAATACACTCTTTTCTTGTATCTTTTGGAACCAACTTCATCTTAGAATTTACCTCACATTCATCTAAACATTTCTCACTTGGAATTTCCTTCTCATGGTATACTACCATCTCCTTCCCCACTTTCTCCTCCGAATATCCAACATCCCCCAGACCTTGACATCCATTGCTTTCTTGAGAAGGTTCAATGCACTTTTTCTTTGTATCTTTCGAAACCACATTCATCTTAGAATTTACCTTACATTCATCTTGTTTCTCCATTTCTTGAACAGCATTCTCCTTACAGTTGGGTTGAACCTCCCCAATTACTTTAGAAACATTCACTTCCAAATCGCTCTTGTGAAACTCGTCATCCTGAACATCCTCTCCTATTTGTTTCACACTAGTTTTCGGTGTGTTAGATGATGATGGTTTGTCACCTACAGCCGACCTCTCTTGACCAAAATTCCTTTCTTCCAGAGAAACATTTCTTCCACAGAGATGAGGGAAGTCCCGAACAGCTGATACTCTTCTTCGAGGAGGATATTTTTTAACTGCAATCTTGTCCACACCATTGCCATTAGAAACAAATGGTGAACAAACATTTATATCTGGTGGAACAGCAACCATATCTTCATTTGGACTAGCCACACCAAGCTGATTTGGGTTTTTCAACAAATCAGATACTTCATGCTCTAAGGTTGTTAAAGATTCAACTGCGTCCACAGTACCAGCAGCCTTACCATTCATCAAGACAGTCTCATCCACCTGACCAGTAGAGCCCATCAGCTTTTCAATCCCTTGTCCATCACCATTCTTACCCCTGCTAATCAAAGCCTCAGCAGTACCAACAGAAGCAGCCTCTTCAACAGATCTCAAATTGTTTAACTGATGTAGATTCTTCGGAGAATCAGATATTTCATGCTCTAAGGCTGTTACTGATTCAATTGTCTCCACAGTATGGATGTCCTTGCGATTCAAGTCAGTCTCATCTTCGTGACCATTTGAGAGCATCATCTTATCAACCCCATGTCCATCGCCATTTTTATCCCCATGAATCAAACTTTCTGTTGGTACACTCTCAACCACAGAAGTCGCCTCCTTATCAGGTCTCACATTGTTTATCTGAGCAAATCGTCCACATCCCGGGGGGAAATCACGAACAGCAGAGATTATGCGCCTCTTTAACTTAGGTGACTGGGAATGGAAAGAGCACTCTCCATTTTCCATGGGCAATCGTCCCAATATTACATCAGAATGACTACCATTAAGTGAAGCGATTGTTCTCGAAGACTCCAAATTTTGCAATGCCTCTACGACCCCCATTCCAACTCCGAAACCAATGTAGTGGAATGCTCAAAAACCTAAAACCATAGTAATCATTAGGAACACAGCTATCCTTAGTAAATAAAGAACCTTATTAATTTTTGTGGGTGTACTATGTTATTAAAGCATTCTCCTAATATGCAAGGCTTAATAAGAACTTTAAAAACAAAAGCAGCACTGACCGTCTTCCCAGATGTACAGTTTATTTCAATCTCTTCATCATTAACTCCTACAAATTCTCCATCCGTCCAAACTACCTCAGGATCCTCCACCCAAACGAGAGATCCAATCGCCAAATTAACATTTGCAAGCCAGATCTTTAATTTAAAATCATCATTGACAATGATTTGATACTCAACAGGCACATTAAGCTAGCATTAGACAGCAAGACTATGATGCAATTGGAAAACTGTACTGAAAACAAGAATCTACAACAGAACTGTGAGGTGTTCCTTCTTCTGTAACTGTATATGAGTGATAATTTATTCATTCAACTATTCGTCAAGTTTTTGGAGTAATGTTCTCGTTACAAATAAAGTTGAATCATATAATTTATGCATTCAACTGTATATGAGTTGAATCACGGCCAGCACATTATTATGGAGTATAATATTCTCCTTACAAATAAAGCAGCAACCATAAACAACCAAAAAATACAGAAAATTACCAGAAAAGAAACACAACCAGCAAGCCAATCCTTTACTTAGCCGTCAAAATCAATTCTGTCAGAAAAACAAAATCACAAGAGTCAGACAAAATCACAACAGACAGAAAATTAGGGTTTAGAGATAATACCTCAAAGAGAGAAAAATCGAGAGAGGGAGAGACTGAGAGAGAGCGGGAGTGACTGAGAGAGCGAGATCGAGCGACTGAGGGAGAGCGGGAGACTGAGAGAGCGAGATCTCGTGAAGAACTTGGCTGCAGATTTGGTTTGGGGAGAGGAGGTTGAGTTGAGAGTGAGAGAGTGGGTCCCGTCGGGAAGGGGAGGAGAGAGAAGGAGAGAGTTTTTTGTTTTAAAATGTTATTTAATTATTATTTTACTTTATTTTTTAATTTTAAAATCAAAGAGTTAACTATATGTGATGTCGTTTCAACGCTCCCTAGTATTTAACGACAGCACCGAAAATTCATCCTACCGAGCGCTACTTGTCTTTCCCTTTCTCACCATTTCTACTGTTTTCTGCTTAATTTTCTTGGGGGGGGGGGGGGGGGGTTTTCTTTTTTTTTTTTCTTTTCCCTTGGAAGAAATTTTTTTTTTTTTTTTTTTTTTCATAGAGTAATTTATTTTTTTTTTTTTTTTTTTTTTTTCCGTCCGAAAAAAAAAAAAAAAAAAAAAAAAAAAAAAATAACTAGACCTGCCATCGTTTCTATCGACGCTTTTCTTCGGTAGTTTCCATAAAAGAAACCCAAATAATAAATAATAATAAAAAAAACTCATCTGGATTTTGATCATGGGCGGTGATTCTCCAATATCAGGTGGTTTTCTCATTTGTGTTCTAAATCTTATGTTTTATCATCAAATTTTGTGTTATTTAATAATCTGTTGATCTTAATCATGGTATATGAAACATCGATTACATTGTGGCCTGGCTCAACTACTTTGCATATATTTTCTTGGGAAAGCTCTCAATGTGTTGAGAATTGTTCTGTTTTGTTAATAAATTTGTCATGTCTTTGAAACCTTAGTCTGGATAATTTTGTGTAATATAAAAGGTATATAGGCAACATTTAATCATATGCCGATATTAGAGCGAATTCCGAAATGATATAAGCAAGACAAGAATATGGAATGATGAAATGAACCCCTCTGGTATTTGCTCAGATTATGTGAATGCGATGCATGTTCCCTTGTATAACTCTGTTTCTCAAAGAAACGTTTTGTTCCTTCAATGCCTATTGTATTAGCTTATGATGTCTTTCCTCAAATTTTCATGAGACATTAGTTTGTATTCTTGTTTTTAGTATGAGGATGCTCCTCAATGCTTCTTGTTTCTGGGTTGTAGAGATGAGAGCATTAAATAATCAATTTGACTGTGAAAATGGAAACAAAGTGTCTTCAAAGGAAGGGAAGGGAACGAGGATATGGAAGAAAGTGAAATATCAGCTTATTGAATACCATGCATTGCCTAGCTTTTTAAGGGACAACGAGTTCATTCTGGGTTATTACCGATCAGAATGGCCATTGAAGCAGGTGTTTCTGAGCATCTTCTCCATTCATAATGAGACTCTCAATGTGTGGACGTAAGTACTTCAGCTCAAAAACACATTACGTTTTTATAATCCAATGCTTATTATGTTTTTATTTTCTCTCGTTGTTATTTATTATACATCCATGCGTGCGGTCAATACTTGCGCTGTGATACATGATTGACATTATATTTGAAGCTGTGCCTCTCATAAAAATAACATTGATTGCTGAGAAATCCTTTTTTTGTAGGCATTTGATCGGGTTCTTCCTTTTCCTTTTCCTAACCATATACACAGCAAAAAAAGCTCCAGACATCATGGATCTTTCTTCCTTCCAACGTTTGCCTGACATGATTAGAAAAGCTGAGTTTTACAAAATTCATCCAGAACTGTTGAATTGCCTCCCTTCACTACCCAACCTGTCTGATATTTATAGATTAAAAGACGAATTGAAGCCATCTTTGCCCTCTATGGATTTCATCTCCTCAGTTTCAGGGAATATAAGGGAACTTCTCGCCAAATGCATGCCCGAGCGGTTTTCCCATGCCTATCAAACAGAGAATTCTGTTCTGGTATTGTCTTGCATCCTTGATAATGAAATGCAACTCTGCTTGTATGCTGTAATATCATGCAAAACTGCCATCCAGTGCTTTTCAAAATTCTTTCACCACGTTTTATCTTCCTTTTATTCATGAATATTTTACCAATCTACCTTATACACGTTATTTTCTATTAAGTTTCTCTATAAAAGCCGTTCTATATACTTATGGGAACATACTATTTAATTTGAAGTCATCCTTTTGTTTCCATGTTTACAGCCTGATTCCTTTGTAATTTGTTTCATAACTGCAGCATGGAGTTACAGATGATGTGATGAACATGGTGGCCCCCCTTATGTATCGACCTATTACAAGGTGGCCCTTCTTTGTCTTCCTAGGTGGAGCCATGTTCTGCTTGCTAGCCAGCAGCACATGCCACCTCCTTGCTTGCCATTCAGCTCGCCTTTCCTACATAGTGCTTAGATGTGACTATGCAGGCATCGCTGCACTCATCACAACCTCATTTTACCCTCCTGTTTACTACTCCTTCATGTGCAACCCCTTCTTTTGCAACCTCTACTTGGGCTTCATAACAATACTAGGTATCGCCACCATTGTTTTCTCCCTCCTCCCACTTTTTCAAGGACCCAAGTTCCGTAGCTTTCGTGCTTCTCTCTATTTTGGGATGGGCGTATCTGGTGTCGTTCCTTTAGTTCATAAACTCATAGTGTTCAGGAATCAACCAGAAGCCCTTCAGACAACCGGCCTTGAAGTGCTAATGGGAGTTCTTTATGGACTGGGGGCTTTGATTTATGCTACAAGGATACCAGAGCGGTGGAGACCAGGGAAGTTTGATATTGCTGGCCAGAGTCACCAGCTTTTCCATATCTTGGTTGTGGCGGCAGCTTACACACACTATCGTGCTGGGCTGGTGTACCTAAGATGGAGGGACTTAGAGGGTTGTTAACTTGTTAGTATTGAGACTTCGGGGCCAGAATTTGATCATAGTAAGTGGGTCTTTTCTAGCCCTTCTTCTGTATTGGGGTTGGGTTCTCTTTGTCTTTGAAAAATTGAATCAAGGTATAGCTTTACTTTTTCGCCTTGGCCATAATAAAGTTGTAGTGTCTTTGGTCTGAAAGTTTGGACATTTTTCTTTTATTGTCAAAACCTTCCGGCTATGTAATTACAAGTGTACCTGTATAGGCTCACTCCACCTGGTTTAGCGGGTTAGGGCAAATCCCCTCAATTTGCATCCAAGTGGCTTGCGTGAATGGACAGCCTTGAAGTAAATGGTTCAAGTTCCATTGGAGGTGACAGTGCTGACTCTAAAGGTCCCAAGCAATTCTCCTCTGTTGATCCTTTGGAATGAGTTTGAAAGAGGGAAAGGAAGAACCCAATTGTGGCCCCAAAAAGTGAACAAATTAAGGGTGAAATTGGTGACTTAAAGTCACGACTTTTGCACTTGTATTGTATATATATATATATACACACATTTCTAATGTCTTCTTGCTTTTAAACCAAGTGTCTGAGATGAATATGTTCACTTTAATGTTTACTCCTTTCCGATCAAATCTTTGAGATATTTGAGGAAATTAAAATATGCTGAAGACAATGGTCATTCCTACATTTTCTATTGGTGTGTCGTTGAGTCGTGTTGGGTTAGTTGTGGCGGTTCCCTTAATTCGGTTTTTTTCTTAAATTGTACTCCAATCCAAATTAGGTTCCCTTAATTTGGTTTTTTCCTTAAATTGTATGCCAATCCAAATTAGCCTCGCCGCCAATGAATCGTTAATTCCCTTTATTATTTTAGATTTAGACACATAAATTAATTGATTATTATAAATATATCGTAATTTTGTAATGAGATGAAAACATATGTTTTGGTTTGTTATCTAATGTACTTTAATCATCTTGTAACCGATGTAGCACCAGTAAGACTCTTATATCCACGGCTGAAGATGCACCATCACTAAGACTCTTATATCCCTTGTGTTATAAATATATGCAAGAACTGATGATGTACCAACACTAAGACTTATATCCCTTGTCTTATAAATATATGCAAGAGGACCTCACACAGATTGAGGAATTCACTCCAAATCAAAAATTGTTTGGTCATTGAATTATATCACCGTGCTTTTTTTTTTTTTTTATTTCAAGTGGCAGATTTTTAATTTCAAATTTATAGTTGTTGAAATCCATTTTTACATTTCAATTTTGGCTGTTGGTGATAACTACTGCGTATCTCTCATTCAGATTATAGCTGTTGGTTTTGACATGTTAGTTGCAAATTTTAGAGAAGTTATTAGGCAGTTAATCATCTACTGCCTATACAAGTGGTCTGATGTACTCCTTTTGCAGAACAGACTATTTTTCTAATAGATGATGTAGAGGAAAGGACAATCAATGGGGTGTTAGTTGGATTGGCGCAGGTCTCTGGTATGCTCCAAGTGTTCTTGGGTTCAAGTCCCATGATACACGTGTGTGAGTTTCCCGGACAATAAATTAGCCACAGGGTCAATACTTAAAATACAAGTTATAACCAATTACTATAGAATAGATGAACCCAAATTGCAGAGAATCCTAAAACCCCAAACACTTTCAGCAATCTGGCCAAAATACAAATCACACAACTGAAAAACTATTTGCTGATTTTTGCAGAGGGTTTAATTGGACAAATATTTAAAGGAGATGCCTACCTTTAAGGGCTTAATTTCCTTTAAAAAAATATTCCTTGAAAGTAGGAAGGTGGTTGAAAAATCGATCAGACTGCAGGTCTTAGATTAGAGGTGCACCCATTGGAGGAGGTGGTGGGCTTTGTTGCTTCCGAAAGTTTCCTGCTGGAGGAGGGGGTGGGCTTGGTCTGGTTTTCCGGCCAAATTTGCTCACCTTCAAATCTGTAGCCAAATATAAAACACATAACATAATGTATTCCTGATCCACAATTGCTAAATAAAAGTAAAAATTGAAGGAAATGAGAAAGAAAAAAAATTCAGGGTACAACTCAAATTCTCAAAGGGAATTCTAAATTCCGAAAACTGTTTCTGAATCGCGAACCGAACCTGCATGAATCTGAGATGGATGCATGAGCAAGATGGATGCAATGAACATAACCATAATGAGAAAGCGGACGAAGGAAGAGAGACCAGCCATTGATTATATAAAAATTGTCTCTTGTTTGGAACTTAGTTCTTATCCCTTGATCACAACTATGGCCCTTATGATAATTATATAGCGAGTGTGAGTGCCTAAGTTGAGTAACTTTGAACGATTTAATTAATTACAAAGCGTGTTGAGTGGGGTTAACTGGAATTAGGTCGAGATGCAAATTTTAAAGGTTAGTCCATGGACAAATGATGTTACAAGTTGACTTTAATTTCTTTTAAGGATGCCATTTAGGTATAAATATGCCTTGAAAGCACATGGATTCTTGCTTGAAAGTCTGCAAACTTAATTAAACTAGTTTCATAAGACCTTATATAGTCCTTTAATTGTTTGTACGTACTATTATAGGAAGAAAAAAAAAGGTTCTCTAGCCAGACCACACATCAAAAGAAGATGTATTATAGTTTTGGAAAATACCACGAGATGTCCCCACACTCGAAGGGTGGGATTAATCCCCGCTCGAGGTTCAGCTTGCCCCTAGCCACAAAGTGCTTCCAACCCATTGAGGCACTATGTAGCTCTCCAGCTGGAGGTGGCAGTTTGTCAACCGCACCACACCTTGTGGTTAGAAGGTGCATTATATTGCCATATATCATGTTGATCGTTTTGCGAATGCAGAGTCTAGATTCACAGTTTAATAATATATATTGTCTGACAACATAATTCTGGAATGTTACTAGGTACACGAGTTTCCACTCTTAAGTTCCAATGACCTCTTAAGAAATACATATGACCCTCACAATCGCTTTCAGATGAGATAAAAATAATAAAATTAAGCAAGTAAAGTAAAATGGTGTCACGCTTGATACTGTTATTGTGAGACTTATGTTAGAGTTTGTATAGGAAAATACACTTTCACTTAGTCCCACATTGGACGGGACTTGTTTCATTTCATGGTTTATAAGCACCAACACTTTAGAAAAACTAAATAGAGTATGAGATTAGTGGAGGTAAAGTTGGGCCTTATCTTGGTTTGGGCTTAGAATGTATATATTTGGCTAATAAAGATGAGCCTTGGAAATTCATTTTCAGATAAACTCGTTTATGAGTAATTCTAGATAAACCATAATCACTTCTAGAGGTGCTTCTACATATAATCACTTTAGGGTGTTTGGCAATCGAAAGCACTTCTGATGGCGTTTGACAGAAAAGTTTAGAACTGTTTCTGAGTCATAGAAGTGTTTTTTGGAGAAGTATCTGTCATGTGCTTCTTCAAGAAGCACTCTCAAGTGCTTCCTAAAGAAGCAGTCCCAAACGAGCAGAATAACTCCATATAGAGAAGTAATTCTTCACAAAAGTGCCTTTTGGTATTCTGAATAACTCCCAAATGAGCCCTTAATTAGTTTCCTTCTAGCTACTTCTCAAAGATTCAATATTTTAATAGGCACTGAAACACACATGACACTAATTTTATACTTATGATTTTTTAATTTTAAACATTACTATAAGGGCTCTACACTCAAGTTTGCAATCTCCTGCAATATTTACCCAATTCATAGAAGTATCAACAAAAATTCACAAATTAGAATTTACATAGAAAATTTGTTTTCCCAAACTTAAAAACGAACCAAAAATAAATAAATAAATAAATGTTATTTTTGAATCGTTGAAGAATATGCGAACAAGAAAAACGTAAACATTTCATAAATTTTCTTTGACCATGGTTTTATGTAACAAATCGTCACGAGATTTCCTTGAATTTTCAAAATTATTGCATGAATCGACCGTTTTGCCCTTTTTGTATAGGACAAGTTATAGAAATTTTCTTTACTCCATTACATAGAAATAGCTAATTCCAGGTCCTTTGACTTGAAGCTCTAACAACTTCTCTGGCAACATCCCTAATCAGATTTCTAATCTCACCAACTTAGAGAGATTAACTCTCTCTCACAATCTGGTCAAATCCCTGGTTGAGTTTACATTTCCTCTGCTCTTTCAGTGTGGCATACAATGACCTTCAGGGCCTTGTACCATCTAGAGGCCAGTTAAATAATTTTACCATCGCCAGCTTTGAAGGGAATCCAAGATTATGTGGCCCTCCCATTATGCATCTCTCTTGCTCTCAGCCAGAATTAGCAGCTCCTCAAAAAATCTTTCAGATACAGTTGTTTTAGAAATAAATAATTTAGTGAATTTGACCCCAAACCATGAACTCCAAGTCATTTTGATAGAAGACCTATGTTTAAAACTCCACGAGCTCCAATTCATTTTGATAGAAGTTCTATGTTTAAAACTTTCACATTCGATTCGCAAGGGACTTATAACTCAAACGATTAAAAGTATTTATTATATACTTTTGCATTAATTCAAGGTCATAGGTGACCTCCAGACTGCCTGGCTATGGGGAAGCTTTTGGTATTGACTCCAAACTCTTGTATCTCGACTTGTACAAAGTCTTATAAATATATGCAATACAGATTGAGGAATTCAACAATATTTCTGCTTATTTCTACATGGCAGGATTTATGGTATTCCACTTCTCAAGTATATCCTTTTCGTGTACATCCACAAGTTCAGTTATATGCAGCATTGCACTGAAATTCCCTCATAAACAGAGGTCATGATTTCATTTCTCTATGTAAACTGGGACAATGTTTCAACAGGGAGAGCTTTAGTTCCAATGACCTCTTAAAAAACATGACCCTAACTATTGCTTTCAGTTGAGATAAAAATAACAAAACCACGTAAAATGGTGTCACACTTGATACTGGTGCTGTGAGACTCAACGAAAGCATATAGCAGAACAATAGAGGTAAACCCAGTTTTATCAAGAAATAAAGGCCTTGTGGGAGGTGAAACCATATCTCAGAAATAGATGTCAAAAAGGCCATGGTGTTAAAAGCCAAGAAAGAAACGCATGCTGCAGCGGAATGAAATGCAAAGTTTGATACTACATTTTCTTCAGCGCTACTGTTCGTGGCTGCGGAGTTCCTTTTAAAATCATGAGGAGTTTCAGAGTAACCTTTCTGGATACCAGCAGGGGGATTGAGCACAGCTTGGAATGTGGCTGTTGCAATCAGCACAGCTACCACTAGTAGAGCGTTGCGCTTTTCATTTGGCATGCAAAATTTTGAGAGGTGATTTTGTAGTATCCATTTTTCGGTCAGTGACATCTCTTTCCTCAAAGAGTCTGCAAGAGAAGATACTCTAGGAAGTGAGGAAGCTCCCAAAGCTCCATTTCGGCATAATAAATTTATCATCTCCGTATTGTTAACTGGTCCTTGCAACGAGATGTCCAGAGCTGTTAAACCCTCCAAATTCTTGACATTTAGGTCAACCCTTTTTATTAACAATCTCACCACCTGCATAATATTAGCATGCAAAAATCTATAATTAACTTCTTGCAAAATAGTATTTGTTTTCAAAAATGAAAACATATTCTTCAGGAAAATCATACCGGAAAAGGTCAAAGATACCGGTTAGAGTATCACTTAAATAACTGTCTTCTGCAATTTGGTTCTTTCATCTATGTAGAAGAGCTAAATGCTTACTATTTTAAGTTTGTAATCAGCTCTACCATATTTTTGAAGCTTATTAGTAGAAACTAACTTCTAAGGCTACTATCCTACTATCTCTGTAATATGAAGCTTACGAGACAAAAGAATTTCTTTAAAAACGCTCTAAAAGTTGTGTTTTGTGTTGGTAATAAAAAAATTAGACGACAAGCAAGAAACAAATGAAAGAGCAAAGGGAAAAAAACTGAAAAATCAATCACATATATGTTTGTTTACAGGTTGAGTAAATTTGGGACATCTACTAACCTGAAGCAAAATATTACTCTATCACAGTTAGGGAGTGAGGGGACAAAAGCTTGCCTGGAATTGATTTCTTGCTGTTGCAATGTGCAATACAGTGTTGCCTTCAACATCAGTCCACTGCAAGACCTCATCCATATCAACATGCTGAATCCATCCCAGCAAGACTTCGAGTGCTCCGGCCTTGTCATTCTTTGCAGCAATATGCAGTGCAGTTTCTTTCTGATTTGTCAGATCAATGATAGATTCTGGGCAAGCTGCTAGAAATTCAGCCAGAAGATCCAAGTTTCCGATTTCAGCTACACAGTGCAAGAGAGTCCTACCCTCCCTTCCTTTGACTCGGACAAGGTCTCTATAGGCAGACAAGACAGAAAGCACTGTCTGTGTTTTCCCATGTTTCAAAGCCAAGTGCAATGCAGAGAACCCTTCTTTGTTTTGCTTCCTTGTAAATTGTGGCTTTAATCTCATCATCTCCAGGGCAAAGTGGGTATGCCCTGCAGATGCAGCTATGTGCAAAGGAGTATGAACAAATGGAACCTGATCGATGCGCTCTAAAATACACGAATCCTCCTGTATCAATGCATAGAAGCCATCAATATCTCCCTCTTGAGCAGCCTTCATCAGCCTCTGATCCTTTCTGAGAAGTGACAAAAGTAGGCAGCTGAGAGAGTCTTATATACTGCTCTCAATTGAGAGCAACTATTTAACCAACAAATAATGAAAATCTTGAAGTACAGTATGCCAAAGCTAGAAATTAGAAATCACCTAAAGTTACTCTCAGATTTTCAAAGTCCATACTGATATTGAGGCAGTGATGCATGTTAATGAAGCTATGTATCTATGTTAGAAGTACTAAGAGCACCAATTTTTCATCAAATTGACTTCTTCAACCTTAAATAGTGTGTGCTTAGATAAAAATATAAAAATATAAACCTTAAGTAGTGTGTGAAGCCAACATTAGGAAGTGAAGCCCCTTCCTGAGCTCCAACACGACATAGCATAGTCCTTATTCTTATGCTATCCAACAAGCTTTGGTGCTGTATGATGTCCAGGGCCGTCAAACCAGCCGAATTCTTGGCGTTTACGTCTACCTTAGAGTTTAATAAAAGCTGAACTTCCTGCATAATGGAATGAACCAATTTATTAAAAAATCATTGAGTAAGCTGCAAGCTTCAACCAAACTAAAAATTCTGAAGATTTTATAAATTATGAACAAATTATTGCCATGGTTTGACAGAATGCAGTATAGTTCATGTAATTTTCACTCTATCAGTTCTGAAGCCCAAATTCAAACATGCAAAAGATATATCTGAAATTAACATCAACCATTGGCACATCACCTTATTTCAATGAAAAATAAAAACATGAGAACTCACCTCAGGTTGATTTCTAACTGTTGCAATGTGCAGCAAAGTGTTGCCATCATCATCCTTCCAGTTCAATATCCTTTTCTCCAGTTGATGAACCTCTTCATAGCAAGCATGTGTTAGCCATCTCACCAGCAATTCAAATGCTTCAACCTTGCCGTTCTTCAATGCAATATGCAGAGCAGTCTCATTTCGAATCGTCACATCCTCAAAGGATTTGGGGCATGCTGATAGAAACACAAGCAAGAGTTCAATATTTCCTTCTTTGGCTACACAGTGCAATGGAGTCATACCCTCCCTCCCTGACACACGAATGAGCCCTGTATCAACGTCTAGGAGACGAAGCACCATCTGGGTGTTCCCATTTTGCAGAGCCAAGTGGATGGGGCTGAACCCATCTTGGTTTGACTTCCTAGCAAATGATGGCTTCAATCTCATTATCTCCATGGCAAACAATATATGCCCTTCAGATGCAGCTACATGTAGAGGAGTATCAACAAATGACACCCCATTAAGGTCCAAAAGTTTAGCATCCTCCTTAATTAAAGTGTACATGACGTCTATATCACCTGCTTGAGCAGCCCTCTTCAACCTCGGATCCATTCTAAAAGAACGATATTGTGACAGTCAAGCTGCTCAAGATATTGCTGTCTAATTTCTTATGCTGAAAGTAACCATATAGCATCTAAGATTCTAGAGGGACGCGTAGATTAATTTGTTGAGGATATACCTTAGCCATACAACTGGACTAAGATATTACACAATAATTAACAAATATATTAACACCAAACAAAAAGAACACAAAATTTTCAGGCAAAAGGGGGAGGGAGGGAGGGTGGCAGCAAAACACAGAGAAGTTCATATAATACACAAAAGACAACTGACTCACATATTTGTGTAATTAAACACTGTATCTATATATTAGCTACCATGAAGCCAATCTGCTATGTGTAAACTTAGAAGCAACTTCATAGTATATTGCTGGGAAAACAGGAAGAGTCAACAAGTCCATCGCTGTCAAGGTAGAAGTCAACTGTAACTACAAGGACCACAAAACAAGAAACATAAGACAAAAAGAGATTTGTTTGGTGGGATGGAAGAAAATAGGCAGGGACAACTCCCTAGTTCTCTGTGGTCCACCCCATGACTGTAAGGTCTTGTAGTTCCCCTTCCCCACGTTGATTTGAATTCTTAATTTGGCATAAAATTCTTTGTTTAAGTTTTTTTTTCTCCGTTTCCCATTACCAACTTCTTCAAGTCCCAATTATGTCAATATCTACAGCGACGTGAGCTGCAGTTTCTTTCTCAGTTCTCAGATATTCAAAGGACTTTCCAGGCAACCACATGAAAATCACTAGCCAGTAAAGGCGGCCTATTAATTGGCAACCGCCCACATTTAAACTTGTTTAGACACACTGTTACTTGGAGTTGGAACTGAGAAGATGTTTGGTAATTTTCTTTGGAATGCTGAAGTAGGATCTGAATATTTTCTATGCTGCTACTACGCAATTACCTGGATTGCATTAAGACTTTAGCATGGTTGATAGCATGAGAAACACAAGCATGAAACAAATCAAGGGGGAAAAGACAGCCTTATAAGTTGTAATTGAAATCATGCTGACGTGTCGCGTAGCATTGAGCTTATACTACTACTACTATACACTGCTAACAACTACTGTAGTAAATGAAATCAGGCTAATGGCTAATCCACCTAAAGTCATACTGCTTCACACTAACAAGAGTACTGAGAAATATATAATATCATACTTCTTGGTTCTTTTTCATTTATACAAGCGATACTAGGGGAAGAGGAATTCGAACACAAAACCTCAGAACTAAAGATTATATCAAAAGTAGAAGTAAAAATGTAATAGGCTTAATTTCAGTAAACGATATGTATTCAATCATCCACATATACACTAGTTTTCACTTTCAGAGCAGAGCAGAAACAGAGAATGTTGCTAGCTACCTAGCTAAGACCTAGCAAACAATAAAATTAAGGGTATTAAAAAAATATGATTATTTCAATATCAAACGCTGCTTAATTATGAGAGAGAAAGCTCAGGAAAATATATATCTACCTAAGACAAACAGAGAGACAGACAATATCCCATCTCGGTAGTGCACAGAAACTTGGTTATTAATTAAAATTCTACCTGCAAACTATAATAATCAAGAGATGATGGATGATCAGATCATGGGAGAAAGTGAGTCAGTCGACCACAGCAAGAGTTTGATACTCTTTGTTAGCGATGGCTGCTTCCATGAGATGGTGCGGCGAAAATCCCCGCCATTGTCCAACAAGGACTTGACCAAATTGTTGGACCAGCCACCCAACAGAGTCACCCCTGGACGAGGCGAATCAATCAAAGGCAAATAAATCGATGGCGAATTCCAGTTGGATATATCCCAAAACAGAATATGTGGCACGGCATCATCAGCGTACCCATTGTCCTTAAACATTCTCTGTATGGCCCCATATTTAGTCTCCCAAGCGCAGCTATCATAAAATCTTGAGGGTATGCAGTAGGTGAACACAAACAGCTTCTTGATCATCTGCTCTGGCTTCAAATCTTCCTTGACAGCCACTTGGAGAATCAAATCATATCTCTTTTCCAAATCCATCGCCAATTAACGAATACAGGTGAGGAGGCTGAGGCAAAAGAAGCTGATGCTGCTGCTGAGCCTGAGAACCATCAGGCGAAAGAGGAACTGAACTGATCACCTTTCTTCTCCATGCCGGCTCTTTACTCAGTTGAGACACCAAAAGTCCCAAACTCACGGACTGTTCTCTGCTTCCTTTACCCATGATTCCGTCAGCGAACTAACATATTGACCCAAAAAAGAGGAAAAAAACTGTTGACTGAAAAATCAGCAAAGTGGCACCGAACCAAATCGGATTGGTTCAAATCAGTTTCGGTGGTGCTAGTTTCACACCTTACAAAATCGGATCAAACTGCTGTGTATTTATTTATTTATTTTAAAAATATTTTAAATTCAATGCTAAATTTTTAATTCCATCCTCAAGCCCAACTTCAAAGCACTTCTATTTTTTAGACTCAATTATCTCTCTTTGCATGAAATTGGGTTATTTGACAACGGGTCTAATCTGGGGTAGGTATGCCATTTCCATCCCTATTTTCATTAAGCATTCCCACCACTCCCCACCCCAAAATCAAGATAAAATAAAATAAAAAGCTACTTTGTTGAATGAAAAAAAAAAAGAGTATTATGAGCACAATATATGTATTAATTCCTTTTTTATTAACTAAAAATATGGACTATTTAAAAAAATTAATACATGTTCAAGTCATGATCATCATTATAGAGGTAGCGCCACCATATCACACATCTAAATAATATATTTATTAGGAAAATAAATTATATATATTCTAAATGGAGAGGGTTCGGATTGGGGATTAGAATATTATCCCCGCCCTTCTCCGAACCCATCTTCATACCCGTTTCTTAATCTTCATACCCGACCCATTAAGATCAAATATCCTCGTGAAGACCTTAACACGTGGCTAAAATTATCATCCCTAGTATTGACTCCTTCAAAGTTTTATTCCATGCCATTAAATTAGCAATATCGAACCCTATATTCCCCCCCCCCCCCCCCCCCCCCCCCCCCCCCCCCCAAAAAAAAAAGCCCTATTAAATATTGTCTAAAATTCTTTTTCTTTTTTTTCTCTTTTAAATCGAAGTTATTTTGCATGGCGCTAATAAGAGAATGAGTTTTAAATAACAAAAAAAGGCGTAGACGCAGGCTCCAGAATTTTCCGCTATACGAAACTTTCATATCATACACAAACCCTAAATTCCTTTGTACGACTCTAATAGCAAAAGCTCTATCATCCGGTATAATGGGGGATCGGAATACATCTCAACCTTCTGCCGCCGGCGCTCTGCTCTCCTCCGGTCAAGATGCTGAGATCAATCCGCGGATGATGGTTTCACGCAACCATGAGGTCCTGCAGAAAATATGGGAGATCGAGAATTCTCTACGTGAACTTTGCGAGAGAAGGGAGATAGAGAAATCTCCGGGGGAACTAGGCAAGATATCGAAGATAGAGAAATCTTTAGCCGCGCTTTGGGCCCAGCAAATCCAACTGGTCGATTTGACGAAATCAATGTCGGAGCAGCTTCGCTCACTACAACGCAGTCAACCTGAAATGGCGGCGATTCCAAATTCCACGGTGGATAAGGCCGTTAATCCTTACCCAAGGTCAGTGAATGGCTTAGTGGATTCCATGAATTGAAATTATCATGTATCAATTACTATTTAATATTTAATGATGATGATCTAGTTCCATTCGCAGTTTGTTGGAAAAATGGGCAAGGCATTTTTACGGTTTGTATTTATACAAATTTATAAATAAACCCAATCTTAGACATGTATTTATAAAAAAACTCAAGCACTATTTAAACATAGAAACACACCCAAAATCAACCCCAAAATCAACAATTATATATTTTTTGGGTGTGTTTATAAATGGGTTTTGAGTGTGTGTAATGATGGGTTTTGGGTGTGTTTATAAAGTGTTTTGGGTGTTGGGTTTTTTTATAATTTCAACCCCCATTTTGGGTGTTTTAGTGAAACTCCCTTGTATTTATTAATTCTCTCTTAAGTAGGTAGGTAGGTGTTTGAAAAGCTTAACTTGTTGTATCTATCTCTCTTTTCTGTCCAGCTTGCCCATGAATCATGCATCAATGACAGTAGATCCGGGGGTAGCTATTAGATCTGTATATTTATTTGCGTGTTTTGGGAGCGAAGAATTAACTAGAGCAATCTATGAAGTGAAGTTCAAACATGGAGGAGTCGCTCGTGAACCCCTGGTTGTTGAACTAGTTAACAGGTTCTGTGAAGGTGATAAGAATGAGAATTTTGGCATGCAGGGGGCTGTACGGATTTTCCACCTCTCCAATTTATACGTCCCTACAAAGGACGGTGGATATATTATTGACACAAAGACTATGTCAGGATCTTCATCTTTTCCTCCTACCCTAGGCTATAAATCAAATCCTATTTTTGTGTCTGCATATGACAAACTGTATTATCTTGCAAGTCCATTTACCATCCCACCAATTATGGAGCCCTCCTTCGAGAGATTTGATCCTGATACGAACATGTGGGAGAAAATGCCGCCATATCCATTTTATAATGATTATGACACCCACATGATTATAACTGGTTATGTGGTTTGTTATGGCGTTATTTTGTTTTCATTGTGTAGCTGGAGAGAAAAGAATTTCGATGTCGTTGCATTTCATGTGGGTAGAAAACAATGGAAGCCAGTGGAAGTTCATGATTCTGTGTATGCCTTTCCAAGGAAGGGCTGTGGTTGTAGGCAAAACTATATATTAATTCCTTACGTCAGGGGGAAGTTATAGCATTCTCCTTGGGGCTGGACAAAGATGATAACGGTGGTGTTGTATATAACCTAAACCAACTGTTTATATTCCAAGGCCTGGAGGTTACGAATCAACCGTTCGCATTTGATATGTGTTGGAGTGAGTATTTAGTTCATTTGGGGAACAATGACTTTTTCCATGTCAAGACTGAATGTTGCAATGAAATGGCTCCATATCTTCGTATCACCACATTTCAAATTGTTGTTGGAGAAGGAGGAAGACATATGATCAAGACCATACATTCAGATGTTCATTCTTTGGATGTTGAGGACGTTGAATGGTTCCATTTTCTTTTCTGCTTCACGCTGTAAGTTTCCATCACGTTTCTTTTGTTTTCATCAATAAAATTAATTTTTCTGTTGGAATTCTGCTTTCATTTTGTATGTAACAAGGTTTCTCATTATTATGATTCAGTGAGTGCGGAGAGTATGAACCTACAGAAGAGGAGAGTGTGACTAGTATGAATCAACCAAAACAAGTAGAAACCAGCCTAGATGATAATTGTTCTGTGGTGAAACAGAGGAGAATGGCAAAGGTGAAAGAAGTGTGTTTACATGAAATCTTTTTGTTTATTTAATGACCAATGAATCAAGAGACTCAAATTTTTTTCATGTCTATTAGTGTTTTTATTGGCCTTTGAGTCTAATTTCTTGTAATATAATTGGGTTTTGCAGAAAGAAGCTAGGCGTGGAATAGCTGCCAGGAAAATGATAAGAAATTTTGAAACAGGAAGATGGGAGGTTGGCTGCCGGGCATCGTGAAAGAGTTTATATGATAAGTAAGAAAGTTGTGATGTTTATTAGTTGGAAAATGTCATCTAGAAGTGGCCGTTCCCGAACATGTTATTCATGTAACATTGCTTTGCTTTTATTTTAAACCTTTTGAACTTGTAAGGATTATACTTGGGTGTGAGTTCACTTAATTTCTTCAAGAATTTGTAATCTCCTTTAAGTTGTAACATTAGCATAGTGTTCTCCTCTGGGTCTCTACATTGTACATTGTACATTGTACATTGATTAAGTTCATATCAGAAGAAAATGCAGAAATAACATTGATTGTAATTATGTCGATATCTACAGCGACATGAGCTTCAGTTTCTACATGCAAACTATATATCTACCTAAGACAGATAGAGAGAGACAATATCCCATCTCAGTAGTGCACAGAAACTTGGTTACTTATTAATTAAAATTCTACCTGCAAACTATAATAAGCAAGAGATGATGGATGATCAGATCATGGGAGAGAGTGAGTCAGTCGACCACAGCAACGGCAGCTTCCATGAGATGATGCGGGCGAAAATCCCCACCATTGTCCAAGAAGGACTTGACCAAATTGTTGGACCAGCCACGCAACAGAGTCAACCCTGGACGAGGCGAGTCAATCAAAGGTAAATCAAACGATGGCGAATTCCAATTGGAAATATCCCAAAACAGAATATGTGGCACGGCATCATCCTCATACCCTATGTCCTTAAAACATTCTCTGTATGGCCTCATACTTAGTCTCCCAAGCACAGCTATCATATAATCTTGAGGGTATGCAGTAGGTGAACACAAACAGCTTCTTGATCATCTGCTCTGGCTTCAAATCTTCCTTGACAGCCACTTGGAGAATCAAATCAAATCTCTTTTCCAAATCCATCGCCAAGTAACGAATACAGGTGAGGAGTCTGAGGTAAAAGAAGCTGATGCTGCTGCTGAGCCTGAGAACCATCAGGCGAAAGAGGAACTGAACTGATCACCTTTCTTCTCCATGCCGGCTCTTTACTCAGTTGAGACACCAAAAGTCCCAAACTCACGGACTGTTCTCTGCTTCCTTTACCCATGATTCCGTCAGCGAACTTACATATTGACCAAAAAAAAAAGGGGGAAAAACTGTGTTGACAAAAAAATCAACAAACTGGCACCGAACCAAATTGTATTGGTTCAAACCAGTTTCGGTGCTAGTTTCACACCTTATTAAATCGGATTGAATTGGATGTGTATTTATTTATTTATTTTAAAAAATTTTTAAGTTCAATGTTAAATTTCTAATCCCATTAATAATATTTCCTCAAGCCCAAATTTCAAAGCACTTCTATTTTCTAGGCCAAATCATCTTTTTTTACATGAAATTGGGTCATTTGTGAATTTTTAAGCCTAAAAGTTAAAATTTTAGTTAGAATTTGTATTTTTTTAAAAAATTCAAAATATATAGAAAAACATCCGGTCCAAAATAAAAATAAAAACCAAAAACCGCATCGAAACCAGTTTCATAATTTTTTTTTCTCCAAAATCAAACAGAATCGTATTAGTTGAAAAGTATCGATTCCTATGTGAGTTAAAAACCAAACCGGACCAGGCCCACCCCTAGGTGGTATTGACTAAGGCCTTCTCCAACCCATGAGGGGCTAAACCCAAATTTCCCCCCTCCAAAAAGTGACTATTTGGGTTTTGCCCTGACTCAAATTGTTTTTTCTCCCAACCCTACGGACTCAAATTTTAGGTCCGCAACTTTATTTTTAAATTGTTTAAGTCTAATGGTTTTTTTTTTTTTTTTTTTTTTTTTTTTTTTTTTTTTATTTATGTAGTTTTCTTTATTTAATCTTTTTAAATAACATCATAATTTAATTTTTTGAACAATTTGACCTAAAAAAAATTGAAATTCCATAATTTTTTTTATGTGCTTGAAATGATATCAAAAGTATGAGAATGAAAGGAGAATGATGAGATTGATAAAGGAAAAATAAATAGAGAAATAGATAAAATGTTTTTGGTATATTATTTGAGAAATGGATGGGTATTTATAGAGTTTGGAGTGAGTTTTGGGGTTGGATCTGACCTAGATTAATTTAAAATATTATTTTGACCGTTGGATTTAAATTTCAGCCGTTGGATCTTTTTTTTTTACCGTTAAAATAGCTTAGATTTAATCTAGATCGATAATTTAAAGTTACTATTAAAATTTTTTATTTTAAAAAAAACAGATTGTTTAAAGCCCCAGCAATACTATTTGATTTATAAAAAATAAAAATAAAAAAAGGAAACAGCCAAAGCCCATTTATAGATGTTGTAGTGCTGACACGTGGCTTTAGCCACAGCCAAAGCCCATCAGAAAATGTCAATAGCGCGGGTCCCACCAATTTTCAGAATCACATGGCCCCAGCCACCTCAGCGTGGGGTCCAGCAAACAGTATTGGGTCCAGGCAATACTTGGACCCATATTTGGGTCCAAATTTGGATTTTCCCAAATTTTGGGTCCTTCATTTTGTTGGGTTGAGAGAGATTTTGGGGGATAATTTGGGTTTGAGTCCTTGCATTGGAGATGGCCTAAGGATGGCAATAGGTCGAATCTGGGGTTGGTATGCCATTTCCCCCATTCATGCCTTCATACACATAATATTCAAATTGGGGATTCCCCATACCCACCTTCATTGGGGAACGAGTTCCTCAACTAGCCCCATTACAGGAAAAAATAAAATAAAAAGCTAGTTTGTTAAAAAAAAAAAAAAACAATATATGTATTAATTCCATTTTTATTAACTAAAAATATAGACTATTTAAAAAATTAATACATGTTCAAGACATGATCATCATTATAGAGGTAGCACCACCATATCACACATCTAAATAATATATTTATTAGAAAAATGAATTATATATATTCTAAATGGAGAGGTTCGGGTTGGAGATTAGAATATTATCCCCGCCCTTCCCCGAACACCATAATTGAAAATTTCTAATCCGTCTTCATACTTGTTTCTTAATCTTCATACCCGACCCATTATGATCAAATTCTCGTGAAGACCCTTACCTGTGGCGAAAATTATCATCTCTAGTATTGACTCCTTCAAAGTTTTATTCCATGCTATAGATTAGCAATATCAAACCCTATTAAATTTGTCCCCCCCCAAAAAAAAAACCCTATTACATATTCCGACCAAAAAAAAAGCCCTATTAATATTTTCTCTCTCTCTCTCTTTTTTTTTTTTTTTTTTTTTTTTTTTTTTTTTGCATGCCGCTGATAAGAGAATGAGTTTTTGACCAAAAAAAAAAAACGTAGAAGAAAGAGTGGAAAACAAATAGCAGGCTCTAGAATTTTCCGTTTATACGAAACTTTCATATCATACACAAACCCTAATAGCAGAGGCTTTATCATCCGGTATAATGGGGGATCGGAATACATCCCAACCTTCTGCCGCCGGCGCTCTGCTCACCTCCGGTCAAGATGCTCAGATCAATCTGTGGATGATGGTTTCACTCAACCATGAGGTCCTGCAGAATATATGGGAGATGGAGAACTCTCTACGCGAACTTTGCGAGAGAATAGAGATGGAGAAATCTCTGGGCGAACTGGGCAAGACATCGAAGATGGAGAAATCTCTAGCGAAAAACTGGTCGATTTGACGAAATCAATGTCGGAGCAGCTTCGCTCACTACAACGCAGTCGACCTGAAACGGCGGCGATTCCAAATTCCACGGTGGATAAGGCCGTTAATCCTTACCCAAGGTCAGTGAATGGCTTAGTGGATTTCATCTTCTTTTCCCTGTAGAATTGTTGATGTTTTCCTTTTTTTTCCAAATTCTTCTTTAGTTTTCTCTTGTTGCTGCATGCATATTTAATTATTTGCTTGAAATAATAACCAGCTCCTCTCTGTTTCTTTGAGTCGTTTTCTTGCAAACTGTAGTGTGTTATTTTCTGAGGAATCGGATGTTATATTTTGCAATTCGGATCATTTATATATTCCATGAATTGAAATTATCATGTATCAATTACTATTTAATATTTAATGATGATGATCTAGTTCCATTCGCAGTTTGTTGGAAAAATGGGCAAGGCATTTTAACTGTTTGTATTTATTAATTCTCTCTAAGTAGGTAGGTAGGTGTTTGAAAAGCTTAACTTGACTTGTTGTATATATCTCTCTTCTCTGTCCAGCTTGCCCAGAAATCATGCATCAATGATAGTAGATCCAGAGGTAGCTATTAGATCTGTATATTTATTTGTGTGTTTTGGGAGCGAAGAATTAACTAATGCAATCTATGAAGTGAAGTTCAAACACGGAGGAGTCGCTAGTGAACCCCTGGTTGTTGAATTAGTTAACAGGTTCTGTGAGGGTGAGAAGAATGAGAATGTTGGCATGCGGGGGGCTGTACGGATTTTCCACCTCTCCAATTTATACGTCCCTACAAAGGATGGTGGATATATTATTGACACAAAGACTATGTCAAGATCTTCATCTTTTCCTCCTACCCTAGGCTATAAATCAGTTCCTATTTTTGTGTCTGCATATGACAAGCTGTATTGTCTTGCAAGTCCATTTTCCATCTCACCAATTCTGGAGCCCTCCTTCGAGAGATTTGATCCTGATACGAACATGTGGGAGAAAATGCCGCCATATCCATTTTATAATGATTATGAAATCCGCATGAATATAACTGGTTATGCTGTTTGTTATGGCGTTATTTTGTTTTCATTGTGTAACATAAGAGAAAATAATTTCGATGTCGTTGCATTTCACGTGGGTAGAAAACAATGGAAGCCAGTGGAAGTTGATGATTCTGTGTATAATGCTCCTTTCCAAGGAAGGGCTGTGGTTGTAGGCAAAACTATATATTCCTTACATCAGGGGGAAGTTATAGCATTCTCCTTGGGGCTGGACAAAGATGATAACGGTGGTGTTGTATATAACCTAAACCAACTGTTTGTATTGCAAGGCCTGGAGGTTGCGGATCCACTGTTCGCATTTGACATGTGTTGGAGTGAGTATTTGGTTCATTTGGGGAACAATGACTTTTTCCATGTCAAGACTGAATGTGGCAATGACACGGTTCCATATCTTCGTATCACCACGTTTCAAATTGTTGTTGGAGAAGGAGGAAGACATATGATCAAGACCATACATTCAAATGTTCATTCTTTGGATTTAGAGGACGTTGAATGGTTCAATCTTCTTTTCTGCTTCACGGTGTAAGTTTCCGTCACGTTTCTTGTGTTTTCATCAATAACATTAATTTATCCGTTGGAATTCTGTTTTCATTTTGTATGTAACAAGGTTTCTCATTATTATGATTTAGTGAGTGCAAAGATTATGAACCTACAGAAGAGGAGAGCGTGACTAGTATGAATCAGCCAAAACAAGTAGAAACCAGCCTGGATGATAATTGTTCTGTGGTGAAACAGAGGAGAATGGCAAAGGTGAAAGAAGTGTGTTTATGTGAAATCTTTTTGTTTATTTAATGACCAATGAATCAAGAGACTCAAATTTTTTTCATGTCTATTAGTGTTTTTATTGGCCTTTGAGTCTAATTTCTTGTAATATAATTGGGTTTTGCAGAAAGAAGCTAGGCGTGGAATAGCTGCCAGGAAAATGATAAGAAATTTTGAAACAGGAAGATGGGAGGTTGGCTGCCGGGCATCGTGAAAGAGTTTATATGATAAGTAAGAAAGTTGTGATGTTTATTAGTTGGAAAATAGTGGGTGTTTATCTAGAAGTGGCTTGCTTGTATTTTAAACCTTTTGAACTTGTAAGGATTATACTTGGGTGTGAGTTCACTTAATTTCTTCACGAATTTGGAATCTCCTTTAAGTTGTAACATTAGCATATAACCCTGGAGTATCTTTTAAGTTGTAATATTGTACATTGTACATTGTCCCTAGTCCTACCTACCCAGAGACCAACTCTGATCAAAAGAAAATAATCTCCCTAAGCATTTCCTTTAACCCAAGGAAAAGACATTTTAAGCCTTCCAACTGTGATGCCAAATCCTAGTTGGATTGACATCCTTCACTTTTGCTGTCAAAATTGACGCCAAGATGTTGAGATGTCTTTTTATTTTTATTATTATTTTAATGTTGAGCCTACTTTCTTCTCTCCTCTTCCATGTATAGTTCTTAACACTATTTAATATTTTACTCTTAAATATCGGGCCCACTTGTCTTTAAAAATAATAAAATAAAATGTATATTTGACATCTTGGCTGGATAAAGAGTTTTACAATATGTCAAATTGTCACATCAGCCATCAAATTTAAATTTGATGTTTGGTATTTGACATCTCCCTTGGAGATGCTCTAAGAGCATCTCCAACCGATATGTCAAAAGTGCCACATAGACATTTAACGGTTAGAAATAACATCTCACATCACTCCAACCGAATTGTCAAAGCTGATGTGGAATGAAGGCCAGAGGTTCAGCTGTTATTTTTGACATCCCAAAAGCAAGATGTCAAATAAATATTTTATTATTTTTTAAAGACAGCTGGTTGTAACTTTCATTTATTATTTTCCTTTTTTATTATTTTTCTTCTTTATCTTAAATGATTTGACTGTTACAATAATTATTTATTTGACATATCGGGTGGAGTAAAAAACTGTGTAAATGTCAAATTGCCACATCAGCCATCAAATTTAAATTTGATGTTTGGTATTTGACATCTCCCTTGGAGATGCTCTAAGAGCATATCCAACTGATGTGTCAAAAGTGCCACATAGACATTTAACGGCTAGAAAAAACATCTCACATCACTCCAACCGATGTGTCAAAGCTGATGTGGAATGAAGGCTGAAGGTTGAGATGTTATTTTTGACATCCCAAAAGCAAGATGTCGAATGAATATTTTATTATTTTTTCTTTTCTTTTCTTATCAACATTAAAATGTAATAAAATAATAATTTAATTTGACATATCGAGTGGAGTGTAAAGCCGTGTAAGATGTCAAATTGCCACATCAACCATCAAATTTAAATTTGATATTTGGTATTTGACATATATGTCCCTTGGAGATGCTCTAATGTATACATTCATTCCTCTCTGTGTGTGTCTGTGTGTGTTTGTGACAACCATGTTGCTAGACTGTTAATCATGAGCATTGTTAAGTAGAACACTATTTGAGCATGTGATCGTGATGATCTGGTGTAGCATCTTGCAAAAAAAAAAAAAAAAAAAAAAAAAAAAAACTTTCTAGTCATACTTATGTTGCGAGTCAAATACTTTTGTTTATGAACTGTGGACATTGGCCACGTAGTCTGAATACAACTAACCTCACTAATGATTTAGATTCACAATTTGACAAGATAAGCATCTTATGATCTGAAAAGAGAACATTATCATGCATTTACGAAGATTACACATTAAGTTACCTATTTGTAGCAAAATGATAGTAGCATCCACTAAAAGTTCCTAAATAGTATTTATCATCTTGAAAATGGGGTAATTACTAATCGCAATGGTATGCTGATGTAGCTGGAGCTTGTGGGCTACGGAGAATATGGAAGGACAGCGACGGCCAAGCGTCCACAGTTGCTAGGCTGTATCGGAATGGAACTGGCTGTGGTGCATGTTACCAGGTATTCTTGAATCTACTCAATCATTTTTCAAAGTTGATGAACACTAATTATGTTGATTAGCACTAACAATATTAAACAATTAAACAAGTGGCTTCATTAATTTAATTGTAACCCTAATTAATTTGCTTAATCAAGTCTTTTGCTTGTGATTCAAGTTAGGTGCAGAGAACCTCAACATTGCAGTAGTGATGGTGTGATCATGCGGTGGTGACAGATTATGGGGAAGGAGACAGAGCAGACTTCATCTTCAGAGGAAGAGCCTATGCAAAGTTGGCAAGTAACCCAGCTGCAGCTGAAAGGCTATTTGCTTATGATGGTGTGGTTGAAATTGAATACAGAAGGATCCCCTGCCAGTTTTCTGGTGCCAACCTTGTGTTCAAAGTCCATGAACATAGCAAATATCCTGAATACTTGGCTATAGTGATTCAATATGTAGCTGGCCAAAACGATATCACAGCTGTTGAGTTGTGGCAGGTAAATTATACTTCATTTGAAACACGGCATCAATTTAAACCCGTAACCTCTTCTAATAAAGCGTAAGCTGGCACGGTGTCACTAGACCAAAAGGATACATTTCTAACAGAGACGAGACTCATTTGTTATCTATATTGTAATTTATTGAAACAATTTATAACATGGTACGTAAATTTGATATACATAGCACTACTCATCTGATATAATATGTTTTTCTGGGGCAGGAGGATTGCAAACAATGGAGGGCCATGCGCAGATATGGAGCTGTTTGGGACACTCCAAACCCACCTAGTGGCTCCATTAATTGCAGGGGTGAAATTGGTGCAGGCAAACAAAGCCATCCTTGGAGATTGGAAAGCTGGGGTTTCCTATGAGACAGATTCAGCTCAATTAACTGCACATGTTTTGAGATCATCCCAAACTTTTATCCAAATATTAGCACAGAAATTTCATGCTGGTTAATATATTATAATTATTTCATGTAATGCTAGTTGCTTGCTTGTCATGACTCGGAGATGCTGGGTAGGAGCAAGTGCACTTGGCTTTCCCCTAGATTTAGTGGGATGGTGTACTTTCAATTTGTGAGGATATAAAATATGAATAAGGTCCAACATTTTGGATCCATCAATATGTGCTTTCACAACACATACAGTCACAAACCTAATATGATGATTAAGGGTTAATTATTTTCCAACATTGTGGTTTCTATTCGGTTGACGTCTTTTAAAAATTGGCAAAAAATTACTTTTAAGTTTCAAATTGTTACATCATTAACACTCAAGTTAACCCTTTTTTAAAGAACTTTTTCTATAGAGAAGGGCGATAACATACTAAACTCACACAAACTACATTGACGCTATGATTCGAATCCAAGACCTAACATGGGGGAGCAATCGCTCCAAATCACTACACTAGTGGGTTCTTTACAATTAATTCTTATTTTTAAGCGTGTCACTCATGGAGATTTTTTTTTACTCACATGAAGACTAGTTTAATATCACATGAGACTTTTTTCATCTATCTCTTATATCTAGCAGGTTAGGGCTTTTTTCGTTTTTATTTTTAAAGAAAATTTATAATTGGCTGTCCACATAACTCTATGATAATCCATGCGGCTACTTGAAGAAAAAAAATGAAGTGTTAAATCGAATTCAATACTTTTAACCCAACTCACTAGAACCATAAATCAGGCTAATGGCTAATGGCTAATGGCTAATCCACCTAAAGTCATACTGCTTCACACTAACAAGAGTACTGAGAAATATATAATATCGACAATTAATTACAGATTACTGACTTGGCGAACAATGATATGATTTCTCTAGTGATATTTATTACCCAAATATGTATATTCCAAGCCGAAACCATGATGAGACCCAACTTTATCTCCACTAGGCCTATACCCTATTTAGTATTTCTAAAGTGTTGGTGTTTATAAACCATAGAAGGAAACAACTCCCTTCTAATGTGGGACTAAATAAAAGTGTATTTTTCCTATACAAACTCTAACATCATCCACATATACACTAATTTTCACTTTCGGAGCAGAGCATAAAACAAAGAATGTTGCTAGCTACCTAGCTAAGACCTAGCAAACAATAAAATTAAGGGTATTCAAAAAATATGATTATTTCAGTATCAAATGCTGCTTAATTATGAGATAGAAAGCTTAGGAAAATATATATCTACCTAAGACAGACAGAAAGACAGACAATATCCCACCTCTGTAGTGCACAGAAACTTGGTTACTTATTAATTAAAATTCTACTTGCAAACTATAATAAGCAAGAGATGATGGATGATCAGATCATGGGAGAGAGTGAGTCAATCGACCACAACAAGAGTTTGATACTCTCTTTGTCAGCGATGGCTGCTTCCATGCCGGCTCACCCAACAGAGTCACCTCTGTACGAGGAAGATCAATCAATCGATGGCGAATTCCAGTTGGATATATCCCAAAACAGAATATGCGGCACGGCATCATCCTCATACCCTTTGTCCTTAAACTTTCACTTTATGGCCTCATACTTAGTCTCCCAAGCGCAGCTATCATATAATCTTGAGGGTATGCAGTACGTGAACACAAACAGCTTCTTGATCATCTGCTCCGGCTTCAAATCTTCCTTGACAGCCACTTGGAGAATCAAATCAAATATCTTTTCCAAATCCATTACAATGCCGAAGTCCATTCTCTTCAAAAAGGACAAGTTGGACTTAAGATCATCGCCAAGTAACGAATACAGGTGAGGAGGCTGAGGAAAAAGAAGTTGATGTTGCTGCTGCTGCTATTGCTGAGCCTGAGAACCATTAGGCTAAAGAGGAACTGAACTGATCACCTTTCCTCTCCATGCCGGCTCTTTACTCAGTTGAGACACCAAAAGTCCCAAACTCACAGACTGTTCTTTGCTTTTGCCTCCCTCCTTGTGCTTTTGCACCATGGCCTTCCTCCACTGAAGCTTAGCCGCTTCGCCGAGATCTCCATCTTCCACATAGTGTATGATCTGATGGGGAAACAAACCATCTGGTTTTATTATATTTATGCCGCCGCCACTTAAATTCCCTGCAGCTGCTGTTGCTTTCACCTCCTCAGAATACCCCTTAACTGCACACCGCCTTCGCGCGTTAAACATGCCTTGACGATTGTAGTACTTTTTCAAGGGCGCCAAGTACTTTTTCAGCAGCAGCCTTCTCAAGCCGCCAAAGGAGTAGGCAATAGAGATGGCGTTGCATGCGAGAGTCTTGGGTGGTTCTGGTGGAGCCAAGAGGTGGTTTCGAAGGCTTCCAAAAAGTACCGTTTTCCAGCATAGAGGTTACAGATGAGCTTGAGGGTGGTTAGGGGATTGTGGGACCAGGCCACCCGGAGCTGTTGCTTCAGGTAGTTAAGGGAACGGGAATTACTGGAAGCCAGCTTGGCGTCGTCCTCGTCCTCATCGACCATGTAGTTCTTGACGTGTGGTGTCACTTTGAAAAACAAATCAAGGCAGGGGTCACCGAAGCCATTAATCTTATATATGAAGCAACAGAGCGTCATAGTACTTTCCAACTACTACGTACCAATCATGTGAGATAGAATAAACATTCAATATTATGGTTAATCATTTTATTAGTCTTTGAATTTTGACCCGATTTGCATTTGAGTACCTCAATTTTCAAAATGGTTCTTGTGGTCCTTTAACTTTAGTTTCGTTTGGACAAATGGTTCTGCCGTCAATTTTGTTAACTTTTTCTGTTAAATGCAAGGGCAAAATGGTATTTTTATATTAAAACAAAAAAATAAATAAAAAATTATATCTTTAAAATAACAATAAAATAAAATTTTAAAAAAACCAAAAAGTGACCGAAAAAAATCTATATTGCTTCCACTTCAAAAGAAAGGAAGCAATGTAAAACAATCACAAGCCTCTACATTTAGAGATTGTGCATAAATTCAATTTGTAGATAACTGATTTTTTTTTGAAGATTCACTATTATACCCAATATAGAAACCTAAATTATAAAAAAAACCTTATATGAAATGAACTTTAGAAACACACCCAAAACTCATTTACAACATAACAAAAAGGCTTTTAACTTCGTTTGAATTACAAAACTGTCATTGATTTCTCATAACAAACTCAACCCAAAACCTCATAAAAAAAGTCTAAAACATTCAATATGGCATCAAAGTAATTTAATAATCAAAGTTAAATTTAATAGGGTCATCTGTCATTTTTTGGGTTTTTTTTTGTTTGTTTATAGAAATTAAATGATGTTGGGTTTATTTATAATTTTAGTTCTAAGAATGAGTATATAACTAAATATCTCTTTCTTTATATCCAAATGAATGCCCTAATAAACATATATTGGGCTGGAGCCTCCCTCTTTTGTGGGCTCAAGATTGCTTTAACCCGAATTAAAACCAAAGCCCAATCTATTTTGTTTCGATATCTTCTTCCATTATTCTCTTTTCCAGTTTTCAGACTCAAAGTTGGCCACAGCCTTCTCCAGTTAAAGAGCACTCCAAACCATCAATGGAGGTCGCCACCACGGCTTCAAGCTTCGCGCTTCACACGCGCATGTTAGCATCGCCAACCACTCGCCGAGCCCTAAGCTCTAGCCGCACCCAAACGACGTCGTCCCCTACCCTTCCCAGAGCTTCCCTCTCCACCAATTTCCTCTCTCCCTTCGCCGGCACCAGCATCTCCTCCGAATTTTCCGGCCACAAGCTCCGCCCCTTGAGCCTCAACCCAGCGTCGTTCCGTGGCTCCAAGCCCAAACGCGGTGTCGTCACCATGGTACTCCCCCAATTACCTTCCCACATTTAACTCTCAATTTTGTTTTTGTTTTTTCTTTTCATTTTAAATATAATAAATTTAGGCTCAATTTTAATTACCCTCCAATAAATTTGAGATTTTGGGTAATGGGTAGTGTTGTTATTGATTATTGTATAATGAAGTTTGAAATTTGTGTGTTTAGGTTATTCCGTTTCAAAGAGGAAGTGCATGGGAGCAACCGCCTCCAGACCTGGCATCATATCTGTACAAAAATCGAATTGTGTACTTGGGCATGTCACTTGTTCCTTCAGTGACGGAATTGATACTGGCGGAGTTTCTCTACCTTCAGTATGAAGATGAAACGAAGCCCATTTACTTGTACGTAAATTCCACTGGAACAACCAAGGTTAACATTCAGGACCCTTCATTTATTTTTCGCTAGTTTTAGTGTTACTTTCTGCTTGTTTAACAGATTGGCATGATTGAAGGACGACCAAACTTAATAGTCAGCACCCTTTTATTATTAAGTCATGATAGTACGATATAACTAGAATATGACTGGACCAATGTTTGGTCATAGATGAAAGGTCGATGCCGGGGAGGCAATAATGGGTTCGCCTTTGTTGTCAATTTTGTATGCATATCTATGGTTTTACATTTTGATGGTATCGGTCAATTAATCACGTGGTAGTAGCTACAGAGTGCGTGCTTATTGCGTGATTGTGCATATATGGTGAGATATGAGAAAAGAAATTGTGTTTGGTAATTGTGCTGAAAGCTCATTCCAGCAGTTGCTTCGATGTTGGTGTTAGAGCCAGAGGTAGTTATAGTAGTGCTAATGGGTTGGTGCCAATCTTTTAAAATGGCGGTTCTGATACAATCATAGGTGATTCCAACTTGTGTTGGTTGCAAAGGAGAAGGTTTGTCATTGATTATCATGGTGGGATAGTGGTGGTTGTAAGGATTTCGTAGTAATATCTACATTTGTTGCAGCAGTATTATCATAAGGTAACCTTCTTTAGAAAGAACTTAGTTAAAGAATGTATGATTTGTAACTACACTTTTAGTTTTCTCTTGTGTGGTAGTTTTTGGGCTTCTTCCACAGTCGTAATTCAAATTCTTTTGTGACAAGTGTTACATTTTTAATCAATTTGCTGGCAGGTGTGTTAGGACTTAGGAGAAACAGAAATTCTTGTCTTCTTTAGCTGTTAGCCCTTTTTTCTGCACATCCTTTTCACTTTGACCAACAAACAGTGTAGTTGCTTTATAACTATATAAGTAAAGTATAGTAATTCTCATATTACATCCCTTCTGCATCTACCGTTAATAGAACAATGAAGATTGTTAAAAAAATTGTGCCTTGTTTGTTTTTCTTCTTTTATTTCCATACAGTAGTTGTTCATTTTATATGACTCTTCTCTTGTATTCTTCAGGGTGGTGAGAAGTTGGGTTACGAAACAGAGGCTTTTGCAATATATGATGTCATGAGGTCATCCATCTCTATTCTTCTGTTAGGTCATGCATTCATGTTGATCAATACTAGTTTCCATCACTTTAGAGATTATCTGAATTTTTCCCCAAAAGATTAAAACTAATTTCTAACTGCTGCAGGTATGTCAAACCACCTATATTTACTCTTTGTGTTGGTAACGCTTGGGGAGAAGCTGCCTTACTTTTGGCTGCTGGTTCGAAGGGAAACCGTTCTGCTTTACCCTCATCAACAATCATGATGAAGCAGGTTCTATATTTATCACAAATTTTTTTAGCTCTAAAATTGTGTACCATCTGGGATGTTTCTTACTTTTTATTGCAAGGCTGGAATTAGTACTTTTTATCTCGTTAAGTGGAACTTATACATGGATTAAATTTTACATTAACCTTTTGTCTTCTTTCTTTATCTATATGTAGCCAATTGCAAGGTTTCAAGGTCAAGCAACAGATATTGAACTTGCAAGAAGGGAAGTGAGGAATGTTAAAGACGAGTTGGTAAGATTGATGGTCACCAGCATGTCTCCCTTTCTTCACTCTGTTCTCGTTGACTAGTTTGAATGCTGGTTAGATTGCTTATGAGTTTTTAAAATTTTCGAAGAATAGCGGACTTCTTCATTGCTTGAGCTCATTTCTGTTCTATTCTTCCATTTTTCTCTTTTTTGTAGCATGTTTATTAATTTTGCAGAATTTACTCTCTTGAATGTTGGTTGAGTTTGGGAGTATTTATATTTTACCATGAAACAATTTGCTCTCTGTATAAGATTACAGAATTTAGCTCAGGTGTAATAATTAATGGGAAAGTAAACGAAAAGAAGGAAAAAGGAAAGACTGGTTTCATTATTTCTTCAGCTTCTACTTCAGTCCTCATTGATGAATAGACAAATAGATGAAACAAATCTGTTGATTAAAACAAGCAATAACAAAAAGAATCTTCTTCACGGAATGCATCCCCCTTGTTCCTTTTCAAATAAATATATTATTAAATGTTCTTTGAACATACGGTGGTATGTTACACATCTGTGTGTTGAGTCCATAAGTGAATAATTCTATGAACTTTTCATTTGAATGTGCATTTTGACATTCATGCAAACCATAAAATGCATTTAAACATGAGGTGACTTATCAACTCAATGTTTATTGTTTAATTTGTGTTCTAGGTTAAGCTCTTTTCAAAGCATCTTGGAAAGTCAACTGAGCAAATTGAAGCAGACATTAGACGTCCGAAATATTTTAGTCCTAGTGAAGCAGTTGAATATGGCATCATAGACAAGGTACTTCCAATAGAAAGAGTTATTACATTTTTAGTCTAATTCATACCAAACCTATATTTACCCATTTTCAATTGTTTTTTTCCAGGTACTGTACAATGAAAGGACTACCGAAGACAGAGGAGTTGTCTCAGACCTGAAAAAAGCACAACTTATTCCATAGGAAGACCTGAATGATCCTCAGAAGGAATATTCAGGTACAGGAGAAGTAATGTCAGTTATTGTAAGTTAGTTGTGATTGTTCTTTTTTTTTTTTTTTTTTTTTTTTTTTTTTTTTTTTTTTTTTTTGGGGATCCCTACATTTTCTATTTCCTAGACATATACCCATCACTCTATAAATCTATGTGTAAAACCCAATTTCAAATTTAAATGACTAGTAGGATATAAGAGGTTGTAGTATTTCTATGTTTTTACATGATTGCCACTAAACTTCATATTTTATTTATAATTTATTTCAAGCATTTCATTAACTGCCATAATTGTAATTAATATACTCCCTATTAATAGCATATCAATCACCCCATTTCTTTAGTTGTCATTCCCTCTCATATCTCGCCCCCTAAAATTACAAACAAACAAAAAATCTGTAAATTACATATCCAATAATGTACCTATGAAAAATATAATATAAATATATACATATAAAATATAGGTATATTATTTACCAAAAAAAAAAAAAAGTCAGTTACTTTGTAATTGCGTATATTTTTCATAATTAAAAATAGGTACACAATAATTTATATAAAATATAGGTACATTATTTACCCACAAGTAAATTATTTTACAATATACCTGTAAATGTGTATAGGTACATTATTTGGAATAGATAATTATGTACACTTTTCATACTAGGTAAATTATGTTTTTCATAAAACAAACAAGTAGGTACATTATTTTTTCAACATAATTAGTATGTACAGTTTTATTCATAAACAATTATAAAGTGGATTATTAGTCATGTATAATTCATAAAAAGAAAAATAACATAAACATTTTATTAAACAAACCGATTACCTAAATTTGAATTTATTGTTAAATTTTTAAAAAAATGTTTCAAAATTAATTCATACAACCATTTGGAGATCTTTCCAAATTCAACATTTGTCATTATATACAATCCAATTAAAAACTGTTTCCATATTAATTCATATATTAATATACAAAATGCAATAATGGCTTAGTTGGGGGTACTTTTGGAATCTGAAAAGTACAATAAATCAGATTTTATGCTTAATTAGGTAACTTGCTGAGTTGGATCCTAGTCATGAGTTTTTACTTATACAAATTGGGTATTATTTATAGGAACAAAAAGTGAAGGGTTTTAGGTACAGCAAATTGAATTTGAATGGTGTAAGCCAAATTTACTATTTTTTTTTCATTACATGAAATTTATAATGGCTAATATTTGAGTATAAAAATCAAGTGGAATTTTGTCAGAAATTGTCCTAAACTTTCTGAACTTCTATGCAGTGCATGTTGTCTGTTGTTCAATAATTCTGACGGCTTCAGGAGAGTCCAATTAGTTGGGTTGTCATTCAGAACTACTGGATTTGACTTTGTTGTGTGTTAAGTTCTGGTTATTTGAGAAAGGGTGTAAAGTTCTGGATTCATAAAAAGTTCTGGTAGTTGAGAAAGAGTGGAAAGTCCCCTTCACTCAGCCACACGAACCCCTTGATGAGGTTGGAAACCCATGTTCTTGGATAGTGTACCACAGCACATCATTCCACAACATTGACATTATAGTTCTTTTTAGCATATTTAGTGTAATGTTGGAACTGCCACATATGCTGTGCTATGATGGCCTTTAATAAACTCAACAGGCTAGCAAGGAAGAGGAACTGGGTTGTTTGGATATGTACTTTCTGTTGAGTGAGAAATTTGCTCTCTCTAGTGTCGTTTTTATGCTTTTCAAAAATTTTAGTGCTCACAAGCACTCCCAGTTTCAATTATTAACCATTACATTGCTTTAGTATGAGTATAGATTATTCTGGAATTGGGATGTAAATGTGTGTTCTTTTCGTGGCCATACCACCTTTACCACTATTTTTCCTTATGATTCTGTAAAGCGACACCTGGAATAGGTGCCGTCTAAAGTTGTTGGGTTGACCATATGGTTAGCTTGCTTTACAGCTTACATTTGCCTTTTATTTTTTGTCGATTGCCAAAATTGGGAGTGAAGATGACTAATGAGTCAATTTTGGTTAATGGTATGCTTCGTGGCTTGTAGTTTTGGTTTCATTAACCGACAACATTACCTTTTGCCCTTTTCCTGTCATCCCAAGTTACAAATGTAAGAGAGGGATGTGTCAAAGTAGCGCATCTGAAGATATGAACCTTACACATATTTCAGTGCACTCTCTACAGTTTCTCGTCCATTATTTGCTCTAAGTGGTTGTCCCATTTATGGATGTGATGTCATTTTTTAGCCCCATTTATTGTGAAAGTCACATTCCTGGAATTATGACAGTATGAATTAGTTATTATGATAGAACGTCTTCGTCGTTTGTAGTTGATACAAATATGTTATTATGGCGTAGATGAATTTAATCTTGGTATTAGTTATGTAATTTTATTTTGAAATGTGGATCAAGAAGCTTAAGTTAGAAAAATTCTTTGTCTACGGTTGCTAATTAAAAAAAATGCTTTCGTTGAGGTCATAACAAAACAAATTGTGTCTATGCACTAAATGCTAATTACTTTTATTGAAGACTAGTGAATCTCAAAGTGCAATGTTGATATAAATATAAATAGGATTTCTACATGTTTGTAAATTGGTGCTTAAAGGATAATATTGTAGTTATGCTCCAAATTAGTGAGATCTGTGATGTCTCATTTTTTCATATTGTGATTTCAAACCAACTTTTTCAGATGGCGATTAGCTTTCGAGAGTTCTAGAACAAGAGTTGCACTAATATTTCCAGTCAAGAGCTGCAGTTGGTAACACAAATATTTCCAGTACAGCAAAGGAATGCATAATACATAGCCTAAATTTGTATCAAGTACAAATAACTGTCATTGTATTCTTCTTTGGTCAAAGGTACATCTAGTTCTAGCATGATTAAGTGTAAAACCAGTTGAAAAAACAAAAGTGACATGTTCTTTTCTTTTAATTTACTCTTGTTAAAGATGTTTGTTGATTTGTTATTAAATGAATACCATATTTTCGACGGAGGACTCGCCCGTGGCTGTACAATTCTGGTATTTCTATTGTTTATGCCTATTCAATCTTGAAGAAAATACTTGAAGGCAGAATGTTCGTGATAGTGGTTAAGATAACGAAGGCAATAATCCCTAATTAAGCTCATATTCCTTGTGCCTGGTTTGCTTGGAAGCAACTAAATGGAGGGCAGGGATCAAGATTCACCTACCCCCAATATCGACCTCTTTGGCCAGGACACACAAAACGTGTGATTTAAACGTGACTGCACCTGTTTGTTTTAGACATATCAAGTCCACCCCATTACATGAACTTTTCCAAAAAAGGTTCTTTCTTTTGGTTGGTTACAAGTTTCTTTTGCGCTTGTTTTAATCTAAACTTTGACACGAAGAAGACCTATATGCTTTTAGTTTTATCTCAGTCTAATAGGCCTCCTCAGTGCGTTACACCCAAACCTGGTGATTGCTTTGGTGGGTTTCAGTTGTTCATATCCCATAGCTCTTGGTATTTGACTTGAAACCCCAATTAAATCTCACCAGGATATATAGTAATACGCGTCTTTTAGATAAACTAGAGAAGGCTAGAGACTTAGTGGATTGAAGTAGCTCGGACCTAGTAGTTTCCAAATTGAAACCTACCATTTGAGTCATTACAACGCCAGAGAGAGAGTTGTTTTCGGAAAATACTTGCCTTCTCTATTGGAAGTACGGATGTCTAGTTTTTGCCAATCACAGTTTAATATGTGTGCAAAAAAATTTCTCTGTGTTTTGCACGGATGAAGAATATTTTCTTCCAATAAAGACAAATGGTGTCCAGCCACTCTTGATTAATTTCATATCACAAGAAAATGCAGAAATTACATTGATTATCAAAACAATCTCTTCTTTCTCTTGCTAAATGTGTCCGCACGTGGTTTTGTAATTAGAGAGAGTCATTACTATCACTGGTTTCATACAATAATGTATCTTTTTTTTTTGTCATGTTATTAGTTATATAATGAGATAACTTACCGTATGCACCAAAGATTTCTCATTGTTTATTGACAATAATTTGTACACAAAATACGAAATGGTTTTCGTCCAACCTATGGAATAATAAAGAGAGAATGGTCCCGATTGTAATGATAACCTAAGAACACCTTGATTTAATCAAACTTGTAGATTCAAAGAACGAGAGAAAAAGTTAGACTGCACTTCTTGTGAGTATGTATTCTATTCTCTCCAACCTCCATTAACAAAATATTTTTGTTTTATATAATAAGGGCAAAATAAAGGGGTCCCACATAAATGTACACGTAATCAACCTAATCCTAAGCAGCTCGGATCTCTTTTGTACCCTGTAGTTCCAAAGTGGAAGAAGAAGAAAAGGTATTTACCACCTCAGCATGCACCAACCCCAGCCTCGACTATAAATATTGGACTCAGATATCTTTGCTCTCACAACTCTCCTCCTAAACCCTTTGGCTTAATCTACTTGATCAGCTTCCTTTTTCTATACTTAACCTCCTCTCCTTGCTTAGGAAACTTTGTCATCACTGAGACATGGAATTTTCCCTTAAGCACAAAATTTGTTTTCTTTGTATCATGGTGCTCTTGCCTGCACTGTGTACCTCTCAAGACACATTTACAAGCTCTAGAGCAACCTATTACGGTAGCCCAGATTGCTATGGGACCCCAAGTATGTATAACCTTTCCTACTAATGTAAACATTCATTTATGTGTATGTCATGTTGCTAGACTGTTAATCATGAGCATTGTTAAGTAGAATATTGTTTGAGCACGTGATCTTGATTGATCCGACGTGACAACTTGTCTTGCAAAAACAAATATTCTCTAGTCATACTTATGTTTCGAGTCAAATACTTTTGTTACTAGACTGTGGACTTGGTCACGTAGTGTGAATACAACTAACCTCATTAATGATTTAGATTCACAGTTTGACAAGATAAGCTTACTATGATGTCAAATAGTATGAAAAAAAAGAATTATCATGCATGTACGAAGACTACACGTTAAGTTACCTATTTGGTAGCAAAATGATAGTAGCCTCCACTAAAAGTTCCTAAATAGTATTTATCATCTTGAAAATGGGGTAATTACTAATTGCAATGGTTTGCTCATGTAGCTGGAGCTTGTGGCTATGGAGAATATGGAAGGACAGTCAACGACGGCCAAGTGACCGCAGTTGCTAGGCTGTATCGGAATGGAACTGGCTGTGGTGCATGTTACCAGGTACTCTTGAATCTACTCAATCATTTTTCAAAGTTGATGAACACTAATTATGTTGGTTAGCACTAACAATATTAATCAATTAAACAAGTGGCTCCATTAATTTAATTGTAACCCTAATTAATTTGCTTTTGCTTGTGATTCAGGTTAGGTGCAGAGAACCTCAACATTGCAGTAGTGATGGGGTGAATGCGGTGGTGACAGATTATGGGGAAGGAGACAGAACAGACTTCATCTTCAGCCAGAGAGCCTATGCAAAGTTGGCAAGTAACCCAGCTGCAGCTGAAAGGCTATTTGCTTATGGTGTGGTTGAAATTGAATACAGAAGGATCCCCTGCCGGTACTCTGGTCGTGCCAACCTTGTGTTCAAAGTCCATGAACATAGCAAATATCCTGAATACTTGGCTATAGTGATTCAATATGTAGCTGGCCAAAATGACATCATATCTGTTGAGTTGTGGCAGGTAAACTATACTTCACTTGGAATGCTGCATCAATTTAAACTTAGAACCTCTTCTAATAAAGTGTAAGCTGGCACGGTGTTACTAGACCAAAAGGTCATTGACAACCGAATATTACATCTCTAACATAGACGAGACTTACTTATTATCTCTATACAGTGTGATTTATTAATACGATTTATAATGTAGTACGTAAATGTGATACACATAGCATTACTCCTCTAATATAATATGTTTTTTTGGGGCAGGAGGATTCCAAACAATGGAGGGCCATGCGCAGAGCATATGGAGCAGTTTTTGACACTCCAAACCCACCTTGTGGCTCCCTTAACGTAAGGTTCCAAGTGAGTGGCAGTGCAGGGGTGAAATTCGTGCAGGCAAACCAAGCCATCCCTGGAGATTGGAAAGCTGGGGTTTCCTATGAGACAGACATTCAGCTCAATTAACTGCACACGTTTTGAGATCATCCCAAACTTTTATCCAAATATTAGGACAGAAATTTCATGTTGGCTAATATATTATAATTATTCCATGTAATGCTAGTTGCTTGCTTGTCATGACTAGGAGATGTATTAACTGTTGTTATTGTATGCTTGGGAGGAGCAAGTGCACTTGGCTTGCCCCAAGATTTAGTGGGATGGTGTACTTTCAATTTGTGAGGATATAATAATGAATAAAGTTCCAACTTTTAGGATCCTTCAATATGTGCTTTCACAACACATACAGTCACGAACCTATATGATGATTAGCTAGTGGGATGGTGTACTTTCAATAAGTGCTTTCACAACACATACGGCTCCCTAGAAGCATACCACTAGGTATGCAGAAGATCTCAATCAACTTTAGTAGCTAGTGCCACACCAGGGAGGGACCAAGCAAGAATGCAACATCTCCAGAGGCGTAGGAAGAGCGCCGCCCCCACCAAGAAGAATGGCTCTACCACTCAACTTCGGGATTTATCGTTGAAAAACTTAGCCCTAAATCCTAACTCTACGATGGCTGCGATTCTACCCGAAATAATCCACCATGAGATTTTTCTTAAACATCCATTCAACTTCTATACTATAATGATACTTCACTTCCCAATGTTAAGTTCAAATTCCCCAATGTTTTTTTTCTAAAGACCTTTTTTATTAAGAGGGGCGATAACATACTTTATTCACACACTACACGGATATTAGGACTCGAATTCAGGACCTTACTTGAGGGAGCAATTGCTACAATTGTGGGTCCTTTGCGATGTTTTTTCGGTTTGAAGTAGCCAGTGGCGGAGGTAGAGTTTGATATTTGGGGGGGCCACAAGCTTAAAACTATGGGATTTTTTTGCAATCTATACTACACTCTTTATATAGTCAAAGAGGTGAGAAGATGGTGGGGGTGGGGGGCAGGCCATCTCAGGCCTATGAATAACTCCGCCTCTGGAAGTAGCTTTAAAAGAATGCTAAATAAAACATTTAAAGCTTTTTATCACAAAACGTCTTTGATTATTTTGCGAAACAATCAGATTACATCCTTAAAGTTTTTTTGTATCACTCATGGTCCCTAACGTTAATATAAATGCTCCTTTTAAAAAAAAAAAAAAAAAAAAAATAAAAAAAAAAAATAAATTATATATCGTCAAATCAATCCAAAATTATAAAATAAAATAAAAAATTTATTTCCTTCCCTTCTCTCTTTCTTTCTTCTTCTTCTTCTTTCTCTCTGTCTTGTCTTCTTCTTCTTCTTTCGTCCGTACGCGTGGCTTGAGAAGTTGTCCAGCAAGAAATCGGAGAGGTTCACTTATCTTGTTGCTGTGGTGATGTCCAGCTTTGGTATTACTTCCATGGCTGTCATGGCTGTTTATTACAGATTTTACTGGCAAATGGAGGTACCCAATTTCTCTCTGCTCCCTAAACCACAAAAGTTACGAACATTATCTTCTCTGGTTGAGTTTTTGAATGGGGTGATTTTGTTTTCTGTGTAGGGTGGAAATGTGCCTTTGTCTGAAATATTGGGTACATTTCCTCTATCTGTTGGTGCTGCTGTAAGTTCACTGACTGCTTCTCAATTGGGGAAACTTAATTAAATTAAATTGATTTTGAATTTTTTTTTCTTTACACTGAAAACTACTAAATCGATTTGGATTTTATATATGTATATTTTAGGTGGGAATGGAGTTTTGGGCAAGATGGGCTCATAAAGCTCTCTGGCACGCTTCTTTATGGCATATGCACGATGTTTGCTTCGAATTTTTCTACTTTTTGTTATCTCTTTGATGCAACAAGATTTTGAGTTTGGAATTTTGTTTCTTTTCGTTCACTGGGAAACCAGCAATGAAAGAAACATGACAAGCTTGAGTTTTTATATTGTTTTTCCATTCAGTTTCTTAGTAGCCAATCAGTGTTTGATATTTGATATGAACTTTAATTGCAGTCTCACCACCGACCCGGAGAAGGTCCATTCGAGCTTAAAGATGGACTGAAACAAAGAGAGAAGAGATAAGGAATCTGGCAGAGAGAAAGAAGAAGAAGAAAGAGAGAGAGAGAGAGGAGAAGAAGAAAGGAAGAGAGAAGGAAAGGAAATAAAAATATATATTTTATAATTTTGGATTGATTTGACGATTATATCCTGAATTTAACAGTTTTTTTAACAAATGGATTATTTAAGAACACCTATATTAACGTTAAGGATCGTGAGTGATACAAAAAAACTTAAAGATACAATCTGATAGTTTCACAAACGTCAGGGACATTTTGTGATAAGAAGCCAACCTTTAAAACAAATTACAACCGGTTTTGCAATTTTTCCAGGGAGTGGAATGAATGACTAGGAGAAAAGCCTAAATCCCACAAGCGAATTGAGCTTCGACAATTTGACTTGGGTGTTGAATAGTTCCCGATTATCTGTCCTTCCTTTTTGGGTATAGCACATTCAATATTTCCATCTGTTCCGCCATAGCACGTTCAATTTCCATGGCTGACAGATTTGAAGGGGACTTTAATATTTCCATCAGCAAGAGCTATAATTATTCTTTATCTGAATGGCCACGATTATAAATATAACAATTTTTTTTTTAATTACGCACATGAGGGAGGGAAAATACCAACACTGCCAGCATGAAGAAAAGAATAATTCACTAAATGACCTCTAAATGAAGATACAATCTACAAGCAGAGAAAACAGTCGAAACTGAAAGAAAAATAATTGCTTAACCTAAAAGAGTAACATCTTGTAATATGGATTTAAAAAGAAATTGAAAAAAATTGGAACATATTTCATTCCAATGACTTAAGGAGCCTAAAGAGTGCCGCTGCTTCCCTAATCCGCGAAAACTCTATGCAAAAAGCTTGGACTTCGATGAAAAGATCCTTAACTGCAAAGACAACCATTGACCAAAAGTCAGCAACATATCGTTGAGATTAAAATTTGTTCAAATGGGAATTCAGGTGTTCATACAACAACAAAAATCCTTTCAACTTCGAATCCCATCAACCATTTCAACATTTAACATGCAAAGCGAGTAGATAATCATGAATAACACACTTCAAGCACATATGCATATGCAGATGGACATGATTGCGGCCGCTAACGTCCGCACGTTAAATCACAATCATATGGCCAAGATAACAGAACACACTGCGAATAAAGAGTGATGCTGACCATTGATAATGTTGTTTCGGATAAGGCTCTGCAGAAACACACAAACAAGCCTCACCAGTCTGTTCTGCATGTACTTGTCCTGGAAGGAAGAAATTTAAAATTTCAAGTCATTAGTAAATACTAAAAAGAGTTTGGTAATATGAGCAAACAAAGAAAAACATTATCTTAATGGCTTCTACTTAAAATATTTTGTATAATTGAACCCAGGCATGCAATTTTTCACTACATAGCTTCATAAATGTTATCATAAATAAACACTATAGCTCCTATACGCATGGCAACGGAAATTGCTGATGAGGAAGGAGCAACTATGAGTTCGTATGAGCTCACACATCACTGCAAGTTCGCAGCTTCCTATATTTTGGCTGAATCCAAAAGGCAAGCAGAACATGTCTATCACTTATTTGACAAGGAATCTCCAGATAATGCTACTTCAGATTTTAAATCAAAGACAACAAACAAAAGAAAAATGCCACAAAAATCTTAAGATCTACATTATATTCAGAACTGAAAATAGCATGGGTAGGGTACAAATCAGAATGCATTTGTGATTGCATGAATTCTTTAAAACTATTTAGTTAACTGAAAATTACTGAAGCTATATCATTTATGGTCATACTTTTATTTGACATTCAAAGTATCGCAAGCACTCCGGTAAAATTTAAAAAACGTATAGCTAGTACAAGTAGGCAAACACAAATTGCATGAATTTCATCACTCAAATAGTCTCTTTCTCATTTTCATCCTTAAACTTCAGTATGCACCAATCGATCCTTAAGCATCCTTGTCATGTTCATACTTCAATCCTTTCCATTGACAGACCTTTAAAAAATTAGATGGACTTTGCTGGTACATCATATTTCGCATTGAAACAACAAGCCACATGATTTTCTTCCCAAACCCAAACCCACACCACTTCAACGTCACTCAGCAACCGCCACCACCAAGGCCACTGCACTGACTAACCTACAAAAGCCAATCACCCAGAGTGGGGAAAAAATCCCCAGAACCTACCACCATGCTCATCCCTACTGAATCTAGCGAATCTACTAACTATTTCTTCTCCTAACAAGCTCCTCCCACTTTTATTCATCTTAGTCTTGCATGCACGGAACCACCAAAGGAGACATTAAAAACCCATTATAATATATACATTTGAACTGTGCCTTTGCATCTCAGAACATAGTCAGGAATACTAGTAACCGCAGGCAATGTATTCAGAAATACTAATAACCGCAGGCAAGGTGAAGCAAGTACCTTGATATTCTCACACGATGATATACAATTTGTTATGTACATGTGTATGAACTCAGAAGGAAGTTCAACTGCTGTTGTAAGCCTGTTCACCACTTCCATAGAGTGTAGACTCATGTCCATATTGACAAGCACTGTAAAGTATCTGTGGCCAAAATAAAATGTCAATAAAGCATAAAAATCTATAATGAGGAAGCGAACAGGCTTAAAAAGTCATCTCCGATTCTCTGTAGATTAGACACAGAAAGTATATCATAGAAACCAAAGACATACTCTGCGATTTCAGGGGAATTTATCAACTTGGTGAGAACTTCAACTGCAATGAGGGGATTATTTTCCACCAATTCCTGAAAACAAGAATTGAGGAATTATAAATAATAAAAAAATTGGACAAAAAATTACTTGCATTGTTGACTAAGACTTATATTACAATAACACATACCGGTAGCTTTCTTGGTGTCAACCCACAGTGATATACAAGTTTCGGGTCATTTGCCAACTCCAACAAGACTTGCTGGACAATGAAAGGGCAAGCATTGGGTCATCTCTTCCTTCAAAATGACTGATGTAACACGATATAAAATAAATAACATGAATTACTCAGTTTTTCTTTTGAAAGTAATGTAAAAATGAAGGCCTCAACAAACTCTAATTTTTATAAAATAATTTATTTTAACTATTACAATATTTCGTAGAGGAAAATTATAACTTAGGACCACCACTTAAGAAGACGTGTGAAATTACCAACTGGACTATACCTCAGCCACCTATTAATCGCTAGCAATCACTGAAGTTAAACATTACTAAATTCAAAGGTGCCTACACGGTGTCAGTTCTAATTGGACTCCAAAATTCCCTGGGCCTACCACTAGCTTCAGGTCTAGTAGATCCATACTTCATATGAACCTTGAGGTCGGAAAGGGATGGACCTCCTTTCAGTTTTATCTGTGTTTTGTTCAAGGCCCAATATCACTATGATTTTAAGCCTGGCCCAAATCATTTTACCCCTACCCACTAAATAGATTGGGGGCTCCGAGGGCCAATATCAATATCTACAGACTCTTCAACCTTCCAATGAAAGTACCAAAAATCTATATCACCACGATTATCAGAAAGCTTTGAAATTGCCCAAAATTTTCAAGTTAAAATCTCTTCCCATTACAATTGATCTCCAACTCCCATTGGGTGAACCCATTTTCTATACTCCAATATTTAATTATTGCTTCAAACAGATTTGGCACAACCTCTATCTTATATGTACCTCTAAAGGTCTCCACATCGCTCAGAGATCTCTCAAGTCAAGACAAAAGGATAAATGAACAAATCCTACAATCCCAATCAACCTCCCAAAGAAGGCAAATTATTACTACCTAAAATGTACCAAAGCTCTGATATCTGTAATGATACAGTAATCCGTCATAAAAAAATAATAAAAAACCGGCCATAATCTTTGAAACCCCTCTGCCTCAAGTGGGTTTCTACACAAGAAAACAGCCTTGTCTGCATCCAGTGCTGTCCTAAATCAACTTTGAACTCTAACAACTTGGATAGGGCTGCTTGTGTTTATCTCCATACAAAGCTATTCTATCTATAACAATAGACAACGACACAAAAATAAGGAAATAGCCTAGAAGATAAATAACTTGCAACTACTGACCCATGAATAATGAGAATGGAATATCTCTGAACTCATTAAATCCACAATGAAGACAAAAAAGGTACTCTCTCCCACAATGAAACCACTTCCTCCTGCGACATTATGTTACTTTGTAACGAACTACACACAAAAGAGCCAAAATACAACAATTCCACAAAGCATTTGCCCTTTTTCCCCCAAAAGTGTTTCTCAACAAATAATGAAACACAAGAAGCCAGAGTACCCAGTTCAGTCTTCCCTCAAAAAAGATTATTTCACAAAGAACTGACAATTGGGCAATGGAGATGATCAATATTCTCCACTCCTATTAAACACATAACACACCAAGAGAGAGATAAAATCACTGCGCCTTTTTGTTGAAACAATATCATAAGTATTATCTTCCTGTGAGCAATCATGCAAACCAAATATGAACCTTGCAATGTACCTCTCAGCCTTCCGAATCAAATAGAAAAGGTTGAAAATGGGTCAAGATAGTTCATCAATATTACCGCAGTCAGTCATAATATATTATACTATTTCATTCATGTATGTACCAGAACCATATAAAGACCAACCAGACTGGTTCATACGCTAAATCTTAAGACCCGCACCAGCCAATTGCCTAGACACATGACATATGAAAACTTGATATGGGAAAACAAAAAAAATTCATTCAACATTTTGGACTGATAGATAAAAATACACATGCGTACGTATATTTAAACTGATTATAGAGCAATTAAATATATGTATCAGCACCTCTTGTTGTGCAGGTGCAAGTGGTCCCTTCAAAGCTTTTGCAATCAAGTCCCTGACAGCTGCCCCTCTGCTAGTATCAACACACATACCATCATCCCATAAAAGTTCGTGATTGTCAACAGGGTTGAGCCACACTAGCTGAAACATGTTTTGCAAGAAAAATCGAGTCAACAAGTAAGCCCTACAAATTATCAATATATAAAACTTTAAGTCTTACTTCATCATCCTGTACTGGGAGCCTTGGTGGAATAGGCCTCTTCCAGTGAGGACCTAACCCTTCGAGCGCTAAATTGGACAGCAAACCAAGCACCGTCTCGTCTCTATCTCCAGAACTAAGCTTAGGATTTGCTCCTGGTTGTAGATCAAACCTAGAACATGATCCTCAATGTCATAAAGAGAAGAAGAAGCAAATAAGAAAGAAATTGTCTATTGTCAAGGTCATACTCTGATGAGTTAACATCAAAACCGCGAGGAACATCAGGATCTGCGACCACATTTCTAACTGAACTATCCTTTAGTGGAGAATTATATCGTTCAGGATGGACTTTATCAGCATACTGCTGCTGCAACTGTTCATGTTGCGGGAAGGCCTGTCAAGACAATTGTAAAATATCTATCATGGGCATGGACTAAGAATTTTTCTCAATACATTGGTAAATAAAATCCCTGAATGAAGTGGGGATCCTTTGTAGGCTTGAACAAAATTACCAAATCATGAGCATATTTGATCTTAAAATACACATAGGGTATAACTTACATGCACTGAAGGATCAAAACTTTTGATGTAATCTGCAGCAGACTGTTTAAGTAGCTGAAACAGAAGATTCTCCTTCAGATATTCATAATATTGAAGAGACGCATTCAAGATAAGATGATGAGGCAGTAACAAAATTAAGTAAAATAATTACAGCAGCTGGTTACAGTTCACACTGGTGTAGTAAATTGTTTCTGATAGAAAGGTTCTTTTTTTTCTTATACTCTTATACCATGGGTATTCTTTTAGGCCTCCAAAGGGGATATTACATATAAAAGTACCAAATACTACAGGCTAATAAATTAAAAAATCATAAGCCGTAATTTGCTGCTAATTGGCCCCCAAGAAGCGCACACATCCAATAGGTTAGGTCCAAATAATTGAACTGATCTTAATCCAAAAACATTCCTAGGGGGAAAGACCAAAATTACAAAATTGACGTTTGTTTGCAGTTGTATTCGCAGCAAAAGGATAAGGAAATTTTGGTAAAACTAAATCAACAACATAAATCCACTTCACGGATCAAAAGGTTAATCAAGAATGAGAACCTCTTTGCCACCACTAGAGCCATCAGAGCCAAATAGCTGTAATAGCTGAAGAATAAGTGCCCTCTCATATTTTTCAGCTTCAACATCACATGCAGCCTGTAACCCAAGAGTTAAAAGCACGCCTTAGCAATTACTGAAGTTCATTTTTATTTAAGAAAACAAATGATGAAGCTTTAATACTTTGAATAAAGAAAAAGAACCAGCATCATATCCATTGCAGAAATATGAAAACAAGTCTAGATGACCACAGAGTTTGGGAAAAAAGAGGATTTATCATATATTAGGCAAATAGAGTGCTCTAAAGATTGAGGAGGATGTTGATAACATGATAAATGATTCAAAAGAACTGTTTGGAAGATATTGACAATCCTTACAACATTTCATATTGATTGTGACAAGCATAGTAACGAGATATCAAGAAGCCAATTTCAATCAGGTACGGATCATCCTTTACGAACACTAAAACAACCAACACTAATGAACTACCAATGCTAGAATAACAATGGCACAATGCTTACATTTATTAGTAAACTAATGAACGGATTTGCAGAAGGTTTCTGGGAAGAATACGCCTGCTGAAGAATAGCGAACGCAATCAAACGTTGAGTGGAACTCAGCATCTTCTTATCCTGAGAAGCATAGCATTCAACTAGTTAAAATTGCCCGTCACAACACATATGTCAAAGAACCAATACTTTTAACACATTAGAATTATAAATACCAGAACAGTTAATGCCCAATTGAAGTCTTCACTCAATTATACGTGTTTATTATATAAATTTCATACCCAATTGCACAAAAACCCTACCACAGGGGTGATGATACGGGATCTAGGGTTTTCCTTCATTTTTGTAAAAAAAAGAAAAAAGAAAATGGGCAACTCTCAATGTTTGTTCTAAAGCAGGCACAAGGAAGAAGATAGAGAGAGAGAGAGAGAGAGAGAGAGAGAGACCTGTAAAAGAATGGAGATAGAAAAGCAGGGAATGAATTGGCGGCCATGGGAGAAAAAGGAGTTGAAGTCTGAGACGATCTCTTCGAGTGGACGTTGCTCTGCTCTCAGCAGACCAAACACGGCCTTCGATTCTTCGAACCCCAGCGTCGCCCTCTTCTTCATCTTCGAGCTTTTACCAAACTCTTATCTCACACACACAGGACAGAGAAGAGACTCAGACACGAAAAGAAGAAGAAACAAAAATTTCTCTGTTCTTTTATTTATTTATTTTATTTGTGTAGTTCAAATCAAAGGAAGAAAGAAGTCCTTATTGCTTGTGCACTGTGTAACCTAGCAACTGGACTGGTTCACTTTTCAACGGGCTACCCATTTTCTATTTGGGTGAGGCTGTTTCGGTTCGGATCTCCCAAAAAAAACCCAATGTACACTACTACTTCAACTTTTTGTTTGAATAAAAAATTAAACAAAAAAAAGCACCATAATCCAGTCCTTAACAATTAAACAAAAAAAATCCTTCTCCCATGTAATTTAGACTATCGCTTGTACTAAAAAAATAATAATTAATTATCGTCAACCTGGGCTAGCCTAATGAAAAAGGACCTTGACTTGTACAACAGTGATTTTAGGTTCGAAATCCATGTTACCAGTGTGTGTGAGAAAAACCCCCTCCCCTCCTTAACTTTACCCAAAAAATAAACTACTAAATTAGATTTAGTTTTTTTGTTTTTCGGCAGATGAGGGAGGTTGGCCGGTGCAGCTGGTTTTGGGGTGGGGTTGGTGATTGCTTGGGATGGGAATGGCGTCTAGGTTAATGGGTGGGCTTGGGTTTTTATTATTGTTATTTAACTTATTTCCTTTCCTTAAGAGAAAGAACAAAAATAAATAAATTTGATTAAAAAGTACTAAAAAGCAAAAGGGTTTAAGGAAAAATTAAAGAAACATGTGTCATGGAAACTTATTTCCTTTCCTTTTTTCTTTGAATTATTCACATTTTAATATTTTTTTATTTCCTAGCATAAAAGGTTGTACAATGAAATTACCACAATTTTTACTTATGAGTGAGTTAAAAGTAAAAATCTCAATAGCTTTGACAGCAATAGTTAAAAGTGTATTCTAAGTGAGTTATAGAGTGCTTCCAATGGCATTTGCAGGAACCATGTGCAAATTTTTAATAGTAACTTCCATGTCTTTTTAGCAACGCAAGCTCTCTATAAATCCGCCTTCAAATGCCGGTCCTCCTCATTGTCCCCGGAAGCTCTCACTCTTCTATTTTTCAGGTCAAAATCATTTAAAATGTAAATCTTGCTACCGATATGTGTCGCCGTGTCAAGATACCTTGAGCCTTCAAAAAATGCTCATATACCAGATCTCAACCATCTGAAACAATATAATAAAAGCTGCTTTATTATGTAACAGATTTATAACTTTCACAATCAATCTATGTTTTGTTTCTTCACTGTTGTTTCTTCAGTGTCATTAACAAATATTTCACCAAATTTTTTCACTCAGATGATCAGAGATGATGAGGAATAATAATAATAGTAATCAGAAGAACCAAAGGAATAATAAGAATAAATATGCGATACAAATGACTCCATAGAAAATAAGAAAAGCCGGAAGGTTATAGTTGTCTTGTTACCTAGTTACGTTATTGTGTAGGGCACGCAAATCGCCTGTAATCCGGGCCTACGATGGAAGCCCATATAGAATGAAAATCGGGCATCGGGCTCGTAGAAAGACGCTCCAAAACGACGCCGCGGAGATGCGAAACCCTTTCATTTCGAGGTGGTGAGGATGCGAGAAGGGCTTTGTGTTTTGTACTAGAGAAATTCGAGACTCGCAGTTTGCAGTTTTACAGTAAACACCTTCTACTTCGCTCTCATTCTCTTCCTACTCGGTCCAAAGATCCGATCTAGGGTTTATCTAGGGTTTCTACTCTCTCTCTCTCTCTCAAGCCAAGCACAAATGACTATGTCCTCACAGACCCCCGATATCTTGGGCGACCGTCAGTACGGTCAGGACGTTCGCACCCAAAATGGTACTCTCTCTCTCTCTTTCTCTCTGAATTTTCGTTTTTAGGTCTTGTACTGAAATGGTGCTAATTTGTTCGGCTTCGTTTTGGTGAACACAGTGATGGCCTGTCAAGCTGTTGCAAACATTGTCAAATCCTCACTTGGCCCCGTTGGCCTCGACAAGGTATTCCATCCCCTTCTCTCTCTATAAAAACACACATGCATACCAGAGATATATGTATACGCATGAGATGTTATGTGTTTATGAGGTTTCAGTTCAGCTACTACTATTCTATCTACTATGAAATGGTGGCTCTTTACCTCTTTGCTCCCTTTCTCGTGGATTTGTGTGTGCGAAATTATCTCTTTTTTTAAAAAAAAAACTTTAAACTAAGTTGCTTGGTGTATTTCACTACTTAAAAGTTTCAACTTTGCAGTTACTATATGAAGTTTGTCTTTGATAATTATGCCTTATAGTGGAATGGAATTCACTGTTTTTTGTTTTCTTAAATGAAGTTTAAGATGGTGAATTAGTATGCTTTAACTTACTTGTGGAGTTTACCTTTGTCTAATGTGGCACTGAATCTAATACCCCTTTAATTGTACACTGTTGTAGATTATGTATGCAAGGGTTTCAGCTAATTTACTCTGTTTATTGATTGGTTATTTCAGATGCTTGTGGATGATATTGGTGATGTGACTATTACTAATGATGGAGCTACAATACTCAAGATGCTAGAAGTTGAGCACCCTGCTGCCAAGGTGGGTAAAATTTGGTTATTTCTTGCTAATATGATACTATAGATGCATTTATACGTGTCAGAATGCTTGTTCCTATCAAATATATCATATCGTTTCGTTTAAGCTGTACAGGTGCTTGTGGAGCTGGCTGAGCTTCAGGATCGAGAAGTTGGAGATGGGACGACATCAGTGGTCATTGTAGCTGCAGAGTTGCTTAAGGTAATCTTGTCTGCTTGTTCTTCTCACTTCATATGCTTTTCGAGAAGCTATCTGATGTTCTAAAGCATGGTGACTTGGAAATCTAACTTTTTGACTCTAATTCTACAGAGAGCAAATGATCTAGTAAGGAACAAAATTCACCCAACATCCATAATCAGTGGTTACAGAGTGAGCGCTTTTTCTTTTTCCATTTTTCTCTTGTTTTAATACTTAGTAACCGCATGCTTATTGCAAAATGTTTTGTGGCTTATAACATGTTACTTTTCTGTTGTAAACAACCCCTTATGTTTGACCCTTTCTTTGCATTGTGTACAGCTCGCTATGAGGGAAGCTTGCAAGTATGTTGAGGAAAAATTAGCTGTGAAGGTGAGGCTCCTCAAGTGAATTATGCTTTTGAAATTTGTTGACAAGTAGAAGGGTCCCTTGTTATGGGAATAAGTGTCCTTTTGGTTGTACAGACTGTAGTGCTTCTGTTACATCGTGTAATCTCTTAGAGGTTTGGAAGTATAGTAATGGTGTGGAAAGAAGTTGATAATTTTGGATGTTCAATTGGCTCATACCAAGAAGACTTACTGGTCATACACTCATAGTCATGATAGTCACCAGGCCTTATGCTTTGACATAGATAGAAATTTTATGGTAAAGTTGTAAAATGCTTGATATGTAAAATGTTCCTGTTTGATTAATTGATACTTTCTTGATTTTCCTAGGTTGACAAGCTTGGAAAAGATTCTCTAGTAAATTGTGCAAAGACAAGCATGTCCTCAAAGTTGATAGGTGGTGACAGTGACTTCTTTGCGAATATGGTATGCTTATACGCTGGATATGCTGTTCAGAATTTGTATTTACTTAGGAATGAAATCTTATTTGTGAATCAAATATTTATTTTCTTAAGTGTCAATATTGCTGGGTTTGTCATTTATAGAATTATTTTTCTCATATAAAATTTGTAGGTATGTCAGGTCTTTATTTGTGATTTCTGGAGCATTAGAAACCCTTAATTTTCTTTTTGTACTTATGTGTTTTGATGATATTAGTATATAATTGGTTTTTGAAGGTTGTAGATGCAGTACAAGCAGTAAAGATGACCAATGCTCGAGGGGAGGTCAAGTACCCAATCAAGGTCGGTACTTCATAGTTATATATTCACATGCGATTCATGAAGGTTCCATCATGAGCCATTATGTTTCTTTTTATATCATTGCATCTGTTTGTTATTGCCTATATACTATATCTTAATTGCTCTTTTAATTTTCAGGGGATTAATATTTTGAAAGCTCATGGGAAAAGTGCTAGAGATAGCTATCTCTTGACTGGTTATGCGCTAAATACAGGCCGTGCTGCACAAGGAATGCCACTTAGAGTTGCCCCTGCGAGGATTGCCTGTCTTGACTTTAATCTTCAGAAGACAAAAATGCAAATGGGTGTCCAAGTTTTAGTTAGTGATCCCAGGGAGCTTGAAAAAATTCGCCAAAGGTGTGAAGATAATGGACCCTAATTTTCTTTTAACTTGTATATTATACCGTGAACTATTTTGCAGACCCTATCTTTAGCATGCCAATGGACACATGCAATTAGTCATATCTATTATATAAGGTTTTTACAGTGAGATATGTTGAGGGCATGAACACAGTTTAGCATACTGTGGTGATATTATGTAATCTGTTCTCCATGCTGCTAAAAAAAACTTGCTCAATTACACTTTCATCAGTGAAATTGATAGGCCAATATAGAATTATGGCACGTGCCTATAATTTCCATATTGCTATGATGCCTCAGACATAATGGTAACTGCCTCAAATGGATTGGTTTGGGAAATTAAGGATGTCACATATGTTTGGTAATGTACTAACAACACTCATGTCTCTACAGAGAAGCTGATATGACGAAAGAGCGTGTTGAAAAACTCCTGAAAGCTGGAGCAAATGTTATTCTGACTACAAAAGGGATTGACGACATGGCACTCAAGGCAAGATTTTTAGTGATTTGTTTTATCAACTGCTTTAGCTAAGTCATGGCTGATATTCGATTTTGAAGTACCAGACTGGGTCAGAAAAACATTGTTATTGTAAATTATAGTTACTGTTAGCTTGTTCATACCTTTTGACGTGGCTGGAATTTGTATTCCTGAAGGCTCCTGGTTAAATGTTTTTCTAATTACCATTTGTAGGTTCTCTTATTGAAAATTCTGCAACACCTTCTTGAGGATATGTTACTTGTATCCACTTCAGCACCTCTGAGTTAATAAGATATGCTGTAGTTTAATACAAAAGCGTAAAAGTTTGAGGTTTCAACCTAATGATTTTAGGAAATGAACAAGTAGCTGTACTCTTTTTATATGGTTATTTCGCAATACAAAAGGAGATATACAATACAAATGTGTTTTCCTTTAAATATTGATGATGTGGGTATATGCTGAGTCGGTCTTGTGGGTTCCCTGTTTTTACAGTGATCTAAGACGTGCAATCTGTTTACAATGAGTTTGTGTATGAATGTTTATCCCATGCACTATAGTTTGTTGGTTATATAAATTTAATGTAGGTGATTGTTATTTCAGTATTTTGTGGAGGCTGGTGCTATTGCTGTAAGACGTGTTCAGAAAGAAGATATGCGCCATGTTGCTAAAGCTACCAGTGCAACAATGGTAATTTCCTCTTATGCTTTAATAACATAATTATCTCGCAGATTTATTTTCCTTTGGAAATTGACAACCAGATATTCAGATGACTAATGATGTTTAGATTTTAAAATAGTTAAAACTTATTTTCAATTTTGCATCTTTCTTCAATCAAGTAGATCCACATGTATGTTTCCAATGATAAACAAGTACAACCTGTATAAGCATGTCATCTTGTTTCTTATTTTATCCCCCTTATTTTCTTTTGGATCTGCAGGTTTCAACTTTTGCTGATATGGAAGGGGAGGAAACATTTGATTCTTCACTGCTCGGATCCGCTGATGAAGTTGTGGAGGAGCGCGTTTCTGATGATGATGTAATTTTGATAAAAGGAACAAAAAATAATAGTGCGGTGAGTGATTTTAATTAAATTTAATACAATTTTCCTCCTTGACTTTGGGGTCTAATTGGTTCTGGTGAAATTTATGCATTTATCTATATGACATGACTTGGATAAGTGCATAACCCTGACCAACCTATGTCAAGAACTAATGAAGTTACACTAGTATTACATTTACTATATTCATATGGTATGGTCTGATTTTCTCAATATATTATTTTCAGGTTTCTTTGATCCTCAGAGGTGCAAATGATTATATGCTTGATGAGATGGAAAGAGCTCTTCATGATGCTTTGTCTATTGTCAAGAGAACCCTAGAGTCAAACTCGGTAAAATTTGGCACTTCCTGTTAATGTTCAGCATTGTTTGGCAATGGTTATAAATTAATGATATTTTTTCCTTTAATTAGTATGGTTGCAGGAAAATTATGGCATATAGTGGCACTTTGATAAGTTATGTTCTGTTTTCAAAACTGTCATCAGATCATTGCAGTAAACTTCTAAAAGTTATATTTGAGTTTTGTGTTGTTTTGCTTAAACATGTTGGTAATTCTTTATCAGCAAATGGAAAGCAGAAGCTTTTGTCCCCTTTTTACTTGGGCTTTTCCGTAAGAAAACACCTCGCATTTCTTTCATATATTAGTGATAGGAAAAGGATCAGAACCATTTTAAATTTACTATCTGCTAAACTAAATCATCTTTGCCACTATTTGCCATTAATCAGGTCTTTTGTCATGCGAAACGGATTACTACGGCTGTTCACTTGATTTATATTAAATTAGAATCTTTTATCAATGTTTTTCCGTATATTATTCCAATCATGTGTGTGGTGTGAGGATGTGCAATGCATTTTTCGATGGAAGGAAGAAGAAAAAAATGGGAATGTTTCACTACCAAGTTTGTTGTCGTGGTTTGATTGTGATTTTTCGTGTTACTTATATACCTAACTCATTGATATATTGACCATGCAGGTGGTAGCAGGTGGAGGTGCAGTTGAGTCTGCATTGTCTGTGTATTTGGAGTGTTTTGCTACAACATTAGGATCGCGTGAGCAGTTGGCAATTGCCGAGTTTGCTGAATCTTTGTTAATTATACCGAAGGTTCTAGATTTCTGTTGTATTCCTGTTGTCTTCTGCTATTGTTATCTGTTCATGTGTTTATAGTCACTTTTTATCTGGTTTAGGTGCTAGCTGTCAATGCTGCCAAGGATTCTACAGACTTAGTTGCAAAACTACGGGCCAATCACCACATTGCACAAACCAAGGCACCAACCAGGGCACAGACCAAGGCTGATCAGAAGGATTATTCTAGGTATTCTGATTTCTGACCTGGCAAATTCCGCCAGATTTTCATTTTTTATTTTGGGGAGCTCTTACATGAGTGACAGTCTAAATTCGACATGTGGGTTTCCTTTTTGTTTCCATCGTCCTCTTTGTTTGTAGTGTCTGTATATTGAATTTAGTGGCATTGTGATTATACTTGCTCATATCCAATATGTGACAGAGATGCCAATATGATAATAATGCAACTGAAATTATTCTGTCTTTGGATGCATAGAAATCCTTACAGATTATGTGACTGCTTACTTACGGTGATTGCTCTAAATTATTGCAGCATGGGGTTAGACCTTTTAAAGGGAGAAGTCCGCGACAACTTAAAAGCCGGAGTCATTGAGCCTGCAATGAGTAAAGTGAAGATAATTCAGGTACAAAATCCTAGATACAAATTCAGTAATAATTTATAGGATAAATCTTGTTTAATGACAGTCTTGTGACGTTTGTTAACATGAAACTTTTTTGTTTGGCAGTTTGCAACTGAAGCAGCTATTACAATTCTCCGAATTGATGACATGATCAGGCTAGTCAAAGATGAAAGTCAAAATGAGGATTAAGGTGCGCGGATAGCATTTGACATTGCCCTTTTCTTTTTGTGTTAGAAGTAGAAGGAGCGGGAAGTGAATCCGTGCCAAACATGACTTTTAAGGTTTATATTCCTTCCCTGCACCAGAGAGGATTTGTTGATGTCGTTTGTTTGGGAATTTGTATCAAACTCTTGTTTTAGGTGAAATGGTTTTCTAAGGTTTGGGTGAGAGGTGGAGTTTATTAACCGATGGTGGTTTCCGGCTAGCACTCGAGCTGGAAATGTTTTGTATTGATTAGTAAGCAGATGTTTGTAATGGCCATTTTGGAAACATAAATGTGAAACCTTTTTTCGGTGGCGAAATGGCAGTGTCCTTGTTAGCTTTTCTTACTTTTTCTTATTGAATGATTTGGGTCGACAAAATATTTAGTGGGGAATAAGATGAAAATATGGGCAAGGGAAATTGATTGAATTTAGCCCATGAAAAAAATTTGGAAATATGCAGTGCTAAGACAGAAGCCGTAACCAGAATAGAAAGAAAAAGTTACAGATCGATAGACCCTGGCAGCTGAAACTGACCTTGGATTTGGAGAGCTGGTACGTGGAAAAAAATGAAAAAAAGGGCCGGGAATTCGGTTTTCAAATTTCAAAGGCCTAGAGCGTGCAGTTGAATCTATAATTAATGGCAACACAGTCATCATCTTCTCCAACATTCAATCTTCCAACCCAGGCATCATCTTCTCACGTTGCAACACCGTTCCAGTCGCTTTGACTATGAGCTTCTTCTCCCCATTAATTGTGTGAGGCATTAATTTCAAATCAGAAACTACCCTATTCCAGTCGCTTTGACTATGAGCTTCTTCTCCCCACTAATTGTGTGATGCATTGAGTTCGAACCAAAAACTAACCCTTGAATATGGACGACGGCGAAAGAAGACTCAAAACACTCTTTGAAACGTTGAAGCCTGCCAGCCAAGAAACATTCTACTCCTGCAGAATTACAAGCCAAGCCATGCAATAGATTTGATTGGATTATTATTTTTTTCAAAAATAAAAAGAGAAAAAGAAGCAGAGTTTTTGAAATTTAAGACAAATGCATCATCAGCTTCTGTTGATTGCAAGAATTATAAAATAAAATAAATTTTCGCCCACCGTGGGGCTCGAACCCACGACCACAAGGTTAAGAGCCTTGCGCTCTACCAACTGAGCTAGACGGGCTTGGTACTGAAATTGCTTTTAAATTCTATTTCAAGTAATATTAAAAAATTCAAACACCCGCCTTATCAAAATAACCAAAAGGGAATGCGCGCCTAAATCAAATTTCATCACTCATCCTCCACCGTTGATCAGAAAATGAGCGGGAATCTCCCAAATCAAACCCTTCAAAACAAAACAAAAAATTGAAAAAATAAAAAAAATATGCAAACCCTTTAAAAGGAGAAGACTGAAAGAAGAGCAAATGGACGAAGACGAAAACCCAAACAAACCCCATCTCATGGATGACGGCGACGACAGCTACGAGTACGAGAACGACTCGTCGTCTGAGTCCAGCTCCGGCTCGGTGGCCTGCACCGGCATCATTATGGTCTCGCCACCGGAGAGCTCAGAGGTCGACGAAGCTCACAACAACAGAGCCTCCCAAGACGTGTTCCAGACCCCACCCGAATACTCATACCCGCCAACCTCCGAAGGGAAAACTCCGTTGCTGGAAGTTAATACGAGCGACGACGATCCTCCATACGAGGATGTTGGAGACGGGCGAGGCGTAATCGTGGCCTTCGGCGAAGGTACGGGTGCGGTGGATTTGGGAGGGGACACGGATCTAGGGTTTGCAGAGGCTGCAGAGGTGGAATTTAGGGTTTTGAGGAGGGAATTGTCCCCGGAAGGCGGTTTACTGGAACCCCCATTGAAGAAATTGAAGGATTCCGAGCACAATTTGGGAAAATTTGAGCCCTCCTGCAGTTCCACTGAAAGTCTCGAAATTGACGGTTGCGATGAGAGTTCGGGTGAGGAAGGCTCGGAGGAAAGGAAGCTGGACTCTTCTGACAACGAGAGCGAGAGTGCTGTCGAAGAAACTCAATCGAACAGTGATGAAAAAGACAGCGTTGTGGAGATGGAGGATGGCGGCGAGGAATGCCTGGATGATGTGATGAGGAGTACACCAAATGTGACTACTGAGGAATTGCGGCGAATAGACAGCCCGTGGCGAGGGCGGGCTCTGCCACGATCGATCGTGCAGGCTGGGTCTAGTGCTATGGATGGTGAGGATATGGTGCAGAATGAGGTTGCTATATTGGATGTGTTGAAACTTCTGAAAGACAAGTATGATGGTGATGGTGATGGTGATGGTGTGGTTGACAATGGTAGTTTTTGGGAGATAAGTAGGAGTCGAGGCATGACTTTTCCCCGGCCATCGTGGTGGCCGGAAGGCGGGTTCTGATTTGAAGAAGAGTCAAGTTTGAAGAGCAGCAGCATTGCAACTGAGGTAGGACTTTTGGAAGTTGTAAATGGGGGGTTTATTACTAAAGTTGGGATGAAACAGCCACTTTTAGTATAGAAAGTCTTGCTTGTGAATTGGGTTGCATCATCTTCTTGTATTACATTTATGTCTAACCTTCTTGGTCTTTTGCGTTTATTTAAAAAGAACATATTGCTCAGGCTTTCTTCTTTTGAAGTTTCACAATTTGGAAAAATATATCTTTTGAAAGGAATTGGCCTATGGTTTGAATATGTATTATTTCTTTGATATTGCTCTTGTATGTCAATAAATTTTTTATTTTGGTTTGATATATAAACCTCCCCCCATCTTTAGTTTCTCAGTTGATCACCTCTCCAAACAGAAAAATGCCAAAAACAGAAGTGGTATTTGATGGTCCTCAAAAATTTTGAACATCTCAGATTCTACCAATATCTTAAAAAGGGTGTGAGCTTAGTTGAAGACATGTTGAACCTTAACCCCACATGAAGGAAACCCTTATCCTAATTCCTACGTCTTAGACTTGCAAGAAAAGCAGCAAACCAACAAACCTTAGTATTCTTGAGTGGATAGTTGGATAAGGACCTTATCGTTAAGATATTAGTCAACAATTTCAACAATTCTAGCATCCTAGAAAAAATCATAAAGGAAGGCTAAATGTCCACTACCTTCACATGCATCACGCAAAGTTTTTTTCTTCTTCTCTCTTTAATAAGCAACAAACAAGCCCCCAAAAGAGTATCTGGCTTATTATGAAAGACAGAAACTAAAATTCATACAAAATTATGGAACTTACCAGTTGTGCAATATAAGCTTATATTACAACCTGTTTGTCAACCTATACAAAAAGCCCCACCCAAATTTCATCCCTTAAAAGAGTTCCAGGTTCAAAGAGGTAAAGGGAAAAAGAGAGCAACCATCAAACCTCATTCACATGTCTTTACCATTCAAAATACATGAACCCTGTCATCGCTTTAGGCAGAAGGCGTGGTACCTATATAATTCTATTGATCAACATAGCGTTTGACATTTTCACATTTGTCACGGATGGAGTACGTGTGGGTATATTGAGCTACTACTAGTGCTTGCCTGTTGGGCACCAAAACTCATGGCTGGGAGAAGAAGCTCTGCTTGTGCGAAAGATCCATTGGATGGCAAATCCAGTAGAAGATCCTGATCAGAACTTTCATCAACAAAATTCATAGATTCCATCAAGAGAGAGCTACCATCTGCAGGCAAAGCGAATAGGCTTCTTGGACTAAAGCAAGAACCATCATAGTCCATGAGATCCTTGTTTTCATTGCTACCCTTCACGATTATCCTTTTGGGGCTCTTCATCATCATCTTTACATCTGAAAGATGCAAGATAGTTAAGAACAGTTACAATGTACAATAAATTGAAGAAGGGGGAATTGTGAAAAGATGATAAACTATTTCTCAAATGTTGTTCCATAGGTTTTGAAGTTCGAGTAAATATTAGCAGCTGAAAGTGAAGATTCATTTTAGCCTCTTAAATTGTGTTACTAACATTTCACTATCATGATGCAAAGAATTAATCTTATCTTTTGCAAATGCTCTTACCAACATTGCATGTTACACACAGGCAAAGAGAAGTAATGTTATGGTACTCAGATATGCACTCTCGTTTCATCTTTCGCGTAATGTTTCTGTTTCGAAAAGACGTATACTAGCAGAAACTTCACCATTCAACTAAATATAAGAGAGAACTTTCAGCTAACCTGGAAAACTTTGAGTCTCGCTGTCCCGCAGTCTCTTGACATGTCGGAAATTACTAGATGCCAGGGCGTTAGGCCCAGAAATAACAGACTTTCCAGGGCTAGTTTTACATTTCTGTAGCAAAAAATGGATAATGACTATTGTAAATTCACTTTGAAATTTTTTTTCAATAATATTTAGATTTTTGAATAGCTCAAACCTTGAGAAGATGATAGCGTTCAACCCATTTAGATTTCGAAGAATTGGACAATACAAGCCTTTTCAAAGTCTTACAGTCTTCAGTTTTTGCCCCTAGAAAGGAGATATCAAAGACCCCTTCTGCTAGCAGTTGCTGAAAGGAAGTCAAATTCTCCCTGAATTGAGGACTATCGAACATGCTTTTGAGGCTGCACATACAAAACAAACAAACCACCATGAATGTCATATATAATGTCCAACTTCTTAAATTCTCTTATGTAAGGTTAGACTTGATAGCTAATCTATCCTTAAAACATCCCATACTCACATTCCAAAAGAAATTGTATTCTATGTTTTCAAGCACACATGGTGATAATTTAACAACATGGCTCCACGTTCATTATGGGCCTCTGGGCAATTTCACTATGTGCAAAATAGGATGGTTCATATCTGTAGGACTAGATAACATATCCATCTTGCAACTGTGCACCCAGTGACATATTGCTTAAGTAATACAAAATAATAGCATGAAGAAGTATATGTTCACTGCCACAGTTGTAAACTTCTCTTGGAATTCAATATTCAGCGGTCAACGATAAAATATTCTATTAAAACATGAATGACAAGGCTTCTAACCTATAAGGAAGTTTAACAACATCAACGGGAGGTAGATGTTTCAGTAATTGCTGTTGTTCCTCATTTGTCAACTGCCTCGTAAACTCTTCAAAATTTAAAATATCCTACACCAAACAAGAATTGAAACTATGTTAAGAGCTCAATATTGAAGGAACAATTTTTCAAGCAGTGACCAATTATGACTGAATATACTTGAACTCCAGATCAGACTGTTGAAGTAGCATAGAATTAGGTAGAACGTAGAAGTAGCAGGAAATGACTAAGAAAAGAATAATAAAGAAAAATTAAAGAAAATAATATCAGCTATTGAAAAGCATATACTGTTGCCCAAAGGACAAGTAGTTGTAAGTTTTACATCCTAAAAATGTTTGGTAAATTTGGATATTGGGTTGAGTGAAAACTTGGGCATACATGGAACAATTCACATTCTGCAATAACTAAGCGTTCATTAACTTGTTGAAATTAGGGTCTACATAGATAACAGAGAATCTTATCAGAGGGAATTGCCTTCTTTAGTAACATAAAGCCATGGAATTGAGGGAATTGCCTTCTTTTATAACATACAATTCAACTTACATTTAAATCTACATGACACAGTGGTGAATTATGGTTTCCCAAGATCTGGAAGTTGTCATACTGAGACTTATCCCTGCAAATACAAACAACAACACATATTAGTTACAGCGCGAGAAATCGATTTTACTTCACCTTTCTCCAATAGTATCTTCTATTTTTAACCCCATGCAGATACTTCATTATAGCTTTGTATCACAGAAAAGGAAGTATTTCCATCCTACTACCAGCTACTTAAAAATGATCCATGACTCACATAAAGGTTGGATATTTTGTATTTCTAAGATATGTGCATAACAAAATGGTCCTAAATTTCTACCTGAGCCATGTTGGGCCCAGTACTCATTTTGAATACAAACAGTTATGTTATACAGCACATTAAATACTTTGTAGATCAATATGTGCATTGTACAAAGCATCCTAACTGAGCAATAATACTCATGTTTGTCGTTTTGGCATATAATTGACAAGAGTGCATATCACCTTGTTACATAGTTCAGGAGAGTGTTACCTTTTCAGTGGCTCTTGTTGCATCCCTTGTCCTGCAAGGTTATTCATCTTTCCAGTTACAGAACTGGTCATAATGACACCCTTATTATTATGTACAAGAAGGGTTGCAGGATGGGAATAAGCCTCATTTATGTGGCACTGTTTGTTATCAACTGAAAGGGAGCTAGCTTCAGATTCCTCTTCTCGTGTTATTGAGCTGGGATGCCTCATGAGAACACTTCCATGTCCTATTTCAACAGAAACCATTGGTGTTTCACATTCAAAAGCAGATCCTCCTCAGAAGACCCGGAAAAGTACGAAGACTGTTGCTCATGTAAAATAGTATATAGATCCTTTGTAAGCTTTTCAACAGGAGATGGCTTAGGACGACCGATACAGGTCCTTTTCCTAGAAGGAACCATTGAGTCCCATACCATTGACTGAGCAGGACCTGAAAAAATCAGTCAAAAGAGTGAGAACAGTAAGAATTATTTGGCTACTTTATGAGAAATAATTTCATGACGATGGTGAAAATCAAATTATTTGGAAGGTGTCAACCTTCATAAATATAAAATGATTAGCCTGATATATTATTGATCACTGCATTATATGAAAGACTAAGATGTGCACAAAAGGCTTCGAAGCGAACTGCTTGAATAAGAGATTCTGAAACACCAGTGGAACCAAGGAAGCCACTCGACTAGCAAAATTTCTTTTTTCGGTCCAAAGGGCTAAGGCCTAAGGAAGGAGGATAAGAGTCGACCTCTAATAGTGGGTGTGGGAAAGAAGTGCTCTACCATTAAAAACTACTTTGGGCATGAGTTCCCTCCTTTTTTTACACATAGAACTAACAATCATTTCCTGGTCCACTCTTCTTCAACCGCAAATGCATCTCCAAATTTCAATCAAAATGAGCCATTTATAAAGGAATTTGCAGCTCTTTGTTTAGTTAATTTATCAACAATTTTGTCACCTTAAGTGTAACAACATAGAAGTAGACTCTCCTCTCATGGATCGAAAAAGCACAGGAATATTTCAAACATCTATAATTGAATATTAATTGTCTTTAAGTGTCCAACCTGTCAAATCACTTGCATCTGCACTGCCAAATTGTGCACAGCTCTCAGAGTTAGACACAGCAGACCCAGAACTGGACCTATTACTTGTATCTTCATCAGTTACCTTTCGGAAGCCATGGGCATAATCAGCCGCAACCCCTCCAACCATCACACTGTCAGGATTCTGCTTTCTTTTTACCAGTTTTATTTCTTTGTTTTTGTTTATAGATATGCTCTTCACCCTGGAAACCCTATGATCTTCATAATCATCAGGTTCGGCTCGAGCATGTAGAGGTGTATAATTTGCAAGTGTTCCCTTAGTCCTCCATCGAGATCCACATGCATTGCAAAGTACTGGCTTGTCAGGTGGCCCATTGCGCCAAAGGGGAGTGCCTGTTGCAATGCTTGGGTTGTCAGCATTTAATATGCAGAAAATTACTTAAGCCATAAGAAGATTTAAAGCAGATAAACATAATTGAACAAGCCTAATTGTTTCTATTAAAATGGAGAAACTAGTGGTTGTCACTTGCCACTACTCACAGCTTAACTAGGCCAAGGCTTAATTTCTGCACTTAAATAACTGTAATAAAGAAAAAACAAATACACAGCAAACGCTACTTTAAATAATTTTGTAACAAAAGACAGATAGGGACTACTGATGAATGATGACTATTCTGCTTGCAGTATACTGGCTGAAATTCAACTCTTAGGCAGGAGTGCAGTATACTGGCTGAAATTCAACTCTTAGGCAGGAGTGCAGTATACTGGCTGAAATTCAACTCTTAGGCAGGAGTCTAAACCAAGGCACAACAACTGAGTAACAATCAACAATCATTAGGAGTTGGCATTGATCTTGAGTTTCTAATCAACACCCTCATTCTGTGTTTGCAATGAGTAAAAGCCCCCAACATTCACTTGGCTACCCGCAAAAAAGAAAAAGAAAAAAGAAGCTAAAGCTACTGTACTTCCCCACACTACTGATTATACATGATTAGAATAAACACAGATAGAAGGCGCTTTACAAGTTAAACAATGATTTCAACCACAGAGAAAAGTTGGAATTTCAGAAACAAAATGGATGAGGATTAAATTTCACAAGGCTGAGGCGAGTTGTTAATTTCAAGGGATGAATATTTTGGAAGCCAACAAATGCACTACATACTGAGTTCTGAAACTGGAACTAGGGTGTCCGGGAATGACAAGGAACGGTATCACTTCAACATTTAAATTTGTTACAAGTTTCTATTACAATACAAATAACTTTAAGAATTCAATTTATCAGTTTCAAGGTTTAAGCTTCAGAACAAGTAGCATTCAATTAGATTGACTTCACATCAAGAGTGCATGGAAGAACATTTTAAAACAATACACAAGAAGAATGGGATAAAACTAGACCAGAGAATACTGAGCAAAAGCTAGAGAAACAGTCCAATTAACATAAGGTGGCAATATGGTTCACAAAGAATGTGGGAAAGAAGACTGTCACTAACTTATGGAAGGGATGAAGGAACCGAAACACGGACATTATGAAAGGTAAATTTGTTGGTAACTGAATCATTTCCTTAGATTACAGACACAAATTATTGCTTCGACACGGTATTTTCAGGATGATAAAGACCTCAAGAGCAATGAGCAAGCATACAAAATCAAACATTACTCTAGGAGTTTTCCAGTACGCAACAGATACAAACTTAAATACGCATTCTGGGACATGTCAAACTTCGAGTGACAGTCAAACACCAATCAAGAGAATGTAAAGGGTTGAAAAAATGTCATGAAACAAAATCAAACTCAAACCACTACAGAAATCAAAAGAAAATAGGATGCTGCTAGTAGTGAATTCAGGCGAACTGAATAACACAAGGCCTCATACGTTTCAATTATTGTTTTTTACTTTTTCTCACTCTTGCTCTCTTCCATTTTGTGATTCAATTTTTTTTTTCTGTGCATATAAAACCCAGTTACAGAATATTTATTCCGAACAAAAATTGAAATGAGTACCCAATTTTTGAAGTACTCAAAATTATAAAAGAAAAAATGGAGAAACAAGAACTCACTTGTAACTCCACAGTGATAGCAAGGTCCTTGCTTGCCCATGTCCCTCTCTTTTCTTCAAGTGAAGAGAACTAAATTCAACGAAAATTTACAGAACCAAAAATAGAGAGAAAATAATTTATTGGCTAAAAAGTGGGAAAAAAGAACGAAAATTTGTGCAAAATAAGATTTTTCTCTTCAACTTTTTTATGGCATATACTAGCGAGTATACAAGGCTTTTCTGCAGCAAACCCAGAGCGAGAGTTTGCAGAAGAAAGCAAAAGCCAAAAGACCCAGAAGAGTTTTATGTCTTACAGTCCCAAAAATTCACAAAAAACAGCCAAACATCACAGAGAAATTAAGGGATTGAGATGGGTTTTTAGCTGGGAATCTGTACAATCCAATGGAAGAGAAAAGACCATTAGAGGAATCTCATAAATGGGTGTGAAAAGGGAAGATGAAATGTGAGAGAGAGAGAGAGAGAGAGAGAGAGAGAGAGAGAGAGGGATGTTGTGTTGTGAGTCTCTGTTGTTGTATTGTATATGAAGTAAATGTTCAGCTTTCTCTGCTTTATTTTTGATGTCATTGAAAGATTTCTTCAACCCCTTTTTATTATTAATGTTAATGTAAAAGAATTTAATTAGTTTTTTAACCTGTTAATTTGTGAATGAGGTAAAGGAATATTATTGCACATATCCTGTTGACTACAGACTTTTCTGCTCTGTGCATCATAAATTTTCCAAACTCCATAAAAATGAAGCCATTAAAATCAAAGCACTGAACCTGAAATTTTGAGAGAAGAATTTGACTATAAATAAAACCAAGGCAAATGGAAAAGATTAGCCATAGCCAATAAGAACAAAAATTTGAAGACAGAAACAAAGAAGGTTAGTTTTCCCTTTTATTTTTCTTCTTATTGCTTTTCATCCCTTTTCTGTTTTTACATTATTTTTTTCCTTTTCTTTTTGGGTATTATTCTATGTGTATGTGTATGTGATGACATGATGTTGTTGATAATATTTGTTGGTTTTTCAAAAAAAAAAAAAAAAAAAAAAAAAAATCAGTAAATAAATCCAAAGTCACCTGTCACAGAACCATTGGTAATGACAACAGTAATCTCTACCTTAAATTTAGGGGAAAAAAATTTTAAGTGGGGTCTATTCAGATGTTTGCCACGTGGCATAATCTATGATCCTGAGGTGATCAAGAGTCTAGAGAGAGGGATGTCAGCTGTTTTACTGTATTGTGATGGTCACAAAATGCAATCTAGACAAGCAAAATGCAAAGCACTCCATGAAAGGGAAATTTCATTTTCTTTCTTCCTTCTCTCCAAATTTAATAATTTTTAAAAAATAATAATTTATTTTTTAATTTTTGATGAAAGAAAAATTTATATAGTTCCATGATGCATAGTGGGTATCTCATGAATTTGACTCATTTGGTGCCATGTGGCCTCTTTTATTTAATTATTATTTTTTTGGTTTGCCCACCTAGGGCCCACCCAGACCCTATGAAATTTAGACCTTCATGGTCAGCAGAAGCATAACTCTGCATACTTTGGCCATCAGATTGCCTGGTCCTTTCTTCAAAAGATTTTGACCTGTAACCAACTAATACACAACTCACATCCTGTTCAAATCTTGTTCTAATCCGACGGCTAAGGATCATCCATCTGCTAGGCTGCTTATAAGAGAATGATAAATTCAACTCTTGAAATCTTAATGATCAATTCTACATTAAGTTTTCTCTCAAATCAAAAACATCAACCATTCAACCCCTTCATCTGTCTCAACCCTCCCAAAAAAAATCACTTTCATAGACTATATAAGTATAGAGACATAGAGAAAATGTTAACATATGTCCATTTTATATATATATAAAAATTAATCGTAAGAGTTACTCCTAATAATTAATAATGTATAGCGTCAGAAATTAATGGTGTGTAGGTGATTGTGTTAGTAAATTTTTACATATTAAAACTGTCGGTCTTGTTGTCAACGTGATCTAGCTTAATGAAAAAGGTTCTTGACTTGCATTGTTTGTGTGAGAAACTCCCTTCCACCTTATAGTTTAAACTATCGCTTATATGTATATATATTTTAAAACTTACGATCATGTTAGCATATGAATGCTTTAGGGTTTATTTATTTTTCTTATAATCAAATGTCTTTTTTAGTCTAATACAAGGGGGATAATGGTTTCTCACATACACATCATGGATATTCGAACCTGAGATTACTAGTCATTTTCTACTAGGCTATACCATGTTGGCTAATCATATGGCGTTTTAGTTTAGTATACACCATCAACTTTTTAATCAATTTACACTAACTCTTCATTTAGTGGTAGTTCTCTCTAAAGTTGGAACAAATTTCAAGTTCGAATCTCATCCTGGTTGGTAAAAACAGAAAAAATTAAAATTATTAAAAAAAACTTTTTAATCACTTTAACCCATCCATCAAGGCCGTTCATTTTATCAATAGTATTAAACTGTGCTCAATCAGCAAAGCCTTTCCAGCCAAGTCCACAATCCTCACCCTCTGATTCTCAAACCTTCCCTCAACACGGACATCTTACCTACTCCACGTTTTCCCAAGTCCTCCCACAGTATAATTTTAAATAAATAAATAAAGAAGTAAATGATAACATAAATAAATAGCAAGAATTGGTTAAGATAAATCTAAAA